ACCCATTGTTCTTTAATTGTGTCTATAAAACCGGTACTCGACGAGTTAAAGTTAACAAGGTGTTGAAGTATCCTTATCCTTTCCTTACTAATATTATAAATCAGAAAGTGAGTTTGTTTGTTTGTTTGTTTGCTTCCGCTTTCACGCCGTAACTACTAAACCGATTGTTTTGAATTTTTGCAGACGTAAAGTTAGAAGTCCGGATTAAATAATAGGGTGGTTTTTATCCCGGATAAATTTGATGTTCCCGAGGGAAAAGAAAAGTATTGGTATAGATGGCGCTGTGTGTATTGATATATGTCACATAGGTTACTTTTTATCCTTTTGTGACGCGAGCGGAGCCGCGGGTAAAAGCTAGTAATTTATAAATCGGCATAATCAGGCTCACGCCATGTAAATTAAGTACAGACGAATTTAACATAGTATCATGCAAACATGTCCATAAAGAAAATAGTCATACAATTACGTAAATCTTTTAAAAAAAAACTATTACATTCAGTTATCAATATTAATATTAATGGAAAAAATACATAACATAATAATGTCAAAGAGCAGAAATAGTCATTAGACCCGCCTCACCCAGGCGGGAGCAGTCATTCGATGATTATCACCCCTTAAAAAAAATAGTAAGTAAAGTTTAGGTATTATATCTAATAATAGGTACTCCATTTCAGGAGTATTATATGTAGGTAGGCTATAAATGACTCGCTTGAGTAGACATTATCGAAACAGTCTGGTGTGAGCAATAAGTAATTTTAAGCGCTAGACTTGTAACAAACACGCAAAGTCATTTGCCGACCAATCTTTTTGTCAGTTTTACTTGCGGTAGGTAAGTAGTTAGGTGCCTATTTAGTTAATCAGCCATAAATCTTCAAAATTGTATTAAAGTTCTTGTGGTTCATTAACCTACTCGAATTGTAATTATTACTTACCGACAACTAAACTCTACCTTTTTTGTAATAAATATCTAACATCATCGCGTACACCATCAACTTGATGGAAAAGATCATTTAGTTTCACGGTTTTTCTGCTGCATACGAAATACAATGAGCAATCAAAAATCTTTCTTTCCAGTAGACAGCTAGACCAGTAGTAGTCGCTAAGGCACCTTGACTTACAAAAGTACTGCCGGTCTGATTTAAATTAATGCCTTGACTTTGACTTTGACACCTAACCTACCTAGTGCAATGTGCAGTAGATTGATAATATTACGTAATTAACTAGTGCCCTACAAGGAGTGATAAGACCTGTACAACTAGCAACTAGTATGATAGACGTATGGGTGTATTAGGTAATGCAAGTGGGTAACCTTATCGCTGACCACGTGCACGATGCGGGGACCTTCATCTGCTCGCTGCGGGCGCACGCGCACCGCCACCTGTTGCAAACACATTTATAAGATCTGTTGCTATCTACTAATGTTAATTAGTATTTCTCTAATACCTAAAAAAAGTCTAAATCATTTAGGTATTTCAATTAGACCAGGAAAGCACTTTTGAATGTCAACAACAAAAATTTAGAAGTGAAGCTAGTTGCTCATTCCAAAGTGTAGATTCCTATGGAGAAGAACGAGCAAGAAACTCCATAGGTTATTCTCTAAGACCTACCTCCTATTACTAAGGCAGATATAACACACAAGCATCAAGTCAAGTCAAAATCATTTATTTCAATTAGACCAGGATGGCACTTTTGAACGTCAAACAATAAAAATTTATAAGTGAAGCTAGTTGCTCATTCCATGGCGTAGATTCCTATGGAGAAGAACGAGCAAGAAACTCCATAGGTTACTCTTTTTCAATCAGGTTTACAATACAATTCTCTAGTTACATAGTTTTGTTGGTTCGATTATGTAAGAACAATGCAACACCTAAATCCAGTCAGAAAGACTGAAAAAGAAAATAACCTTGAGGATAATAAAATAAAATGATACAGTCTGGAGCTGACCAGTTCCAATCGACGGTGTCCGTTCACGAACATTTGGCGTACCCCAGCACCGCCCAACTCAACCATTCTGTAGGGAATCGAGCGATCCAATGCACGTGCCACCGCCAACGAGATCCTTGAGTGAGCATGACAACTCCAAGCTGACATAAATGCATTCTACTAGTCTAATTTGATTTAATTAATTACAGGGCTCTCACATTTGCAATAAATTGTGCAACATTTTAAACTATAGGTACAAATATTTAAGCAACATGATTATATTATTACACAAATACAATTCATTGAACATCACTGTGTTTTATGTATTATCCTGCGGAGCCGGACCAGCCTGCCTCCAAGCACTTTTATCCTCTATATAATCATGCCTTCATAATATCATAATTAGGTATAGGTACATATATTATTGCATTCTAGATATCTAGAATACCTATACCTACCTAGAGCTAGATTAAAATATACCTGATTAAATATTCTGCCAAATAAGCTCCTTTACAAGATCGTAGTGCATTTGATTCCTAAAAGACAAGAAGTTAAATATTTATTTGTTACGCTTTATATTTGAAATCAAACGAAAAATGTTAGTTTAGGGTGCATTTCGCAATGTTTTTAAGAAATCACTGACTGTATTTGTCAACTATAATGTACATCGGGCCCAGTGTTACTGAGATTTGATTGGGATCATCCTCTTAAAATTGCGGACATCCATTCCCCTCTCAAAATGGCCTTGCAAAATGTATTTTACTAGATAATCACAATCGTAACAAAATGCCGTCATTTGTTCACAGTAGGTACTTCTTTATTATATCTGTGGTATGTACCTACACCTAACACCTAATGTGTGTTAGCATGCCTGAACATAAATTAAATACTTAATTAAGTATTTAGCTTACCTTGTACCAACAGTCTATACAAATACATCTACTTCAATGTTGTGTTTACTATAAAAATCCATGTTTAGTTAAACAGCACCAAAATGAAACACGTATCAATGGTCATTATAATTACCCACCACTACTTACATAGGTAGTATTTTCTGTAGATCCCATAAATATTCCGATAAATAACAGACGTAGGTAATAGTATGATTTATATCACCACAATTATGGTGTGCCAATCGCTGATAGCCATGTGATCTTATAATGCCGTGCAAGTAGACTATCCAATGTCAAAACAGAGGTCATGATAACCACCGATTGGTTACTGTCGTGTCTCATTTAACGATATAAATACTTTACGATAATTGTTTTGTTACCAATAATAAATGAAACATTACTTATTCCTAGATTATTGTTGAATTTACTAAGTGATATCTAAATATGTTTCTGCTTCTGAACACATATTAATTTCGAATATATTCAGAGGTGCCATTCTGGAAATGAAGTCATGAACTGATTGACTCTACAGCCAGAACATAAAGTACCTAAGCAATGCGACACGTTTTATCATTAGTTTTTACAGTATATAGGTAGGTACCAACCTACCTACTTAGTTTACAATTCGAAAATCTTATTAATCTAATTGAACGCGGTTGTCTGCCTGCAACTTGCAGGCATAGGTACGCAATACGCAATCTCTTGCAGCCTGCAAGAGATTGCAGATTAGGACAAAAACTGATAAAAATACCTTGTTCCTGTGATAGTTTAATAATATAATGGATATGGATAAGAAAGTGGATAGGTACGTAGGAACCAATGGACATTAGCAAGTATTACCTATTATATTTTAGGTTTAGAAATCGACGATGAAATAGGTAACATTTTAGTAGCCAACGAACTTTAGACTTTTCGGATCACATGACTTTCGTTTGTTGAGTTTGTACTAATGTACATTATAGTAAATAGATACCTAAGTAGTACCTACGTACATTTATCTTCGCTTCCGTCCCATAATGATCTCACATTTGGACTCATGCCAAATACGGCGACAACGACCGGCCCTCAGTTTCCATGTCCAATAGTTTGACAAGACTTTCGCAAAATTCCTCCATTTTTATCTCATTCATTAAATCTCTGTGCTCATAAGGCGCAGCGGCATTGTCAGGGTACGACTGACAAAAAACCGCTTAGTATTGTTTTGATTTCTTACCACGTGCCTTGATATGTGGACGATAGAGAACTGCAAACTTGCTAAGTGTAGGTAATTAGGTATTCAAGGGGGCTAGAATAGGACGTCTATTGCTCTGGATCTTGGTTAGACTTTCACGAAGTGTCGAAGCCTATTTATACTTGATAATCCATCGAATGTAGGTACCTACCTATATGTATGACGCAGGTACCTATATAAGCAAGATACGCAGGTACGGTTAGGATGCCTACCGCCCCGACCTCCGATGAGTCGAATTTGATCCGAATCTTAGTTATATCCAGACTCAGTTAAACCTTTATAGGTACCCATTTAATATTTTGCCATAAAATATCCTCAAATCCCACAAGGGTTGGTTAGAACATTTTTAATAAGACATGTCAGACTGAATATGGTAACTCTATGAATGTTACGTGCCTAATATTATTTTTTGTGAATTTGAAATTCTTATTGGGTTTACAAAAAACATCGTGAGGAAACCTGGACTTATAATTTCTAATTATAATTTTGAAATCGCCAACCCGCATTGAGCAAGCGTGGTGATTAATGCTCTAACCTTCTCCATGTGAGAAGAGGCTTTGCTCAGCAGTGGGCATTTATAGGCTGTTGATGATTGGGTTTACAGCAATAAATTCATCCCACAGTAGGTAAACCTCCTAAATTACTGTACCGTAAACTATTGGTACATATCTACCTATATTCTTAGAGAATAGTGGGTGATGTTATATAAAAATTAATAACAAAATTATAGGTATCGTTTTGAATATTCTAATAAATAATTTGCATATGACTCGACCTTGAATCCAATATCAAAGTATCAATAAAGAAATAGAAATAAAAAACCTGATTCCAACACAATATACGAATTTTAATACCTAAGTATATTATAATTTACAAATAGAAGTATATATAATAACATAACAATATGTTACACTTTTGGCAATAAAATATTATAGTAGTAATATTTACATAGTTTACACAGTGCCAGGAGCAAATAGTTTTACACCTCTGTCAAATAGTTTGAATAGATATCGGGAAGGTTTTATGTCCATGACATACAAATGTTCATTGTCATACTTTAGTCCTGGGTACATGGCACTCAAGTGGCCTGATACATCAGCGCTCCAGCCAGAGGTAAGACTCTCAACCTCCAACACAGTGTAAGCTTTGTGCATCAATAAATTAGACATCACACATGTCACATCATCCTCATTTGCTTCATTACAATGACAAACAACAAAGGAATTATTGTAACTAGTTACAAATGGAATTAACTCTTTGAAAAACATATTTACTTCTTTCAGTGTATAGTCTAAGTCAAAGAAATGTGAAGCACCATCCACTATTACATTAACTGTTTCATACTTTTGTCGCATCAACAATACTTTTTCTTTTACTTTCACAAAAAGTTCAGGCAGTTTATTGTCATTTAGTAAACTGTTAATGCAGTATTCACCTATGTTAAAATAATTTATTAATCCTGTGTCCACATATCTTTGCAAGTTGTAATTCATTTTGAGGCCCACATTTTGATAGTGTTGCAGAGAGTTGTGTGTTGACACTACAACAACAGCAGTCTTATTCTTGATGCAATAGTTTAGCAAACAACTGGTGATGAATGAACTGTCACATTTGTTGATTTCTTTTACTACAACCACTTTATTTGACAAACTTTTGTCCAGTTTTAGCAACGTTATTATATCTGACGACATTCTGGAACAAATTAATCAATGAAAGAGCACAGCTTCCAAAATATCACTAGCAAGAACATTAAATGAATCAGTTAAAGAGAAATGTAACATGTGATCTCTATTCCACTACAGCTCCGTAGCGGACGATAAGCGTAACGCAGTCATTACTGGGTGTTTTGAAGCACTGGCCGCGTGTTGATGTGAAACGCAAGCTCCGCGTAAAGCCAATTGGAAAGTGTTCGGTAGTTTACTGGGATTAACATTTATGGCCTAAATTTAATATTTCATTTTAATGTATCTATAAAATTAATTAAATAATAAACCACCAATAGGTGACTCATACAGTGATAAAATTCGTGTAATATTGCTTTATTTACAAAAAGTGATAGATAAAGAAGTAAGTACCTTTACGTTAATAACGTATAATATACTCTTTTCTAAATGAATTATTACTTTAAAATTCCCGGAATACCAGATTCAAGAAAGTCTACCAATGTAATTATTTATAGTACACCACACAGTAAGAGTAACCTGAGCAACCTCGAAAATAATAAGATCGTTTTGAAAATTGAAGGTTATTTTCCATTGGTATAGGTTATTTACTTACGTCAAACTTCAAAAGTGTACGTCAGAAGCATGGGAAAATCGATATGTCAATGGAGAGAGACTTCCCCAATGCATAGTATACTCTTTGATGGAGACGTAATTTTTATTTAATTTAAACGGAGACGTTAAGTTTTTTTATTAGTCTTATCTCTTATCATATCAGTGGCTACTCCGAATGTGGAATGAAAGCATTTTTTTAATGCACACTTTTTTCTAAAAACACAAAGTCAAATTACATTTAAATAGTGATTACATGAATTAACTGATATTTGTGTTTGCTGTTCGCATTATTATTTATATGAATATGAATAAACAAGATCATAAATAAAATGAATAATCATTTACATTGCATTTACTGTCAAAGTCAAAATGACAAGCGAGCGGGCAATCTATATAAGGCATAGATTTAGTATTATATAGATGCGTCTTAATGATCTATAGCTTATTTGCTTATACAAATATATATCAAATCGATACAGAAATATGAAACCACACTTTGTCTCTTTTTAATCAATGAGTAACCTCATTTGAAGAAAGAGACGTCATGTTGTTTGTTTATTCTCTGCCTGGCAACATTTCTACATTTCTGACAAAGTACCTAGGTACCTCGCGTGTCAGCCGCCATCTTTAGGCCGTATAGTTTTGAAGTAGGTCAGGTGTCAAGCGAACAACAACATTAGATTTGGATTGCGATTTTTAACTATAAAAACGCTCCCAACTTAATTGTTTTGTGCTGTGTGCGTCTAGTGGTGCATATTTAATATGTCTACTTGTTCAATAATTCAATGTGGGGCAAGGAAAAACCCCAATCAACCTCATTTGACTATGCACAGGTTAGTAGCCGTATTTTAAGAAAAAACTTTATCATACTATTAGTTTTTTTGTTTATCTAGCCTTGTTTTATATATAGAATAAAAACCCCCAAATGTACATAACATTCGTTTATGATAACTATTTTATGTTTTGTTTACAATACAAATGACGATTTACAATAGTGACGTATTTTTTTAATAACATATCGATAAGAAACTAACATATTTTTAGTTTGTATGTTATGAAGTCCAGTAGAGTAGAGTGTCAAAATAAAGGGTCTGAAGAGACGATTTTGAAAATAAATCTTGTTAAAGTTAATTGTAAAATAAATCTTGTTAAAGGAGGGTGTAGTCCTAAAACACAAAGGGCAACTGTCACTGAAGAACACATGTATGGTTTTAGCCAGTAAAAGTCTTACATGCTCTCCCGCTCTACCCAGAGTCATTCGATGATTTGTACCTTAATAAAACATCAAAAGTACCAGAAGATTTTTAATGTATAAAACTCTGCTATCGATATCGATAGTTTTTTGTTTTGACTACAGTACTTCCCTAGCAATGGCAGCCATTTTTAGGCCTCGGTTTCTAGTAGGTATGCACGCGTATTTTGTAGGTATTTCTGGTCCATATTATAGTAGGTCTGTGATATAAGGGTAGTTGCGGTAGTTGTTAACGAATTGACAGTTGACGTCACAAGCAACTCACAGTTCTCACAGCCGGTTTTTACAGTCTCTTATAAATCATATTATTATAAAGAATCAATGACTACAGAAAGGAAATAAATATGGCGTAGACTCCGCCCAATAGATAGTGTAGTGACAAAACTAACTGCACTCAATCAAATACATTTAAATCGAGTTTCTTTGATGCGATTTCTTAAAACCTAATCATTTTCGATAGTCGAAGGATAATTAAAATTACTTATACATTCTATGTGATGTGGTTTGAAGGTATTGAATTGTTTTGCCGTTATAATAAACTAGCTGTTGCCCGCGACTTCGTCCGCGTAGATTAATGACTTCTGACAGAATTAATCAGAATCAATTCAGTGCCCAAGTAAGATTTACCTATTTTGAAATGATTTATCGTAGTTTCAATAAATAAATAATCCCGCAGGGATCTTACCAGTACAGTGCCCGATCACGTAAGGTTTGAGTAATAAAAACTATTCTATCGACTATTGTTGTACCGAATCTCTCTAGAATAAGTTCAGTGGTTAAGAGTTAGAGAGTCCTGGGGCATTGACGCATAGTTCCCGTTCTCGTGAGACATCTGTGAAAAAACTATCATACGTTACCCAGGTCCTAAATCATCGTTTTACCGAATGTAATTCAAAAAGATTCAATGATTCTAAATTCAACGGCTAAGAAGATTTATACAAACTCTCATTCCCTATTTTATCCCCTTAGGGGTGGAATTTATCAAAATCCTTTCTAAAGAGATACCTATGTCATAGTAACTTTATGCATGCAAAGTCTCAACCCGATCAATTTAAAACTGGCAAAGTATCATACAAACTTTCACCCCCTATTTTACCCACTTTGGGGTGAGAATGTTCAAAAACCTTTCTAAAGGGACGTTTACGTCATAATATCCATCTGCACGCCGAATTTCAACCCGATCGGTGTAAAACTGACAAAGCTTCATACAAACGTTCATCCCCTATTTTACTCCCTTGGGGGTGGAAATTATCAAAATCCTTTCAAAGAGGATGCTTACGTCATATCATCTATCTGCATGCCAAATTTCAACCTGATCGGTTTAAAACTGACAAAGGCTCATATAAACTTTCATCCCCTATTTTACCCACTTGGGGGTGGAAATTATCAAAATCCTTTCACAGCGGATGCCTACGTCATAACATCTATCTGCATGCCAAATTTCAACCCGATCGGTTTAAAACTGACAATGTCTCATACAAACTTTCATCCCCTATTTTACCCCCTTAGGGGTGGAAATTATCAAAATCCTTTCAAAGCGGATGCTTACGTCATAACATCTATCTGCACGCCAAATTTCAACCCGATCGGTGTAAAACTGACAAAGCTTCATACAAACGTTCATCCCCTATTTTACCCCCATTGGGGGTGGAAATTATCAAAATCCTTTCACATCGGATGCTTACGTCATAACATCTATCTGCATGCCAAATTACAACCCGATCGGTTTAAAACTGACAAAGTCTCATACAAACTTTCATCCCCTATTTTACCCCCTTGGGGGTGGAAATTATCAAAATCTTTTCACAGCGGATGCTTACGTCATAACATCGATCTGCATGCCAAATTTCAACCCGATCAGTTAAAAACTGACAAAGTTTCATACAAACTTTCATCCCCTTTTTTACCCCCTTGGGGGTGGAAATTATCAAAATCCTTTCTTAGCGGATGCCTACGTCATAACATCTATCTGTATGCCAAATTTTAGCCCAATCTGTTCAGCGGTTTGGGCTGTGCGTTGATAGATCACTATGTCAGTCAGTCAGTCAGTCAATCACCTTTGAATTTTATATATATAGATAATATTAGTGAGTAGGTAGGTCAACTATTCAGAGTGCCGCATTTCTAAATCAAGTACAAGTATCTTATGAAACCACTTTAATTACAATCTCTGAAACAGGTTTAACTTTTTCCTTATAGTTTCACATTTTAAATAAAAAAACATTTTTAGTGATTTTTGTTGATAAGTATAGTTTTACAATATTTTTAATTTAGTGTGGTCGTTTAGTGTCTTTTAGTAGTGGGTATTACCCCATTATCGGACCCTGATGTCAGACTGAGGGATGTTGTGCCACTCTTCTACTGCATCAATCTTGAGTTCTCCAATAGTCGTTGGTGCAAGAACCCTTGCTCGAACCCGTCTTTTAAGGTTGTCCCAGATGTGTTCAATTGGATTGAGGTTAGGACTGCGTGCTGACCACGGTAATGTTCGTATACTAACCTCATTTAGGTACTGGGTCACTATTCTAGCGACGTCACATCGGGTATTGTCGTGCTGTCGTGCATTAATTGAAAATTCTCACCAATAAACATTGTAAGTAACATTGTCCCTATCAAACACTACGAGGTCGTTACGAGCGTCCTAACTGATGCCCCCCCAAACCATTACTAAACCTACCTGATAACCCACAGTTTCCACTATTGTATACGGAGCAAACCTCTCATTTGGTCGTCTGTACACTCGCTGACGCCCATCTGGACCTCGTAGGGCTATTCTGCTTTCATCTCAAAACAGAACGTCCTTCCATCGGTCCGTAATCCAGTCAGCGTATTCTCGCGCAAATTAAAGTCGCGCTCTACGGTGCTGTGGGGTGGGAGCAATTCTGGGGTCGTGCAGGACGTAATGCAGTCAGGTTCGTGTCTGCCAACCTTCTTCACTGCTAACCTTCTTCTCACCGTCCGTTCACTTACGCTGACATTTCGTACTTCAAACCGGCGAGTTCTCACCTCGGAAGCAGTGGTGAAGCGATTTCTAAGCACATTGTTCACAATAAAGCGATCATCCCGAGCAGATGTGCACCGATGACGGCCTTGTCTCGGTGTCCGCGTGTAGGAACCCGTCTCCCGAAATCGCCTGATAGCATATAGTATTTAGAAGTACACCAAGCATCCGAGCAATACGACGTTGGCTGTACCTAGCATCGGCAAAAGCTACGGCTCTTGCAGCTCTAGTTGCATCCAGTGGCATTTTTGTGTGATTGCAGTAATCAAACTAATGCAATAATTTACCCAATCAGTAATTACACCAAAAAGAGCAGGATGACTAGGTTAAAGCTCACAGTAATCCGATCGCAAGGGATGTCAAATTTCAACTAAATTACACGAACTCGAACTTCTAAAAAAACAAGGGTCAGAGTGTTTAATTTATTGTCAAGGTACCCACTTGAAACAAAACATCTATCTGGATAAACATTCCTTATCGCAAACTAACGTGGTGACGTATTTTTTAAGTGAGCGGTTAAATGTGCCTGTGAGTGTACATGCCATACTCTTTAACACAACACTTAGATATAATCAGACCATGGCATAGTTACTTTTAAAATACATAAAATAACTCGAAACTCCTAAAACACTCTGTACATACATTTAATTTTAATTTGCGATAATGTCCAATGAATCTTGACGTTGTGCGTACAGAAACATGGAAAATAAAATGGCGACCGCCATGGAGGCGGACCCAATGTGATGGATACTCAAAATGTTACCATATCAAGTGACTACTATAATCTATCTATCTCTTTCTACATTACGACAATTGAAGTATGATAAAAGAGAACCGAATGTATTTTGCCTTTTCGATTCATAATAGCAATTTCTATAACACTACGTATTTGTATAGGACATTAGGACAAGTCCTAGAATTCTTAGGTCATTGGTCAAAATAAAAAACGGCTCAATGTTTTTGACAAGGCAAGTCCAGTCCTAGGAGGAGGAAGGATTTAGGGAATCAAATAGTCATTGCATAAATCAGTTGGAATAAAATGGATGTATTCGTCTGTTTGTGGCTTCACATAATTGATTATAATCAAGAAGTATTAAAGTAAATCTTAAATAAAAATAAAAAGGGTTCTTCTTGGAAATCTTTACAATGTGTAGTATCTTGGAATTCAATTTCTAAATTATTAAGGTTGATTTGGTATTACATTTATCTAAGTAACTAGTTACCGTTGTTTAAATTAAATATTTTATTTATAAATCCAACAGTATTTATATATGTGGTGGAACTGAAAGAAAAAATTATAATATATACCTAGTGAATAAGACTATAATGAAGTAGTGTGTTTCACTTTCATGTATGAGGATCTTAAGATATTAAATTTTGAAAACATCTGCTTTGGTTTCTAGTTCACATAATGGGTGTCCAAAAGGATTCAGCAGGACCGAAAGAAGTGAGAGTATCAAGATGGTATTTCGGAGGTCTTTCTTCGGCTGGAGCTGCTTGTGTCACTCATCCATTGGATCTGCTGAAAGTTCAAATGCAAACCCAAAAGGGGAAAAACATTTCCATGTCTCAACTTGTTGGGATAGTTGTCAAAAATGACGGTAAATATGTAGATTCTTGAATTCACAAATTACACAGAACATTAGGTAGTAAGGAATCATTAAATACCTAATTCTGAAAGCCATAAAATCAAGCTAATGAGTGTGGTATCATATTCTATTTTAAATTTACTATTTAAAATGTTTTTGTAACAGTCATTAAATTTTAATGGGTATGTATTTATTATAATTTTTCTAATATTACTAAAGTTAACAATCTCATTGAAACAATAAACATGAACATCAGGTATACACCAAAGAACTTTACAGCACCTCACTTGTTGTAATATAAAAGGTAAATAATTTATCAATACCTCGTTTCCAGGTGTCTTCGGACTATATAATGGTATATCAGCCTCCTTGCTTAGACAATTAACATATTCAACAGTACGATTTGGAATATATGAAGTGGCTAAACAACATTTCACACCCAAAGATGTAAGCACCTATCTTTTTACAATGAAATAATCCAATTACTTTATACCTACTGAAATATTTTTTCTTAACCTACCATTTTCTTGTATCTATATTTTCAGGGTAAGCCTATTCCATTTTATATGTCTACACTTATAGCTGGCGTAGGTGGATTCGCTGGTGGTTTTATGGGGAATCCTGCAGATTTAATCAATGTGCGAATGCAAAATGATGTAAAACTTCCACCAGAGCAGAGAAGGAAGTATGTATAAATGTTAACTAATATGATAAATGCGTAGGTATCAAAAAAGCTGAAGAGATTGGGATGAAATTTGGAACTGGGGTAGATTATGGTCTGTAATAACACATAGGCTAATTTTCATCCCATTGGAATGCAGGTGAAGCCGCCAACAAATGCTAGTTTCCAATAAATTAATTATTCTTTGTTACAAAAATGAATATATGTCTGAAGGAAAATAATGAATACAGGCTTTCAATTGTGCAATTTACTGGTTTTCCTATGTACTAGGTCAAATGTGGGAAACACAGAAAATGACATAAAGCATTGCCTCATCACTGCAATTAACAAAAAATTCTATGTAGTATTAAATAATTAGTAAATTATTACAGTTACAAAAATGCTGTACATGGATTATGGAGAGTAGTTGCAACTGAAGGCATAACACGACTTTGGGCAGGCGCCAGTATGACATGCAGCCGAGCAGCACTCATGACAATAGGACAAGTGGCATTCTATGACCAAATCAAGTTACTACTTCTTTCCACTTCATTTTTCCAAGAAAATGTTGTGACTCATGTCACGGCAAGTTTATTAGCGGTAAGGATAGATTTTAGTTTTATGGTAATAACACTTTGCTATGTACCTATCTATTTATAAAAATATCGCATTTCTCGTGGCCTTAATTGTTATTTTTATTACTGAGTTTCAAAGTATTGTACTGCTATTTTATTTATCGTCTTAGCTTCTGTAGCTAGAATATCTAAATGTTAAAATTATTGTTTGTTACTACAGGGAGGCGTGGCAACAACTATGACCCAGCCTGTGGACGTCTTGAAAACGCGTGTGATGAACGCTAAACCTGGGGAATTCAAGGGTATATTTGATGTTGTCTTCAAAACTGCTAAGGAAGGACCACTTGCATTCTTTAAAGGATACATTCCAGCATTTGTTAGACTTGCACCTCACACTATTTTAACATTCGTATTTTTAGAACAACTTAGAATGAATTATGGTTTTATCAAACATTAACAATTTAGGACAGAATGTTTTAGGACAAATGTACTTTTATATGATTTTGTAGTGGTTTTAGATGATGTGGTGTTTTGGAGTAGATTTTTAGATGCATTTAGTATTTCAATATAATTCGCACATCTGTTCCTATAAAATACTGAAACTTGTATCAGATTCTAATGTACACTATGTACCAAACTGACTTGTGAATCAGTAAGACCTGATTAGTCAGGCCATGATTTGACAAATAATTATTGACAAAAGTCGATTTCCTATACTTGGTTAATCATTTGACTTTAAAAAAATATCATTATTTGTTCTTATTAATAATTTAATGTAACTGACTGCCTCAGTGGCCGAGTGGTCGCAAGTGCGATTGCCGGGTAAGGGGTCTCGGGTTCGATTCTCGGGTCGGGCAAAGTATTACTGGGTTTTTTAAATATCTCAGTAGTAGCACGAAGTCTGGAAATGTGCCCGGTATATGGCAATAGGCTCACCCCCTATTACATGGGACTTATAACATAAATAGTGAAAAGTGAGTGTTGCATTGTACAGTGGCATTAAGTGCCGTAATGTGCACCTCTGCCTACCCCTTCGGGGATAAAAGGCGTGATGTTATGTTATGTTATGTGTAACTGGTCTAAAACAAATATATTTTAATTTCTATATTGACTAATGGAAGATGGTCGAGGCTTAAGTACCCAGGGGCGTAAAATAAAGTTAAACAGGATTGATTGTAAACTGGTATATTGGTGATCTAAAAGCATAAACAATGTGCACAATATACAATAAAAACTTAAGATTCGCGATACACATACGATGCGCTTGTGACACAGCAACGGCGCGGGACTCGTTGTAACGTTACGCTCCTACGCAAGTGAACAGCGGTCAGTGGCGCGGCGGTCATTTTCTTTCTTCTTATTACAACAGTTATCAACTGTATGTCCGAAAAGTTTATAAAATGAACACTTCGGTCGCATGCGTTTAATATTATTTACGTTAGATGCGGAGTCCAGACGTAACACGGCCGCGTAAAATTTGATGACAATTTCGAACCTACGCATTCCACAACGGTATTTGAAAGAGTAGGACTCTGGTTTGTGTCAGAACGGTCATGGACAGCACGCGAGACAAAAAGCTCATATTATTATTATTACTTCCGTTACGTGCGTCTAACACAAACCGGAATCGAAATGCCGCGTTAGGTACACTACTTATTTATCTTCTAGAATAAGGTAACAGTTCAGTTTTGTCAATCTTCGGATTGTGCTATGTAAAGGAAAAAATACTACCTATGTGAAACTTTAAAAGTTTTTATAGTTACCATTTTATTTGATGCTTTTTATAATGTTTAGAGTTTAACAAATAATTTATTTTGAGATATTTGTTAGTATTTTAAGGACAATAAGGTAATTTATTTATTTCATATTAATCATAAACCAAAAATCACCATCAAAATTGCTCAATAAAACAATACTTGAAATGATATTAATCATATTCAGTCGATATTCATAAAAAGAAGAAATGGGGGGCACTTATTTTTGCGCTATGTGGACCTCTCATTTTTCGCCCAATGGGGAATTAGGTAGTGTCACGCCATTGAACGTACAATATTTGACAACTGCAGTGATTTCACATAAAACCTTTTGCTACATTTGCGCCATCTAGGTCCAAAAATCCGGTAGCCCGCATTGACAGAATATGAATGATTAATTATATAAAATTTTATAAATGTATAATTAAAAATAATGATCTGTTATAATTTTGAAATGTAAATTTATGAATTGATGTCAAATAATCTTGACAATATATTTGTCTGTCCCTCAAAGGGCCAGAATTCGACATTTTATTTTAGTGACGGTTAATATTCGGGGCTGTGTTGTTATTTTTTGTTATTGTACTGTGCCAAAATCTTACAAAATGGAGACTTCAAGGATTTATAAGACATTATTCCACTATTATACAATAGTAGTAAATTACTACTTTAAAGAGTTTATTTTTGGATGTTTATTTAATAATTTGAGATACATACATTCCTCATAAAATAATATATTTATATTACAAACACATACCTATTCTTATTCCAATGCATTGACTCAGGTCTGACACAGCTACTGGCTCTTATGTGCGACTTATAACATTCCAATAACGAATGTTTATATTTGTCTCTGGAAGTCGGTATTTGCTTTACTTAAGTGTCCTTAATACGTATCCATTTTATTTTAACAAAACAAAGCAATTAGCATTGTCAGTCGAGAGGACGAGTATCTCATTTTGTTATAGTTATACATACTTATGACTGTTACTTGTAAAGTAAGTGTTTGATGAAGTATAAATAACTTGGGATATGTATTATCAGAAGATATGGGTACATGACAGTTGTTTTATCAACAAAGTATGAAAAAGATTTTTATAAGTATAGTCATCCAAAGAATGTATCTGTGTATTGTGTAATTCTTCCATTCAAGTGACCTAATACAGTGATCGTTTTGGTCACATTCCTATACAATCTAACTTAATAAAATTTGTAACGTTTTTGATTATTTAAATTATGTCACTGTTATTACTGTTATTAGGTAGGTAAATAATTATTATAATGTATGTTACAAATAATACATGTAAGTTCAGATGGTCTTGAAAATGTTTAACATTGACAATTAGTTTAATAAAATTAAATAATTTAAAAGGGGATTTGAACATGTTTGTTAGATAATTGGTATAACCATAAGTCTGTCAAATCTACCCATTGTGAGTATTTGATATTACACACGCCAGATATTATAGACATAGGTAAAATACGCATGAATAAGCATAACACATTTATGCTTATCATGCGTATTTTCTCAGCATCATTTTTCTTGGATATTTGAGAGCAGTTGCAAATAAGTCGAAAGGAAATTAAAATAACTATTACCTAAACATAAACATTATAATTACATTAGTTTTTGACATGTGATCCCAAACTTAAATATCTCAGAAATGTTATACTGTGGGGCACTATGTTTGAAATATGTATATATATTATGTTTTATTTACTTTATGTCCAAGCAAATGTGTGTAAGATTATTACTCGAAACCGTTGTTAGAAGAGATCATAAAGACATGCTGGTAGCCATACATCAGATTGTGTCCAATCCCCTATCCTAAAAAATATCGACCACATAATAAATATGCTCGATCTGTGTTCTTGACCTTTATTCTGTGTCAGATAGTCACAATTTACAATTGATAAGTTATAAATGTATAGTACTTGTTTAAGGGCCGATATTTCAATCATCAGTTAACTTTTTACTGTACATAAAATTCACATTTGGCAGTTTTTAGTATGGAAGAATTGTCAAAGGTTCAACTGTACCACAGTTAAAATTTATCTGGCGTTGGAAAAATCGGCCCTAAATGTTACTGTTGTGTACTTTAGGGAATATACCTTCTACACTAGACGAAATGTGTCCAATTAGTCATAGGACTTATTCAGTAGTGTTAGATGATATTTAGAATTCCATGTGGTGGTTGTATATTAAAATTCTTGTTATTAAACATTGTTTAATTTTTACCATTTTGTAATTTCGTACCTGTATAGATTATAGAAAGTAACAAGTGTCTGCATGACTCGTGGTGACTTAATCGAAAAATAATAACGTAAGGCAATGTTAGTTTGTGATTCATCCAGACAAGGACAGTACAGGATCTTCTGCAGGGGCGGTCCCAGTACCGAACCCTGTGGAACACCGCACGTAATAAACGTTACAAGAGGTTACGGAATCGGAATGACGTTGATGAATAAGTACAGAATAAATAAGACAATTTTTAAAATTTATATTATATTGCCGTACTCTTTTAACAGACATAAATAAAGTGTGCATCAAACAATGGTACTAAAATTAGTGGTGGGAGTTTTCATTTTAATTTAAATAATAACGAGTCAAACACTATTACTTAACTAACACCTTACATTTCAATCTAGAATTAATTAAGTAATTATAAAGCCAAATGAGGTTCATAGTTTAAAGCACTGGATATTTTGCCCAGTGTTTTCTTAATTGTATTGTATGCAGATCATTCACTTCGTCGCTGTTTTGCGATTGCCCGCAGCATAAGGCTTTGACCAGCGGGCTCAATTAAAATAGTAGCGGGACCCTGCATCCAAGGCTCTCCATCCACTTGCATGGCACATGATCCTTCCAACTCAATCTGAAATATCAATACAGATTTTATTTACTAACATTTTGATAGGTCCAACACTTGTAATGTGTTGCCCAAAATGGTCATTGTAAAACATGCATTGTTATTAGTTACTTCTTATTTTTTTTAATGTATCAAAACCGGTACAAATTATAATTTACCTTCAGGCTAGATGCTTGTGCAAAACGATAGGGTTCTGCTAAACCGCACTGCAACCTTGCGATGTGGAATGAAGATGAAATTCCAACCACCTGTAATTAATAAAGTAAACCTGTACCACCTGTACATTAAACCACATTAATAAAGTGTTAAGTGTGGAAGAGCCATGCTTCGGGACGAATGGGCCGACTCGACCGGAGTGATACCACGGCTTTACAGAGAACCGACGTGAAACAACGCTTGCGTCGTGTGAGTGATGTGGTTACGAAAGGCCCAATTACCCTCCCCGGTCTCCCCAATCCCCGAATCCTCCACAATCCTCAAATTCTCAATTCCTAGAGGGCTACTAACGCACTCGTAACGCCTTGGTGTTTCAGGTGTCCATGGGCAGTGCCGATTGCTTACCATCAGGTGATCCGTCCGCTCGTTTACCGGCTTATGCCATAAAAAAAACTTCGTTTTTCAGTCGAATCTTAATTTTGAGACTGGTGAAGTGATTGGTGTAAATATTGCCACTGCCGGCAAATTACAAATATTGTTGACAACGACACATCTCTATGAGACCATAATTATTTTATTGCACCCATTCTCAAAATAACTAATAGGACTACACGACACACTAGCGCCATCTATATTATTTGTTGGGCATTACAAGAAACAACGGCCATTTGAACAACTATTTGCACAATATGTAATCTGCAATGAAAGCAAGAAAATAGAAAAATAAAATCATCATGAGTTGCATAGATAATTAGATAAGTCATAGACGTACCTCCAGTTTTCCATCATGGATGCTTTGTTCTCCCACGTCATCTTCGCTTCCCATGCCTAGAGGTACAAGTGATGAGTTTGTTAAATGATGTAATTCAACAAGCAAGCAAATAAGTTCCTATTATACAAGCTCGTCAAGACTCACATTTTTGTTTAAAACAAAACTTTTTGCTTAAAAAAAAGGACTTTACCCGGCGATGCGCACTCAGTGTCAATGAATCAGCGTCAAAATCTAAATGTAGTACAGTATAGTCGATCATAGCCAGTCGACCTAATTGTGTACAAGTCTTTACTTTTTAAAGTAATTTCATACAGTCCAATCGCTACACAACTTCTGGCTCGTCGAGAATCGATACGAACCTGATCCCTCCCAGCCCGCACATATTTGATCCTTAGAGCCGGGTCCCCAGCCTAACCCCTTGATAACATTGTGAGAAAATTGCTTTGAAATCAATCATTCTTATCTATCTTAACAAATACAAATGCAATTATAGTAACTGGTGCGATATTTAACATACGTACATGTCAATAACCTACACCGATACAAGGCATACATACAGCTACTGGAGATAGAAATTTGATATAAAGGGACCTTGTTTTTGAGACTGGCCAGTAATAAGAGGTAACTTACTCCAAAGATCGACGCCGGCTCCCCAGGACGGAATATTGAGCGCGACCAATGCCTGCAGCGGTGGCAGTGTGAGCGGGTCCCTCGCCCCGCCCACCCACACACACAACGTCGCTCGAGCCCTCCACACCCACCATCGTCTAGCGCACGTCCCACTCCCAGGAATGCGTAAGCCATCTATATAACCAGACCAGATATAAATTAATAAGTTCTACTGTTAACCAAACGTTTTCTGTAAGCGATCACTTTGATAAGGCCGCGCGTTGTACAGAGTTTTGTATTGTATTAATGCATTTCTGTAAAGAATAAAGCATTGAATTCGCTACTATTACCATAATGAAAACGCACGTAACCATGAAATATTCTGAATTTGAAACAATAGGCTGGAATGGTCAAGTTGGTTGGATACACAAAGACTTCAAGGCAAACATGTCGAACCAATGATAAGAACCTTAGAACAATGTGGTAGTGAGACGTTCAGATGGAGATTATTAGTGGGTGTCATGTATTTAATTTGTGTTTGAATTAAAACACTTACATAATTAAGCGTTCGACTCGCGTATCTGTAAAGAAACTGCGAGCGTGCATGGTGGAAGTCCAAAGCGACTTGCGCGTCCACTCCAATACTGGCGTAGTTGTACGCGTACAATACGCGAGGCTGACGGTACCGGGCTAGTCTACTGCGCTTCGGCATTATCGTTACTTTCCATCTGTAAACAATTACATTTTGTATTAGATTTAATGATAATTTCTTATTTTAAACTAGCTGTTTCCGCGACTTCGCCCGCGTATAATAATGTATTTGGCAGGATTTATATCTTTTTATTTGTTTTTGCCTAACCTAACAAATCTCATAAGAATTGATTCAGTAAGTACTTAAGTTACATATATTGTAAAATGAATTTACTTTCGTGATTTCAAAAAATAAACATTCCTACAAGGGCTGTAAATACAAAGGGCGATGCTACTAATTTACTATTTTCTGGTATGGCAAATTTCCGTAGGAAACTTGGTCTCGACGGACTAAAATGAAATTATGAGTTTTCAAAGAGTAATGTCAGCAATGTCTAATTAGTTTTTTGATATATGAAAAACTACAATTTCAAGTTAACTGAAAATATATTATTCATTCGAGGATTCGATGATTTCGCTCTTTAAACTGCTGTTACCCTCTTTGCATACCTTAATGTTAATAATTATACCAAAAAAATGATCACATAACATCACGCCTTTTATCCCCGAAGGGGTAGGCAGAGGTGCACATTATGCCACTGTACAATGTAACACCCACTTTTCACTATTTATGTTATGAGTCCCATGTAATAGGGGGTGATCCTATTGCCATATACCGGGCACAATTCCAGACTCCGTGCTACTACTGAGAATTTTTTAAAACCCAGTAATACTTTGCCCGACCCGGGAATCGAACCCGAGACCCCTTGCCCGGCAGTCGCACTTGCGACCACTTGGCCAACGAGGCAGTCGAGGCAAAAAAATGATCATTCGGCTCTGTAAACTCACTTGTCAAAAAAATTACAGTTGACATCTAAATATTTTGTGAGTATTCAATTTTGGAACGTGTCTTGAAATTCAATCATATCTATATGATTGAATTTCAACTTTATATAACGTTAATAAAGAGCAAAAACAAATAACTCTTTGACGTAAGGAACACGCTTGCATTGAGTGCTTACAATATGAACTTTATACAATAACAATAAAGCTGAAATTGACTGTACCTTTTAGTTAGAAAACGTTTGTATGAAAAGAAAAGGGCTGTTTTAGGTTATTTTACCGACTTCAAAAAAAGAGGTTACCACCTCCGCGTCCACCCTATGTACGACTGATTATTTTTTATTTCCGATAACAGAATTGGCCAAACTGGTACAATCTTTGTTGAGTTATGTGCTTACCAACATATTTTGCGATTCATTTTTAGTGTTATATATTATAGGAGAAGAAGACATAGAAATGAATTTTAATAAACATATATAGGTAACCTACACGACACTAGGTTTTAATTAATGTAAGTTTCCATATGTATCTTAATTCTGAAAAAAAGGCGGTGTCAACATTATTTATTATAGTACATTTAAAATTGTTTTACCTGTCTAATGGCTGATGATTGGCTTGTCTTACAGAGTTGATAATGTTATGTGCGTCCAGAGTGGTATGGCCGCCCGCGCCCCAGCCCAGCACACGAGACAGATCGTTTCCAGTGCCCATGGGCAAAATTGCAACAGCAGCCTAAATAAAAATAAAACCTCATCAGACGAAAGTAAACACTGGTCATATAAATGATCTTTATTCTTTGGGATTTAGTCCCAAAAAATAAAGATCATTTATATGGACCAGTTACTCAGTAATAGGTAGATTAGCAGTCGGTACAATAAGACTTAAACATAACGGTCTAATTGAGAACTTCCTTCTTTTTATAAGTCCATAAAAAAATAATAGACAATAAAACATTTTCATATAATTATTATAAAATACCTTGACATGTGGAAAAGAGAACAACGAGTTCATAACCCAGGCTACTGTGCCGTCTCCACCTGCGACCAGTATGCGACATCTCGGTGGCAGCCATCGCACCACACTCTCAGGAGAAGTTGAACTAATATCCACCACCTGAAATCAATTGGTTTACTAATTTTATCAAAATTGATTTTTTGAATAATGCCTGAAAAAAAGTGGTTGCTGCTATGGGTTGGAAGTCCTGACCGAAATTGAATGACTACAATAGCACTTAAGACAAAAATATAAATACATAGTTAAACCGGTAATTTCAACAATAGATTCTCAACTTTATTACTAAAGAATAAGGTTGAAAATCAATCTAATATATACTGTCGCAATAATTGTCGAAATTTCGTCGCTTAGTATTTTGATTACGACGTTTTCCTGTAGGTAGTTGGTAGAAGTATGTATCGATTTAAAAGGAAAATAAATTATTATTAGTAGCTAACAAATGCCAATGCAAACAGAGCACATAGAGGTTTTCATCATCTCTATCCATGTACTCACCCATATATCAATGTTATTACTTATTTTCTTTAAAAATGTGATGTGGTAACAGTTTGTATCCACAACATAATACATAAATGAGTATAATTCACTGAAAAACAGCATTAAATTCAAATATATTCACAATACATTGACATTATTGTAATTAATTATAACTTACTTGAATAGGATTTAGCAGGCCCCTGAATAGAGATAGCACTTCATCACTCCTGTTGCTTCCAGACTTGGGATTAGCTGAAACATATATTAAAATAAAATTAGTTTTTAGGATGAAACTTGAAACCCTGTCTCGGACAAAGTATTCCAAAGATTTTTATTTGGTTTTTAAAAATTCTCAGTAATAGGAGGGTCTTGTTTGGCAATAGCCTCACTCCCCATTATACAGATCAGTGAGATGATAGTTGTTTGATTAATCTCTTAACAAACTAAGATTGAGATATTGCATATTGTACACCAGTAAACTAATTAAAATTTGCCTACTGACTTGTGACTCTTAACAGGTAAAATATTTACTTTAAGTTATTTAACCATCAAACTATTGTATGAATAAGTCACTGCTTGAACAAATGTGAAGGTCAGTTGCCTTGTAACATGAATAAATAAACAATCTCTGGAAAATAATCATTCTTCAAGTAAACACCTACCTACTATAATGAATGGTTCCCAGTCATTGCCACCTGGATGTTTAATGTTAGAAACAACTCCTCTTTCTAACTGTACACATGCAGGTGGAATAATAATATTCCTGTACTTTTGAAAATCACATTGCTGAAAAATGTTATTTACATTAAACTTTAATGGAAACTTCATTATTTGAGGCCAGTGACTGAAATATTATGTCAATTAATAAGCTTGAAAATTACACAGGAAGTTACAAAAAGAGTATAGTGAGCACAAAGTTTTGATATTAATAAGATTGTCTATTAATTAATACAAATCTCAATTTCACTGCCTATCTCAGTTTACATTTCAAACACAGTTCATAATTTCAGGCAACAGTAAACATGTTTCAATTAATAAAAATTAACAAAGCAGCAGTAGATTATCACACTATACATTTTTAATAAGTGTTAAATCAAATATTTTAAATTTACCTCATTCTCAAGAACTTGTGTATGAGCACATAATTTTGTTCTTTGACACCAAGTACAGAAGTATTTTTTTAAACCTTCTTCATGGTGATCCTCACTGTCTGATTGGCTCGTTCCCACTAATAATAAAGAAAAAATAAAAATTCTCTCAAAAAGTAACTAAATAAATCAAATAAAATATTTAGTAAAATAATATTTAATCTAAAGATTTAAGGAAACTTACCATGAACCCACTGATGGTAAAACGGTTTATCAGCAGGCCAAGATACTGGTTTACACCTTATTTTTTTATTAATAGATCTGTGACATCTCTTGCATGCACTTACAGCACAACATTCACAAAAGAGTCCCACTACCGGTAGCATCAACTTACAACAATTTGTGCACTGAAATGAATTAAAACCAATTTTAATTTACAAATATTGATAATATTTAAAGCACCTGAAGTGAAAATAAACTCACGTATATATTGTAGGGTACAGATTTATTACACTGAATGCTTCTCCATGTATGACCTCGGGTCCGATATTTTGTTCGCATATAATTATTATCAGCAATTAAAGAATGAAAAATTCGATACACCAAATAAATGAGAAACGCTCCTCCCACTAAGAAATAATGATTAGAAAATATAGCATTATTTAAATCAAAAAGGGTTTCAATTTTGGAATCATCCATTATAAAAATAATACTTTTTATTTAGAAATAAAAGTTAGAATTTATCAAACGAGAGAAAATCGATAAGCAATTTAATTCATTGTTTACATTATTGATAGGAACATGGAATTGATTGGAATTTAACTTTGACTTGCGACCAACTGACATTGACAATAGACAATACAACACTGACAGTGACATTATATTTCCCGTAGAATACTCTTTGCTATTGTCACATTTTTTTGTTCACCGGGTTATACATACTGGCTTTTAGGTTTTTGGACCCGAAGGAAATGCTCCAGTCACCTCTTAGGTTCTCCTGGGTTCTCCGGTTCTTCGATTCGATAAAATAATTTAAATGACATTATGCAAATCGTTTTATTTAAATAAACAATACATTATTTTTATTTCACTAAAGATAAATTTTAAGTTGTATATTATATGTATTTAGTTAATTTAAATTTGATTACAATTATTGTATTGAATTAATTTCACTAAAGTAGACAAAACTTACCTCAACAGAACACAAGTCAAGAAACGTCTTTTATCGTTTTTAATCAACTTCAAGTCCGCTCAAGCTTTGACCGGCATGGAAGTCACTGCTTCTCTATCTTCTTCATAAGCTATATTTATGTTTAAAAAATTAAATATATTTTATTTGTCAAAAGGGTACAAAGTAGAAAACGACTTTGTACACTTTTGACAAAGAAAATGTAATCAAATAAAATAGGTAATTTTGAGTCTGCGTATCTATTTTAAGTCTGTGTGTTTAGTTTAGTATGCCAAGAAGAAAAGTAAGAGTAATACTAATAAATAGAGGGGTGCGAATGACGAGTGGCACTGGCGAGTTGAGTGGTGTGATGTGTGGTACGAGCTAAAACCATCGCCGATCACCCGTTCCCGTCCGTCAGGCGTCAACAATTCAACATAGCGTCAATTGAAGTGAATGACGTTTCTGTTCGACACAATTTTATGAAATTGAAAAATACATTGTTGTAACAATCTCTTTCTATATGTGTGTACGATATGTAGTGCATAGTTGACGAGAATTGATACTTTATTGTACTGATAGTTACGTAGTTGCGACAATTTGAAGCCGTTTATTATAAAGTCTCTATTGAATAGATGGGTGTTATGTCGGTGTTGTGCTAACTGGCAAACAATAAAGCCATAAAGTGATTCAGGATTCAAGAAATAAAATCGCAGTTGCTGAAAGTACTCGAAGGCGTGTTGTCCAGCCAGGTGAGATTATAATTTAAATCTTTGGGGCGTTATATATTTTGGTGATCTAATGCTTTGTAATTTTCACTCATTGTTTATTTACAGTAAATAATTGGGAGCGACAATGACGTATTATGATTACTATGATGGCAGTAGGATATTCTCATTCATATCAACCAGAGTTGGGCTTCCCTTAGACTTAGTAAGTACCATCATTATATTTCATTTTATACTTCAATACAGTAGTTATTTAATAAATTATTTCATAGAAACACTTAGCTCATAGGTAAACTGCTTGGTATTATGAACTGTGGCTATCATTAAGTGGTGTTTTAAATGACCCAAGACATTTTTTGTGTAATTTAGAACTTCAGTAATGAAAGCATTGCATAGTTAATTATTTTTGCTAGCTAAAACTTCATTAGTAAATAATAGGATTAGTAATTCAAATTCGCTTAATGCCGAAGTATTTCTTCCAAACTTAGCATTATGCAAACATAACATTTGAATACATACATTTTATACTCAATGTTGACTTGAGCATAATTTATTTTAGCTAGGTATATTTTCTTAATTAATATTTTTTACTATCGTACAGTTAAACTAAATTTATATTTTATAACCATATAATATACTAGCTACTTCCGTGCGGTTTCACACGCTCTGCTCAGCTCCTATTGGTCGTAGAGTGATGTTTTAAAGCCTATAGCCATCCTCGATAAATGCGCTATCCAACACAAAAAGAATTATTCAAATCAGACTTGTAATTACGGAGATTAGCGCGTTGAAACAAACAAACAAACAAACAAAAAACAAACTCTTCAGCTTTATATAATAGTATGAGATTGAAAGATATCTTAAAATGAGTTTGGTGCTAAGTAATTTGTGTCTAATTTATGTGCACAATGATGATCGTCATCATCATCATCATTACACAAAGAAATATTACAATAGCTTATCAAATCTTGATTAAGTCAGAATTTGGCAATGAGAGATAAAGAGACACATTTATTGCCACCATTTGACCTTAAATAAATGACAACAGACTGGCGTGTGATACCCCAAACTTTAATAAAAAAAGGTTTTATACATTTCATCTCTATTGCACAGCAATAAGGCTGATTTTCAATTAATAAAATATGTTCTTAAAATATTTTGTCATTTTACTATTTTATACAGTAAATTTTGTTTTTTTTTTATACGGCAGACAGCTAATAATAAATTTAATACACTTTTAATGATCATAGTCGGAAAGTTATGGCCTGACTGAAGCTGATCTTTTTAATAGTTGATAATTTAATAGTTTTATTTCCATATTTCTGGATAGTAACTGTTTTCGTTTAACCCATAGTAAAAAATCCTACATTTAGGAGATTTTATAGAATAGAATAGCATTTATAAGTTTGGCCAGCCGATACAAAATAAGGGGTGTCTAGTTGAGTGCAATTCGATTTTGATAGCATAAAAGCTTTACTGTTATGTGATTAAATACCTTCCCCTTTGTTTCACATGAATCACATGTCTCAATAGAATAAATGTTTTTCAATTGGTGTCTCAAGGTCTCGGATTCGATTCCCAGAACAAACGAGCATTTAGCTGTGATGTTTTATCACACCTTATGTAAGCGTCAGTTACGTTATAAACATTCAGAATATTTTCTAAAATTGTTTGCTCCATTTAAAACAAGTTTTGAAAGTGAGCTAAAATGAGAACAGAATGGAAAATCTCGTCGATCATGGCATATTTTATTTGTAGCCTAAAGTGATGTGTTTGGCATTTATTTAATTTTATACTTCTGTCGAAAGAATTAATAAATAAAATACAAATTATAAATAGCGAGCTTTATTGGGTTTTTTTTAAGTAGGTGCATTTGCTGACTATGAAACTAGATGTAATGCCTCCGAAACCCGTTAAGTACAAAATTTCAAGAACATCGTTGGAGTAGTTTCCGAGGTCGTTGATACATATAATGTATACAAGACTTGCTTGTTAAAATTTTAACTATAACTCTTACTGCTTACATGAAAATTTAATATGTATAGGTCATCATATCAGGCGAAATGAACCGGGTCCGAGAGTGTTACAGAAATCGGACCTTTGAGGAAAATAAGGACAATTCTATTATTTGTTAAATTTAGAAAGAATGAAAAATACTTAATTTGCCATTAAGCATAATGCTCCAATTACACAAACATAGAATTACTATAAAAAACAACAGGAAAAAACAATAATAACAACACCAAAAAGAAAACAATATATAAATGTCATAATATAAAAAAAACAACAAGGTGGCAAAATGCCCATGACAAAAAAAAAAACACAATTAGCCGAACATAGTAGGTATCTCCTCCTTTTTTTTTGAAGTCTGTAAAAGGGTTTGCCAACTCAGTATGAGCTGGGCACAGTAAGTGCCCAACACTGGTTTTCAGTTGGCACCCTTGGAAATGCCTACCTCAACAACTGCACAAAATAAAATTCAGGAAACACAATTACTATATTGTTGATTCGTAACATTTCACTAAATCTTACTAAACGATTAAATAGGATGAGACCAATTCTAGAAGTTCTTTAGAGACCATAATGTAAATTTCTACTCTAATTTGCTCAAAACTACTTATACCTCTTTGGTCAAAACTGCTTGTACCTCGAACTGAAGGGGTAGTCTTCCATCTTAGTTTAGTTATATCGGTTTACCATGAATCAATTTATTATTTAAAGGTTTAGTTATTCATACAACCTTACATGCCATCAAAATGACAAACCTCTACAAATTTGTAGAGGGTAGTCTATCTGATCTGCCATAACGTAAAATAATACGAGCAAGCAATATAGAAAATGATATAAGTATTGAAATTTTAGAGGTTCTAGTTAATAATATTCATCCTTAAAACCCAATAAAACATACCTGTTATTTTTTAAAAATACATCATATCAATTAAGATTATTTTATCCATTTAATAGTCATAATAAAACTCCTGATAATATTTGCTGTTAAAAATATTAAATTGTAATTCTGTAGAATGGTTTCATTTACAAATAAATTTTGTATTTCTTTTAATCAATGTAGATAAGTATTTATCCTGTTTATAATCTGCCAGCAAGAAATCAATGACGGTATTAAATATCACTTCCTGTGATGATTTCTTTTGCAGTAAATTTGTTGTCAAGGGCAAACTCATTGCCGGGATAGTTCGAAAGAAATGTCTGAATAATTTCAATTTATTAATGTCTCAAGATCGCATCGAACATCATTGCTTCACTTAGTGGCTTCGATTTGATGATAAGACCAACAAGAAGATACCTGTAGTTTAAATTCTCAGAGTTTAATACAACCATATATTGTGTTCTGTACAAGCACCCTTGTGATAACAGATACTTTCTGATAATGAGGACAAATACCTCGATTAAGTAAACACAGGTACTTATTGTCATGGCTTTAGGTATCAAGATTACTATTTCCTTTGTGTGATTAAATGTTGTAGCTATACGAAAGTAAATAAAATAATGTTTTTGTAGGCTTACCTACCAATACCTATATGAGGTTCAAACTATCTAATAGTTTTTGACTACCTGAAGAAAGCAGTCTTGAATTCTTGATATTATCTATATTAGAATACTTCAATAAAACATATAAGGAGAGATTTTATTCCATAATCACACCCTTCTGAATACATACGATAAGAACTGACTTCATAATTAAATTTTGGTACATACGTACAAGTTCATTTTACACATTAGGATGTTGTATTTAGCGTATTTTAGCATAGCTCGTAGTTGCTAAGTTCTTAGATTACATACACATAGGAACTCTGATCTCATTGATTTATTTGTTGCTTTGTTATAATAACACGATTTATTTTACTCGTTGCACTTCATTCATTAGTACTTTTTTTTCAATAGGTAAATTTTTTGATCGCACAAGTAGCTGCACTATGCCTGGCAAGACTGTTTCGAAAACCATTAAGATATGCTTCGCCGGAATTTCGACATTCTGTGTGCCTTGTTATAGGTTTAACGATGGGGTATTTCTGTTTTGGAAGGTAATTATTCTTCGTTTCATTTTACCAAATATTTTATGCATGCGTATGTTATTTGTTTTTGTGTAGTTTGGTTACCGTTGTAGCGACAAGGTAAAGGTCAAATAATTACTGTGAAGTACCTAACTACTTAATACTTATTTATTTTGAATGTTTTCACGTTAATATGTTTATTATATGGTAGATACTAAGTCCCTAAAAGCAATAATCACTCCCATTATTATTTTGTATGATAATTTTATATCTAATTTAAGAAGAAATTGATTGCAATGATAACTATATGAAATTATACAATTGTGTTTATGCGAAGGCATACATCAACTTTTTCGATGGACATTTTGTGTTTATCCACCAAAAGAATACTGGCAGTTTTCCATTTAAGAACATCGTACAAAAAAGAGAAAGTTATTTTCGAATTCTTTCATTTCTTCGAATAAAATTAATTCCACACGAAGAAATTTAAAATTAGTAAACAATTTATTTGCAAGGTGTACTTTGCATATGACTTACATACACTTATATAGGTGGTCAGAGAATCGTTAATTAGGAATATAAGTCTAGCGAACAATGGGTCATTAAAAAAGAAATGCCTGACGCGATGACGTAACAGAGATTAAATGTAAATTAATTTTAATAGATTGCAATACATAAATAAATATAATTATGCGACATGACAAGACAATAAATAAAGGAAATGGAGTACGATTTTCAAATAACTGTAAAATGTTCATAATTGTAATAATCTGAATAAAAACAATAAATAGTAATCCTTTGTTAAATTTCATAGCAGAATATATACTTAGGTACGTACTAAGTTAGGCATGTATTTAGTATATTTATCATTGTGCCTTAGTAAATATTTCGAAGTCCTGGAATTGTTTAAAAAAATATAATTATGTGGATTTATTATTATTTATTTATACAAACAAGTCGGTTAATAAACTATGAATCCGTATTTAATGCTTATTATAATATGTACTGACACCGACAAACAATGACTTTACAGAACTGCATAATGTCAATATTAATTGTTAATAATTTAATCGATATTTAATATTTTTTCTTGATATGTTTTAATGATTAGAACTAATTTGTCTTAGCACTAAGCACTTAAGTAGATGATAAATTAATAATAGCTTTAATTGTGCCCACCCCCTCCCCCTTTACTTCGACATTATTAAAAGTTTGTCTAAAATATTTTTTTATTCTCAATGTTTCTTTTTTATAATCTTATTATAAATACTAAGGAAGCTATATTCTATTATTTAGGCTTTCTGGAAATAGGAAAAAAATTATTTTATGGGATAAGCCGGTGAACGAGCAAATGGATTACCTGATGGTAAACAATCGGCATCGCCCATGGACACTCGGAACACAAGAGGTGTTACTAGGGCGTTATCGGCCTTTTAAGAATTTGAACATTGTTGGGGATTCTGGGATTGGGGAGTTATTACGCAATAGTAAAATTGTGTCTGTCCATGGTGTCACTTAAACCAGCACAATTTTTCAGGTATTTGGAAGGTCATTAGCTACCTGTAAGCCTTTAACCCATAAATCCTTCGTCCCAAATATCACGATTGGCCAGACATTATTTTTTTTGGTGAAATCATTTTTTTCCTAATATATTTCTCTTAACTAAAATTATTTTTTTTGTTTGTAGGTTTAGTGGCCGAAAATAAGTTTTTTTGTATACTCCATAGTCAATTTAATCCAAATACATCTTCGTTCGATACAAATGGTTTCAAAAAATTTCTTACAAGCTTCCAAAGTTTAATTTTTTATTCACACATCTGATATTTTTCGACTTCTAGTTAAAACTAAAAGCCATTATGATCTTAGTTTTATTTTTAAAAGTTTCTTATTTAATATCTTTTCTAACAGTATGTTACAAGTTACAGATATTATTCAATTTTGTTGTAAAAATACGACTTACTACTTTGTCGTGTACAACAAAATTTATAAATATTGAGTTAAACGATACATTCACGGTAAATTTTTCATTTTAATAAAAAAACATATGTAAACAACCGTAACATTTGAGTTGAAGAGTTTATGGGTAAAAGGTAGCTACTAGCTAATGGCCTCCGCAATTCCTGAAAAAATTGTGTCGGTCCATGCGCCAAACACCCTGTTTACATACAGCTATTTGAAGTTATATTTTTAATTATAGGTACATTAAAAGTATTAAAACCTAAGAATAATACGTAAGGTTAAGTTTTCCGTAAGGTACCTACAGCTTGTTACACAGGGTCAATTAGGTATATTTCTAATTTAATTATCTATTGTCTCATAAATGTTAATACGTTAGCTAATAATGATGATATTTTTCAGACAAGCGATCCATTTATCGGTGCTACCCATGTTAACCTACACAATGTTAAAGAGCGTTTCACACAATATTATGGGAAAGTAAGTGAATAAACCCTGTACTTGGATACTACACTTTCTAATACAAAAATTGACTTAGTATTTAGTCTACGTTAAATTTAAACTATGTCTTTTTGTTTCTAGCGTTATATTGGCGGTTTCAATGATATACCTTTCATGTCTTCATTTACATCGACAAATATACCACACGGCTGACTATTCTTTAGATATAACAGGTATGTGTTAGAATATCTACTTATAAAATGCTATATTTTCGCATATTATCTTAGCCTCGTATTCACCAAAGAATATTGTTCTAGGTCCGTTAATGGTAATCACTCAAAGAGTTACGTCATTAGCTTACTCACTGCAAGACAGTTTAACTGTAAAAGAAAGACCAACATCAGCAAACTCATCAGAAGCGAATGGAAGACTAGTGAAAATAGAGAAGATTCCGTCACCGCTTGAATACTTCGCTTATACATTAGCCTTCCAAACATTAATGTGTGGACCAGTAGTGTTTTACTCTGACTATATTAAATTTATTGAAGGTGCGCGCGTCGATGAGGTAAGAACAATAAATACTTTTACTTACAACGACCTACATAAAGGTTTATACATGACTGCGCAGAAGTTACGTTTCAATGACTGAATAACTAAAACTATAAGTACTTAATTTTTATTCACTTGAACTTGACTTTTTATTGCAGTTCATTAGTACTGTTAGTCACGAATACAATGAAATTAGTTACACCATACAAAAGTTAGCAAATTTATAAATAGTCCAGTTTCAGCCGTGCGCAGATAGTTTTTAATTTTACTTTCTTAATAATCCGGATTTTGGAAAACTTTTTGGTTGTATTCTTCAGGTCATGAACATTTTGAAAGCATTGTCGATTAGGCCCCGTGAGTAGCACATATAACTTAAGAGCTCTGTTCGAGTTCGAATATAGTCGGGCAAACACGAATTGGAAAGGTAAGTAAATCTGGAAAGATAGTGTGCATCGTCAGTTAAGTTTGCCCGGTCATTTAATAATTCCTGAATTCACTGAAAAGACACGTGAATTTGTATCGAGTACCTACTGAAGCATGATACGATGTTTTTATGGAACATTAATCAGTTGTAGCTTGAGAGCCTTGGAGTTTGAATTATGTGTTTATAATACCTTGTTTTATAACACTATTTTAAATATTTATTTCCTACTATGTTTCAGTTCGAAAAAACAAAACATGCCAGAGAACCATCGCCGCGTCGTGCTGTATTTTACAAAGTATGCGGTTCAGTGGCCGCTGCCTTATTATATTTAACTTTGGCTAAGAAATATCCTTTGGCTGTGTTAGAAGGTAATTTTAATATAATTTTTTTCTTAATTTCATTTAAGTTAATTACTCCCCATGTTATTGATAAGAACTAACTTGGAGAACTCGCGTAAAGCTGTACCTATTGCAACTGATAGGTAATAAATTTCTTTCGCAAGTGGTTCATTGCACAGTTTGTAGGTTCGAGGAAATTCTTGATGACAACAAAGTGCCAGAAATAATGTCCCTACCTAGACAGTACAGGTATTAATTGTCTAAAAATAAAGGTTATCTTACTTAATGTAAAATTAATGGTAAAACAGTTTAATTTAAACTCCCGATTGTCGTTGGTATTTGTTAACTTATACATATTTAATGTGTTGCACAATGTAAAATTATATATAATTACTTGAATATATATTTACTTAACAGATCTTTCCTTTCTACATTCACAGAATTGACGGACCCTTCATCAGAAGTGTCGCGGTCATGGTCAGCCCTGTACCTGCTTTGGTACGCGTACTTGTCAACCCTAGTGGTGCGGTGCAAGTATTACCACGCCTGGTTGCTGTCCGAAGCAATATGCAATAACTGTGGCATGGGATTCAATGGCTACACCACCGATGGCACGCCTAAATGGGACAAAATGTCCAACATCGATATATTTGGTTTTGAGGTATAAATGTAAAACCATGATAGATTAACAGCTCTTTTTCTACTCTGACCACTAATTAACGTTTGTTTCTTATCTTTAATTGTTAGAATAATAAATCTAAAGGACACACAGGATGTCCGTGAAGTCGACGATCAAATTGCACCAGGTGATGGACATCTTCCCCGAAGGGGTAGGCAGAGGTGCACATTACGGCACTTAATGCCACTGTACAATGTAACACCCACTTTTCACGATTTATGTTATGAGTCCCATGTAAAAGTCGCGCTTAAATATAGTTCTGTCACTACAAATTCTTTGTAAAATGACAGAGATGTTAAGTACAACTTAAAATTGAGTAGCCTTTTAGTATTCGGGCGTTATTCTTTATTTATAGTTAAGGGCTGTGCAAAGTTATTTGTTACTTAAAGTCTAAATAATCTGTTAACAATGTACATAGTTATTTAATGATATTCTTAAAAACATGACACGTCTGACCTGCAACATAAATCATGACATGTCTGACCTGCGACATAAATCATGACTAATTATTGTGATTAAGTAAATAATGAAGAATTTACAATTTGTATTTAAAATTTTCAGTTTGCACAAAACTTCCGTGTGGCGATCGCCAGTTGGAACAAGAATACTAATGCGTGGCTCCGTGATGTGGCATACGAGCGCGGTGGCGCGGCGTGGCGTACGGCGCGCGTGTACGCACTGTCCGCCGTATGGCACGGCTTCCATCCCGGATATTATTTAACGTTTTTCGCTGGCGGACTCTTCACTATTGCGGCTAGGAAGGTGAGGCGATTTTTTTATTTGTTGCGCAAATCTTTTAACTCCTCTGGTATATCAATCCATGGGCGGCTATCGTTTACCTAGAGTAAACGATTAACGCCATAAAATATAGTTTATCTGGTTTTATTTTAAAAAATATATCACCTAATTTCTTAATATATACATATCCTTCCAGATAAGGTATGTGGCTCGTCCGATGTTTTTAGACAGTGTCCCCAAGAAACTTTTCTACAATTTCGTAACATTCTTCACCACAAGAGTTGCGATGACATACGCCACGGTGCCATTTGTACTCCTTCATCTCACTCCTAGCCTCGCTTTTTACGGGTTTGTATTATTGTTTAATTCCTATTTTATTAATATTTAACAACATGGCAGTTTATGCTGTGCTCTGGTATTTTGACCTGTTAATGTAATGTATGATTTACTTTCAGGAAATTTTATTACTCCCTTCACTTCATCGCTTTGGGTGCAATGCTAATACCCGAGAAGTCCACACGATCCAAAGCAACACAAATCCAAGAGAACAGCTCACGTAAACTTAGTGCAGAAGCATTGCCGACATTGGATTCAGTAGAATCATTAAATGGGAAGCTTAAAATAACATAGAATATGTGAGTTTTGAGGTCTCTGAAGGTATTTCTCATGTTCAATCACGATTACAATAATCAGAAATATTGTTATAAACTATAATTAATATTAACAAGGAATAATCTTTAATTCAATGTTAAGTATACTATTACGCACAAAATACTGACAGCAAAATATTTGTGTAAAGGTAACTTTTATTCTAACATAAGAGTAAATTCGGAATACTCAAACGCTACTCAATTTTAAGTCGTGCTTAAGTATAGTTCTGTCTCTACAAATTCTTTGTAAAATGACAGAGATGGCACGATATTTAAGCACGACTTAAAATTGAGTAACGTTTCAGTATTCCGACATAAGATGATTTATTTTCTAACGCTAAAACAGTGTTAAGTATCTAATTTGTATTATTATCTATTTATTTCAGTATTACCTCCAATGATAATACACATTATGTAGGTAGTGACTCAATTCAATTCAGAAATTGATTTGAACGAGATGACACAAGGCGTTGGGAGTTGTGAGTCAGTTAAGCATTATTTTATCAACTTATTTTTTGTAAGTTTAATGACTGAATAGGCACAGCCCTATCAAGTAAGTCCGGGTGTACAGTCAGAAAAGTCTCCAATGTATTGTGTGCATTACGCTGTGGAGATAAGGTTGAATTTGTTTATAGATAATTGGATTTTCTATTATATCGGATATCGGACTCTTGATTCTGCGCCCGTATGAATTGATAGATTGATATGATTGTACAGTACAACACATGCCTTATTGTTACCTAGCAAAATACAGTTAAGATTTATTTTATTTCGAAAAAAGCATACCTACCTATAGCTTCTAATATTTAATTGAGACAGTTGTGCAGTACCTAGGTAGGTATGTAGCACTTGATGAACAAATTCATATCACAATTTGGCCATCTGAGTCTGAATATTTAGACACAAATACAAATGGATTTTATAGTTTTTAATATTCTTTATTACTATTGAAATACTTTTTAGTATTACTCTTGAAACCACTAACTAATATGTGATGTCTTATTATGATAAAATGCTATAATTATCATATATTGTGAATTACTACATAAGATTATGTATTGACTACTTATAGAAAAATGTTCTTTGTTCTTCATATTACACTGGTTACTTGTTTACCCATTGTTAACTACTTAAAAATATTTTTCGAATCAAACATATTCTTGTACTACATAATGTATTCTTCATGTTATACTACTAAAGTAAAGTTTGTTTAAATAAAACAACATATCTTTAACATAATTGTTATATTTTATAACTAATAGTTTGTGTTGCAATGGTAGTTTACTAAATACAACTAGAACATTCGGTCAATAATCAGCATTTCATTTCAACAGTTGTATTAAGTAAACCAGCAAGCATTTAATATAATTAAATTTTTAAATGTATTATTAATGAAAATATGAGTTTAAGGTTTTAATTTTAATCTGGAATTGCCATAACATCGCAAAAGGCATGCATGATAGTTATAGTGTCTACATTAAGTTATTTATAAACAATTTGGAATATTTGCCAATAATTTCTAACTCGTAATCTTTAAATATCAATTCTCAATATTTCTAAATTATAATAAAAACAAGAGTTTAGATTGGAATTAATTAACTATAATTTTATATAATTTAAGTTTTAGCCATCTTCAAAAGGGTAATAGTTTTTTTTTTTAGTTCTGCATGCAAGATTGTATTATTTAGACCGACAGTGACAGCTGAGTAGCCTGTAAGTGTGGACAGTGAAAAGATTTTTTAATAAACACAGAAATATACTGTAAACTATCATCAGTTGAATATGTACTCAACAAGTGTGTAAATACAAGAAAATATTGTAAATCCAAGATAGGATGTATATTGTAACATCCAAGTAATTTTGGCAGGTTGTGTAGATTTTACTTTAACATAGCATTTACAGAATGTATTATTGTTTATCATCTGTTGATCCAATGAAAATTATCTAATTAAAACTTTGTATTGCATCAAATTTGTGGATGTGATACCAATTTAATACCTCAAACATGGAATTGTATTTATTTTTGTTACAAATTAATTTTATATTAAACTTATTTTATATGGTTAGTAAAAAATATATTTTACATTGATGTTTTTTATTGACACCCATCCAGGCTTCCAGGCTTTTTACCTTAGCAGATGTTACTTAACAGATGAAGTAGTAACCATACACAGTAGTAACCATACACTTTTTTCTTAATTGTCATGGTTTGTCCTTTTGGTGGTATGAAATTAATAATTACTTTTAATGTGTTAGTTCATTTCTTATTCATTTTCATGTTCATGAATGCTTGTCTTATGCAACAAAGTGCACCGGGAACATCATTCGTGTCATCTAATCTTTTCTGCAATTCTTTGAAGTCAGATAGTTTTGGTGTAACACTGGACACTGAAACATTAAAATGAGAATTAATAAATTATACCAGTCACCCAACAGGGCAGGTAGCCAAAATACAATTACAAATAGTATTATACAAATATGTGAAGCTGTAAATACTTACAGTGATAGCATCCAGTCTTTGTGTCTTTTAGTAATCGAACAGAATAATTTTCAGACTCCTTTTTGGCTTCAGTGAAAAATTGGACATAAATGGTTTGCTTTCCTGGACTTTTTGATTCTATTGTATAATACATTTTCAAAAACTTCTTGTAATATTTCTTAGCCATGAGGAAAGCTTCATGTGTCTCTTTAATTTCTTGAGATAACAGTTTTTGATCTGAAATAATTATTCATTAATACAATTTATGTAATTAATAAATAAGTAAATTATAGGTGAGTGTGAGTACCCATAGAAACAAATAAAATAATGAAAGTGAGTTCCATCCATTAAACTGTCAAACACCAAGCGGTCACTGGTGACTGCAACCTATTGTTCTTTAAATGTGTCTATAATGACGGTACTCAACAAGTTAAACTACTAAAGCAGTCAATGTCTCATTGATGGTTTTCATACTGATAAGACTTGATAACTAAACAAGCCTCAAAGTAACGTACTAATAAAAGTCAGACCTGACTTGTTTATTTCTTCTCTCAGTGAACTGTTTGGAAGATAACTGTAATGTAATATTATTACTGGCACCGACTCCAAAAAACAATAGGTAGGTATATAAGTATAACTATTTTAAGATATTTAGATGGTTTAACTTTAATTACTTTGATATAGTTTAGAAAAATTATAGTATTAGGTAATAGGTATTAGGAATTATTTTTTAATTTTTAGTTTTTTTTTGTGTTCTCGCATTTGAAGTCGGTTTTATTTTTTTTAAAAAGTTAATTATTTTATTTTAAAATTTTTAGTGTTACTTTTTTGTAGATACCCTTAGTGCATTTAATATGGGTAGGCCTACTAAACGCGCAGCCTTAATGAGACAGCACCGTTTGGAGGAAACAAAAGAAGAAAGGGAAGTGCGTTTAAAAGAAAGTAGAGAAAGAAATGCTAAAAATATATTAAAGGAGAGTGATGAGCAGCGGACTTCTAGACTTTCATAAAAAATTTCATCCCCAATTTTCCACCCTTGGGGGTTGAAATATTTTCTTCAAATTCGCATGAAACCATCCTTTTGATAATACCTATTCAACAAAAAAATAATAGTTCAAATTGGTTCATAATCGGCGGAGATATTGCGTATAAAAAAAATCATCCCCCAATTTTCCACCCTTGGGGGTGAAATATTTTCTTCAAATTCGCATGAAACCACCCTTTTGATAATACCTATTCAATAAAAAAATAATCGTTCAAATTGGTTTAAAATCGGCGGAGTTATTGCGTATAAATAAATTCATCCCCTATTTTCCACCCTTGGGGGTTGTTATTTTTATTAGTAAATTTAAATGGGACCAACCTTGAGGTATTACCTATACGCCGAAAAAAGAATTTTTCAAATCGGTTCATAATTGGCGGAGTAATCGCGTAAAAAATATAGAAAAAAAAAAAAAAAACATACGGGTCGAATTGAGAACCTCCTCCTTTTTTTGAAGTCGGTTGAAAACTTACCCTTTTTGTAGTTTTCATATTGAACCTTTTGTTGTGAAAATTCTTCAAGTTTCTTGTCAATGTCCTGCCTCATTTGCTTATTACGTTCTATTAAAGTTTTTAACTCAACGTCGTGATTATGAGTAACATTGCTGTTCCAATTGAACTTTTTATGCTTAAAGCCGTTTTCTATGACACTCAAAAATTTTTCATGTAAAGATTCTACTTTATTTTCAAATTCCATGTAACTGTTTTCTTCAATACTTTTTAAATTGTAATGAATATTCCAATTTTCTTCAATGATACTCATTGTGCCAGTTGTGACTTTAAAGATTTTAATCAAAATATTTTCCACGAGTAAGCAGCTCAAGTGAATAAAATCTTCCCAGTCTCGTAGTTTTCTATAAACACTACTACTTCATCACCAAATTTTCGATTAAACCAAATAAATAATTTGTTTGTTTGTTGGAAATCGTAACTTCTCCAACTTTTACGTTCAAATTCTCAAACCGTTTACTTGACAGCGACGCCAAAACAGTGTCATGTCATGTCAACCAAAACCATCCATAGACATCAAACCCGTAGCAATCTGTTTAGCATGTGGTAACTAGAGATGAGACCATTGTTTTGATTCCTAGCAAAAATATAATTGTTTCAATACTAACCCATTCTTCAACCTGATCCTCTCACTTAGCTTACTTCCTAAAGGTAAATAAGATAAATTATTCCTTATTATATTTATACCAAGATCTTTGTATCCAGTATGAGGAGGACATATTTAGTCTCATTATTATAATTTAAGTAAAAGCTAATATGATAAAGGTAGTTAAATATATAGAACCCTAATAATTGTCAATAAATCGACTAATCACAAAGACATTTCTGGTTTACAATCTGTGCTAAAGACCAAACAAACACTATGGTCACCTCTAAAACCGAGTTGTTGGGTAGATAAAACGTCAAATTGTCAATGAAGATCGTGAATAGAAAATGTATTTGATCTAAACTAGAAATTTCATACTTTTCTACATTGTAATAAATGTTCAATGAGTGTGCTGTCATGCAAAAGTTAAGGCCATTGTTAATAAACAGTTATAGTTGTGTCTGATTGCAAATCGCCTGGGAAGGATATGAATTTCTGGTAGGCAAATCGAGTGGTGATTTTATCAGTATGTCATGTGTTTATTTAGCTTTTTTAATACTATTTCTCTATCTCAGGTTTTCGGCGAAAAATCTTAAGAGGTCACATCAGTGGACTGTTGTTTATCATTATGTTTTATTGCATTTATGATGAAAATCTTATAAAGTCTGTGTCTGAGCTTGCTACAAGTTTTACGACTTTCAAGATATTCGAACAGAGTTTGTCCAATGGGCCATTGTCTAAGCTGTTTCAAAAATCAAGCTAATGCAGATATTACCACTTCACCACACAGAAAAAAAGATGGTGAGTAATCCTGTGACTTGTATTGCAATAAAATGATGTCAATTTACCTAGGTATTATTAATTGTAGGTTTTTCCTATTTCAGAGATGACAGAAATAGAAGTCACAGTCTCTGTTTACCCGCAACAAGAACCTCTTCTCAATGACAATCAAAATAGCATTACTCAGTTCAGAAACACAAGTTCTTCACATGTTTCAAGCACATTATCAGGTGAACAGAGTCCTGTGGAGATAACCAATACACACAAGCCAATCACAGTTTCAGAGAGAATACCTAAGCCATTCTATCAGAAGTTGCCAACCATACCTCGGACTATGTCATCATTGAGTAACAATGACTCTCGAATATCTGAGTCTAAAATTATTCAGCTCTTTGATCAGTACAAAGATTCATTAGAAGATGCTATATTGGCTGAAGGAATAGAAAACCTATGTAATGATCTGCAGTTGAACCCAGATGACTTCAAAGTTTTGGTTTTGGCATGGAAATTAAATGCTAGTCAAATGTGTAGGTTTACAAAATCTGAATTTGTACAGGGCTTGAAGAATATGAAAACAGAATCAATTAAAGGTATACAAAATAAATTAAATGAAATAACAAATGAGCTAAAGAGGGATACTGAACACTTTAAGGATTTGTATAGATTTACATTTAAATTTGGTTTAGATGTGAGCACAGGCCAGAGGATTCTGCCTACAGACATTGCTATTGTATTGTGGCGTCTAGTCTTTACAAACAATGAGCCTCCTATATTAGACAGGTGGTTGTTGTACTTGGAAAAGAATCCACATATAAGAGGCATTCCAAAGGACACATGGTACATGTTTTTAAATTTCTGTGAATTCATTGGGGATGATCTCAGCAGTTATGATGACACGGAGGCTTGGCCAAGCCTCTTTGACGATTTTGTGGAATATGAAAATGATCAAATGAATCAAAATGTCAAGAAGAATGATATCAAAACACAGGATTAATGTCCATTGCCAAATTTTAGCTTCTGTAGGTACTTAATTAAGATATTAAGACTGATAATCTGATAATGAATGTTCAATGATGTTAGTCTTGTATCTCAGGTGAAGTTAAGTGTTAATAAGGTAAAAGAATGTATTATTAGTACTACATACTGAACAAAATTGTGTAGGTACATATTGTGAGATTTAAAAGTGTACATAAAGTACTTTTATATTTTATAAATGTTTATCTTTAGGTTTATTTTTAAAATTATTTAACATTCCAGTAATGGAATTAGACAAAAAATTTGTAAATATTGTTCTTAGTTGCATCAAAGGTACCTTTTATTTCTTTATGCTGTATATTTTTATTTTACTTTTACCTTTCATTGCTAATTTCATTCTAAATCTTGCACTATCTGAATAATGCCTGAAAATAATAGAATAATACTAGTAAAGAAGTTTTATTTTACATCTAACAAGAATACTGTGATTGTAATTTACCTGACATATTATTACATTTTCAACTTGCACTGTCTGAAGTTTAAAAAAGTCCCAATGAAAATTACTAGACTATTCGCTGATAAATTATTACTGTATCTACCTAGTTTTATATAATATGAAGTCATAAGGCTGATAGTAATTATGCAGAAAAATAACTATTGCTAAGCACAATAATACATACATAGAGGTCTAAAGCTTAAGAAGTTATGTTGTCCTATATTAGGGCACTAAGCAGTTCTCACTAGCTGCCCCAGTATCTTCATGTATTTAGAATTTAAAAAGTAACTTGATTATAGGCATCACATCAGTTTTTATTTTACATAATGTTCAGATATTGACCGGCTATGGTTTCTTATGTATAATTAAATTAGATTAGGTACCTACCTAGGTTTAGAAGTTTCAAGTTACATTTCCATTAGATGAGCTAGTGAGAACGACGACAATTTAATAATATAATCCAATTAAATTTTTCTTTGCATGAGGAGAAGCATGTGGGTACTTCATTTTTGCAGTTGTAGGTATCCAACCTTTTTGAATGTTATCATTAGTGCAATAATGTCTTGCTATTTCAATAACTTGACTGCCATGCTACTACACTATTCGAGTCGCCGCAGTTGCGATTTTCCAGTATTACTGTATTTTGAAGTCTCGGTAGGTATCTAGATCAGTTTGGAATGCTGATGTAAGTAGTGCAATAGACTTGAGATCTATTACTAAACTAATAAGTAATAACTTATTAGGTACGTAGTGCGCAAAATGGTGATTTTTACCAACATACCCATGATGTTTATTAGAGACCAGGCAGCTCTGACAAACGTAATCTTCTTTAAGAATATACACAGCGATCTCCAGACTCAAAGTTCTCAACCCGCCTGCTAAGCGTGGAGATTATGGCAACCCTCTTTTGTAGAGGAGACACATGGTTTAGTACTCCTGCAGTGTACCTACTCATGGGCTGTCGGTGACGACGAAAAGTGGGTGATATATTGAATAAACTAACATGACAATCGAGATTTGTTCAACGGAAACCTGACATGCGCAGCGTGCTCTAACCCAACATTTTTCCTGGTTCTGCCTGAACCAATTTAGGTGCAATAAATTATTTGGCTAACCATTGTAATAGCTCTACTCAAGTTGTGTTAATAGACCGATTAGATAATATACCGCGATCGCTGAACAAGAGCTTTCGGGTTCAATTCTAAAAGTTGTTTACAACATCATTACTGTTGTTCTCGTCTCACCGCTCCATTTTGATGCAATCTAGACCTAACATTAATTATGTGCAACGCTGCTTTAAACATTCTGGGACAAAAAAGATGAAGTTACGATGTATGACTAACCAATTACTGCCGATGTGGTCTTACTTTAAAAATCCTGAAAAATACATAGGGGGTAAATAAATAACTTATGCCAGGCCTGTCTCCCATTGGGGTAGTAGGTAGGCGACGCCACATGACATTATCACGGGATAAACAGTAAGTACTTAAGTATCTGTACTGGGTATGGTGATTTGAAAAAAATATGTTATTAGTACAACCAATATTAATTTAATAACTGAAATAGGCTAATATTTTTAGCCAGATTTTCCACATTTTTAATGAGGAAGTATAGTTAATTAGTTAAGGTGACCATTTATTTTTTGAGTCAAGACGGGACTTACTTTTATTAAGATTCAGTCAGGTATCTAGTAGATAGATCTTATTAAAGAACCTGTAAACACAAAATTTGTGCCTACAACAAAAATGCTAATATTACTAACTTCACTAAAATGTAGGCAGATACTTAAAGATTTTTCGACTATTTTTCGTCAAAAATCAGCGAGCCTATGACGCTGTATCGCTCTCGCCTATATATTACTATACTCTTTGGCTCTCGCACACCACTCCGAGCCGTACGCACGGTCGTCGCATAGGTTAGACTATTAGAATTTCCGCGTGGTTCCAGAAAACGGGACAATTTTGCGTCCCAGAGTTCATTCAGGAGACAATGGGACTCATAATAAGTATAGTTTAACCAGTCTGTTCTCAGTAGCTACCTACCCATCTTTCATAATTGTCGATATTTTCAATATGGAAATGATCTAAAATGATTCATCTCTCGTGTATATAGGTTATGATTAACGAAAATTACATAAAAGATCGACAAGGATATCGTTCTTATTTTTGTAGTTGTTATAGACAGTATAGTAGGTATAGTCAGACTAGAAAATGTGTTTTATACAACTTTGCAGTGTTTAGAAATTTGTATAATTTAACCGTCTGCCGGTATACGAAACAAAAATAATTGCATCAGTGTACTGAAGAGAGAGAAAATGATTGTGCTGAAGTCTGAAATATAATTATGATTAAAAATGTTGTATGTGATGCATTTTTTTCTTTTTTTATATTTGATGGGCCGAAGTTTGACCACTATATCGCCTGGTGGTCAGCGATGATGCGGTCTAGGATAGAGCACGTCGTCCCATAAGCAACCTATTCACTCGGGCCTTGAAGACACCCAGGATATATATACCCTTCAGGAAATACAGACTTGAGCAAAGAATTACTATTGTTTAGTTATAATCATCTTCAGATAGAAAGCATTATACCAACAGATTGTTGGCACCTTTCTTGATTGAGATATCATGTGAAAAAATTAATTGCAGTAGTATTAATAAAATTTTATTTTTAAACAAAATAATATAGTCGCAGCCTGCCAGTGCTCGGTCGGTGTCGAGGCGCGCGCGAGGCTCACGCGGCCCCCCGCAGCAACTCAAAGGCACTACGACGCTGGCGGGCAGCGCGCCGGGTCTGCCCGCGACCTCTGTGCGCCCTACTTCCCTCTACTAAAGCATATCGACCAAAACAAAGCACGAGATAACCGGCTCGGGGGACTACGTGGGCCTCACATCTTGTCCTGATATACACAAAATATGACATTATACAAACGCCCTTAAATGTAAATCTGATTATATTAAAAAAGCTGACAATTTATAAATTCATAATATACATTATCATAACGATTCGGAATTTGGGTCGTCATTGTGAAAAATAATATTAGTAAAGCGAACCCCTTTACATATCGTTCCATAAGTACTCTCATTATGTTTCTACATTAATACTTTTACAATTGAGTAATTGCGGACAAAGTGTATATCATATTATAGTTATATAAGAGACGTCGAATATCATTTTTTCTAAAATATATAATGTTGTCTATATTGTGTTTACAATCAACCATATCCCACTGGAAGATAGTACGGTACTTTTCGTTGCAATAATATTATACAGTTGTATCACTCTCGACGAAAATACACGTTTCGTCTTTGTATCCACTACAAGGCAATAAATTATAATCTACTTTCATAATTAGATAAAATATTGCAGATTATAATAAGTAACATTTAAACAGATACGAGTCAAACTAATGTTATACACAAATAAAACGTTCAGATGAAACTGAAACGAGAATAGTATAAACAATGTATTGTATTTTATAGCAAACTATTAAAAAATAAAACATAATTTTGTTTTAAAATAGGAAACAGTATTATAATAACCATTACATCCATAATGTGAAAATATAATCAATTATAGAGTAAACATGTTAGAGTGATCATCACATCACAAGCAAACTTAGCGTGTGTAGAGTGGTACAAGAACTGTGTGAGTAATAAATTAAGTTGGTGTTTATAAAGAAACTAAATGTTGAATACCCCTTTTACTAACGCTAAGTGGATGATCAATTTAACAATTTACACGAGAGCCTTTTCCATCGAAAACTACATCGCTCTTTATGATAATATAAGTGTTACAGGAAAATAATTGCGGCTTTTCCATAGACAAAATTATATAACATTTAGTAATGAGTTACAAATATGTTGTTCAAGTGTTTAAATACTAAAATTCTACGCGATGCTCGACAGGAATGGATGTGTATAAGTGGTTATAACTTTATATGGAATCACAATAAGTGTGGTAGGAAGTCATAAAACTTAGTAAAAATGCATAATTATAATGTATTTGCAATCAAAACAATAATTCCTAAAATATGGCATTTTGAAGAATAAGCTAGTAGCTAGAAAATTCTAGTGTAACTACTAAAAAGGTTAATGCAACTTGTACATTGGCAGCAACCAATATGTTAGAGCTTAAACATTAAAGCAAAATTCACTTGAATGATAAGAAATATTTAACAGGTAAGAGCATCGTGAGGAATTCAGTATAAATGTTTCGCTTTGTGGCTGTGACTGTATTTATTCTTATATAAAGCCTAGCTGTTCTATGATATTGAGAAATGGGAAATTATTTAGTGAACCATGTTGAAGCAATACACTCGAGCTCTCACAGGATACAGATCCCAAAATTCAGGATTACATATTTCATGCATTCTCTGTTGATATAGGTTTTGGAAAGGCCTATCCTAGCTAAATTACAAATTGTAGTGCCAAATTACTCAATCACCTTCAGGACTTTGCCAATCGCAATTGTTTTATCTGAAAAGAAATACAAGTCATTAGTTTAGGGTATTACAGAACAATCATGTTCCATGAGGTAAAGATTGTTTTAGTGAGGGTAGAGATGTAGTCACAAGGTAATTTTATGAATTAAAAGTGATAACTAGAGTATACTCACTCTCATCTCTTAATGTGAATCTGCCCATTTGAGCAAATTTTTTGAAGGGTTCTAGACAAATAATTCCCGCACACTCTATCCTCATGATAGCTACTTGATCTTGCTTTACAAAGCGCGGCCGCGTCTTTGACTTTTCACCAGTCTTTTTATCCACCAAACAAATGAGTGCCTGCAAATAATTTAAACAAATTGTTTAGAAATTTAATTAACATAAAACATATTTTTTTGAACATTACAATTGTAGCTCACCTTAACTGTAATTTCTTCAGCAGCGCAATGTATATGCATGACTGCAGAGTATCCCGCACAAATAATAGATTTATGTTCGAGGATCACGACTTGAGCGTCAAACACCTGAAATGTCACGAGTTACATCATATAAATAAAGACCAAAAGTCGTTATTCTGGTTATTTGTATGGCTTACTACTTAATCCATCCATCCAAAAAAGTACTAGAGTGATACCTATATCACTAGTACTTTTGAAAATTTTAGATAAAATCTGGTATATTAGTATAAGAAATGTAGCTTTGAAATTGTAATAAAAAGAGATAAAGAAAGGCTTTACGATATGCAGAGGTGTATTAATAGAAATAGGGAGTTCAATTATTATATTTTTCCTTGTACTTTAAATTGAGTACATTACTTACCCTTCCAGTAGTGATAGGTTCAGCAGTGTCACAAAGCACAAAGCCAGGGGAAACATCTTCTTCCTCAATACCTTTGAGTTTAACTTTGACGTTTTCGCCAGGACCAATAGAAGTTACTTCGATGTCATCAGACCATAGCTGGTCTACAGTAACTTGTACCTACAAGATAATAATTAAATATTTTTGATTAAATAAACACACAATAATTGTTGTAGCAATTCAAATATTTTTAGAACAGAGCAGAAAGTAGAAGGATCTCTATTGTATTGTACATAATTTTTTTAAGTCATTTAAAAAGTAGTGATTAAAAAACGTATTTACCCTATTAGGCATAAGGAATAAAGCAGCGCCTTTACGTGTAACTCCAGCCTCCACCTTCCCCATGAGCACAGTACCCATGTCTTTGTATTTATCAACAACAGGCATTATAAATGGTCCATCCATTTTGCGGTTTAGAGACGGAAGTTCATCAATTAGCTGTATGAAGGATGGACCACGGTACCACGGACAGATTTCTTCAGATACCTGATAGAGAAAATGTTTTATATTAGATGTTGCCCATAAATATCAATTTACATAAATTAACTTTATGATATGGCATACTTACTCTTTGAAGTAAACCTTGTCCTGTTTGACCAGAGACAGGAAGGAATGACAAATCCTTAGCTGGATTAAAACCTAACTTTTTGAGGTAAGGCATGATTTTGTCTCGGCATTCATTGTATCTGAAAATAAATTTTATTGCATAAAACCCTCGATTTTACATTTTGTGATTTATGTACAAAGAAAAATCAAATGAGTAGTACCTTTTCTCATCCCAGTTTACAGTTGGGTCATCCATCTTGTTTACAAGTGCAACTAAATGTTTAACACCTGCAGTTTTGGCCAACATAGCATGCTCCCGAGTTTGGCCTCCTCTGTCGAAACCTGTTTCGAATTCTCCCTTACGTGCAGAGATCACCTAAATAAGGAAGGCATGATTAAATGTCAATAACAGTACAAGTTCTTAACATAATTCCAAATGTTTGTGAGTTTGTTTCAAAACTTTGTCAAAACAAATGAAGGAATTGGTATGAAATTTGGAACAGGGCTAGATTATAATCTTAAATAACACATAGGCTACTTTTAAACCCACGGAAACGAGGGCGAAGCCGCTGCTAGTTATTTATATAAATAAAACTATTCATAGTAGCAGTAAGCAGTAATATATCAATAAATTTATTTTTTAATCAACTAAATTGATTTTAATCAAATTTTCACTGTTCCATAGTTGAATAATACCATTAGTAGTTTGTGGTTAATAGATATGCAAAAAATAATAATAAATGAATACACATACCAGGACGGCAAGGTCAGCTTGAGCAGCACCACCAATCATGTTTGGTACGAAACTCTTATGGCCAGGCGCATCAAGGATTGTGAAATGCTTCTTGTCAGTCTCAAAGTATGCTCTACCAACTTCCACAGTCTTGCCCTTGTCACGTTCTGTGATAGAAAAATAATTTTAATTAATAGTAAGTAGTGCCATATTAAAAATAAAACATATAGGACTTATAATACAAACCTTCTTGGTTGGTATCAAGTGCCCATGATAAGTACCAAGATTCCCTAGATTTCTCTCGCGCCTCTCTTTCGTACTTCTCCAATGTCCTTTTGTCCACCATACCAGTAAGTGACATAATTTGACCACCAATTGTAGACTTTCCAGCGTCTGAAATATATTGAAGTGTTTTTATTTTGCGATAATTATATGTTTGTGATATAACTGGTGAACTGGTTATATCACATATAATTATTGAATTGGTTCTTTCTGTTAGAACCTCAGATTGTATCAAAATAATACTTGATAGCCATGAATAATTGCCATCTACTGCATATTCTCCTTTTATCTATCTGTCACTTTGTAAAAATTAAATGTCTGTTGTGTAGAAACAACTATGCATGTTTCATTACTTTCACATGTAGTAATTATGTTATAAAATAAAAGTACTCTATATCGATTGTTAAAAATAAACCATGTAAGTATACTTCACTTACCTACATGTCCAATGAATACAACATTTACATGTTCTTTCTTACTGCAAGTATCTTCCACACGAGGTGGCTTCTTCTTGGGAATTTTCTTTGCTGCTTCACCATCCTCCTAGATTTAAAGAATAAAAAGGAAATAATTATAATGCATGAAACCACAACAGTTATAGCTTTTCAAAAAGCCTTTAAATAAATACTATGCTCACCTCTCTTGTCATGATTGTCACTAAAATAGATTATGTTTGCTTAGTGAACATGACTATATAAGGAGTACAATACATTAGTTAATGAACTCATTAATAAATTATAACAAGGCTACTAATATAGAACAATTTGAAATACAGTTGTAATGAATACTGTGCATTCCTGTTTGTCTCAAAATGCAAATAAAATAATGTACTTGAGATTTTTAGCTATCATACAACAGTTGTACTTAATATTTACTTATGTCTTTGTCATTGACAAAAACGGTTCCTTTCTGTGATTTTATGGTTCATTACAACCCAAACCATTGGTAATTTGTTTTAGTGAACTACTACAGTAGGTTTTAATCAGACTTAATTACTTGCTATACTCCTCAAGTAGCAACACAAATATAATTGTATTGCATATACCTACAGGGGTATTCATAAGTTTTGTTTCCATTTTACTGAGAGAAAGGGCATTACAAACCTTTTTAATCAATAAACAAACTTACTAACCGGCTGTTCTGTTTCTTCATCCTCGGGTTCATTATTCTCTTCAGGGGTAAGTAAAGCATCATCTGCTTCAGCTTCCCAGCTATCAGCAGTGGGAGAGACATCAGTTGGTACGGGTAGGGTGGCTGTGGGAGCTGCAGAGCCACCGGCCCCTTCAGGTGTGCCTGCAGCTGGGGTACCATCTACTGGTGTGGCAGAGCCAGGAGTTCCAGAAGCTGGTGTAGTTACAGCAGGGCTACCAGCAGCAGGAGGTACGGGAGGCGGTTCCTCCACTCGAGGTGATGCAGATGCAGCTCCACCATCACCACTTTCAGCGCCTCCATCACCGCAACCTGATAGTACACATAAAACATTTTAGGTATTGTGCCTATTTGTATGAATAAACAAGTTTAGTATGAAAATGAGGTAAATTAAATGTCATGTCATGTTCTAAATTGGCTGTACCAGGTATAACTTGATAAAACTTAACAAAACAATGAAAATTTTAGCAGATAAAAAACTAAAAATCTTGACAACTACTCGGTTATGTTAGCATGTAATAATTACAACATAAAAAACAAAATATAAAATAACTATTTCTTAACTGAAATTATATTAATTTATATTATATTATGAAGACTGTTCTGTTATGTTTAATTTCCTAGCACTTGATTTGAAACATTTTCCTTATACTTAGTATAATATATTTCTTTATATGATGTAATTTCCAACCTTTACACATGTTCATTTTAAATTAAAGAAAGGCTGATTCATGAAAACAAGCCATCACTGCAAATTTAATGAGTCTCTGTATTATAGTAACAGCTGTTTTAGACAAGCTTTAATTTTTTGTCTTTTCATTAAATCTAAATTGGTATTGAAATGTAAGACATAACATTACTTGTCACAAGCTGTAAGCTTGTAGGCAAAGGTGTTAAAATTTACAAATCACACAATTTATTGTTTAGTGATAAATAATGATGTTCCTTTGATGTCGATTTCTTAGGAAATATATTCGAAAAAAAAAGTTATGAAATGTGAAGCGAGAAACATTCTATGCGATAGAAATATGTTTGAATACAGAGGAATAATTGTTCAGACTACCAGCAGTGATAGCAAAATATACGCACCTTTGTTCATGGTTCTCCTTAAAATTGGTAAATCTATTGTTTAGTATCGTTATTTAACCAAGAGAAAGTTATAAAATAGCGAATATACGGTATACAGATATAGTTGCGCGCCGCGTGTCGAGAAATAACCCGTTAGAACTGGATTCAGAAAAAAAAATACAAGTCAATGAACGTATGTTCCGCTTTAATAACCGTTTGATTTTCAGTTTGTAATTAAGTACTAAGAATCAGTTTGCTTTTAAGTTGTAATTAATTTACGTAAAGTACAACACGAAAAGCTTCAATGCAGATAGATATGACAAGACATCTGACTTACCGTTCAAGACAGGGCTCCCCACAGATTTTGTTGATCCACTTTCTGATTTTTGTGGAGTAGTGGGGGATTCAGAATCATCAGAAGCCTTGGAAGGCTTACAAAAAGAAGGCACGAACTCCGTGGCATTAACGTTCAACGTGGAAAATTTTGCAGACACATCGTCCGAATCTTTCGCACCTTGTTCACTTATAACATCAGCTTGGCTTTCCCAAGAGTCCGGAGCACCGTTATTGGACATATTAAAAACAGAGAATGTAAATTTACTTATTAAGTCTTTCTTTTCAAGTTATTTTTATGATTATTCGCGTTTTTTTCCCGATAGATCCGCGTGTGTCTTTATCTGAAACCGGAAGTCCATGGCAATTTGCCAAATATGTAAAGACACAATTAGTTGTTACTTTAACTCTAAAGTATTCCAGATAATGTCTAAATTTGTTGTATTTTAATTTATAATATAAATTTATTTTTTACATTTATTTAATAACGTATTATTTAATTTGTAATATATTTAATAAGTAATTTATTTAAAGATCACTTCCGGCGAAATGCTGCCAGGCTAGATTTTGGATGGGCTTGCCATAGTAAATAATAGTATAGAAAGTCTCAAAGCTCAAAGAATGTATTGCCAGGTAAAACATGAATAATTGTCGTGAAGTGGCGTGGCGCAGTGGCGACCTCAACGAATCAGCTGTGAGCTATAAGCATTTTGGCAACTAAAGTGCCACAAAAACCACATGCTACTTACAACGTCTTTGGCTACATACATACAAAAGGCGCTCTATCCATAATAAATGTATGAAACCAATTAGCTTCTGGCACGCCACGACACCGGTTGTAGCTATCAGCGATTTTTCGAATAAGTAAGTAACATTAGTAAATACTGAATTGACCAAATATTTAAAAAGATTAGAGCAAAAACTTTCCGCTGATGATATTATTAACTACACTACACCTGTGGGTCAAGCCGTGAGGTTAAGGTTGTTGTAAAAATATGTATTCTCATATTCTGCATGTAAGACTATAGTATCCAGGCGCCGTAGTCGTTGCTTAAAGAGATTAATTATGTCTGCCTATTGCAAAATGTGTGCATGTTGCACTTTTTAGTAAAACAAGAAGCTGAACAAATATTTATCGATTTAACATTATGTTTTCGCTCACAGGCCCGTGACAGGTTGGAATCGTATTACTGTTTATATTTAATCTACCTGAAGTGAGAAATCTACAAATTATACGAAAGGGATCTACAAATTATTCTAAAATAAGGATTGTTCACAGTTTTGCACAATTTTTAATGTTATTTGGTTGATACGTACAGCGCGACACATGTTTTGATACTTTTGAGTACAATTCAACACTAATTTTACTCTGTTATTGGTATTTTTTTTTTCAAAAAAATTCTGATGTGTATTATTGTTCATCAAGGTGATAAAATTATTATCAATTTGGAAACATCTCAGAATAAATGACCAGGGCTTACTCTTGAATATAATTCCGAACGATCGACAATTCGACATCGGTATTGTGAAATTTCGTACTCTTGAGTTGCAACACTAGCGGCAGTTGCATCCTTATTATATTATCCATTGATATTTGATGAATTTGTAGTGTCTATTAGGTTTATCGAGATAAATAAAACTAATGCACTAACGTTATAAAGTCTATGTATTAAAATAAGAAATAAGTATACAATAATGAGATCAAATAAAGTTAGAGTTATACAAAACGAGAAGAGAATAATAATTTCGATGCGCGCGCGATCGCTAGCCGTGGCGGACTGTCTGGGCGAGCGAGGGGGCGCGTGCGGGTCGAGCGCGGGGAGGCGACGGCGACGACAGCGCTCGGTGTGTCGATCGGGTGGCTCCACGAACACGCGAGGCGTCCGAGTCCATCAACGCGGGCCGGGGCTCCGCTAGCGGCCAGGCCGTGTGTAGGTATAGCTAAGGGTGTGTACAAGCGTGCGGAAGCATAAGGCCGTATACAAATGTTGTAAAGTTTTAAGTGTTATAGTATGAATGTGGGTGTATGTGTGTGTATGTATGTATGTATGTTTTATGTAGGTATTTATTATGTATATTACAATCTTGTACCTTAGCTATATCCTACATCACTCCCCCGCTGAGACCGGTTCACGGTCGATAGTGAGAAAGGTGCTGTGGGAATCTCACAGTTCTCCCGCTTCTTGTGGTGGTCTTGGGTTGCAACTGTAGCTGTGGTGGAACTGGCGATGGGGCAGATGATGGTTGTGGTGCCGTCGATGGAGCAGATAACGGTTGTGGCGTCGACGATGAGTTGTGTGCCAAGCCATCATCATTGTTTGCCATATATGCTGGTTTAAGCCTGTCAATGGTTACTGTCATGTGTTTCCCTTGGACGTCTATTATGAAAGTTTTTGGTCCTCTTTCAATAACTAGATGTGGACCAGAGTACGGTGATTCAAGTGACTTCTTCAAAGGTCCCTTCCGCAGGAAGACATGAGTGGCTGTATTGAGATCTTTGGGAACATAAAATACTTTCTCGCCATGACACGTAGTTGATGCAGGTGACAGTTTAGAAATATGCTGTCTCAGTCGTGCTGCGAAGTCTGCTTCATCAATGCTGTGGTGAGTTATGGGTTTTAAAAACTCACCAGGTAACCGGAGTGGCTCGCCGTATACCAGTTCGGCTGCAGAGGTTTGTAGATCCTCCTTCCAGGCACTCCTCATGCCAAGGAGAACAAGAGGAAGTGTCTCCGACCATTGTGCGTTGTTGTGGCACATGATGGCGGCCTTCAGCTGTCTGTGCATCCTCTCCACCAACCCATTGCACTGCGGGTGGTAGGATGTCGTGGGGCGATGGTAAGCGCCTATGATGGACGAGATGCTCTGGAACAGCTGCGAGTCAAATTGCTTGCCTCGATCCGTGGTGATGGTTTCGGGGCACCCGAAACGAGCAACCCAGCCAGCAATGAAGGTACTGGCGCAGGTCTCCGCTGAGATGTCAGCGAGAGGATACGCCTCTGGCCATCGAGTGAATCTATCGACGGCTGTAAGGCAGTATCTGAAACCAGAAGATAGTGGCATAGGGCCTATTATGTCAAGGTGGACGTGGGAGAAGCGATTGGAAGGAACAGGGAATGAGGAAAGAGGAGAGTGAGTATGACGGGTGACTTTGTTTCGTTGGCAATCTGTGCATTGTTGAGCCCATGTTCTGCAGTCACGACGAATCTTAGGCCACACAAATCTTTCTGAGATTAGTTTTGCTGTTGCGTTGGGGCCTGGATGACTGAGATTATGCAGGTTGTTGAAGATTTGCTTACGGAAAGTCGGTGTGATGAATGGCCTAGGGCGAGAAGTAGACTGGTCGCAGTATATGTAGGCATCCATAGTTTTTACTCTCTCTAACTTTAATGCAGTATTGTTATATAGCAAGTTTTGTAATTCTTGATCCGTTTCCTGTTCTTTCTGTAGTTGTTTGTAGTTGATGGTAGTGTCGACGCTTTCTAGTCGTGAAAATGCGTCGGCAACTACGTTGTCATTTCCAGTAACATGATTGATATCTGTAGTAAATTGCGATATGTAGTCGAGGTAGCGGTGTTGACGGGGTGAGCAGTTATCTCGGCTTGTTGTGAAGGCGAATGTGATGGGTTTATGGTCGGTGAAAACTTTAAATGTTCTCGCTTCGAGCATATACCGAAAGTACTTGATTCCTTCGTGTATTGCGAGCAACTCACGATCATAAGTGCTGTACTTTGTTTGAGCAGGAGATAACTTGCGAGAGAAGAATCCTAGTGGTTGCCAGCTGTCACGTCTTCGTTGTTGCAAGACAGCTCCGATGGCAACATCTGATGCGTCTGTAAACAGTGCTAACTCGGCCTCTGGATCAGGATGCGCGATGAGCGTAGCTTCCAACAGGTTATTCTTGCAGGCGTCGAATGCTTTTTGTATATCAGCTTTACTACAATGGGCGTTGACCCTTTAATGTTAGGACCACTTAAAGCTTGGTTCAGGGGGGCTTGAATTTGCGCGGCAGCAGGTAGGAACTTCCGGTAAAAATTTATCATCCCTAAGAATCTCCGTAACTCCTTAGCTGTTTTAGGGAGGGGGTAGTCTTGAATAGCCTGTACTTTATCTGGGAGAGGTCGTATACCGGCTGCAGACACGTGATACCCTAAGAAGGTAACCTCACTGACACCTAGGACACTCTTGCTGGTATTAATAACTACGCCATATTTTTTCAGTTGTTCGAATATTTTTGTCAGGTGTGCTATGTGTTCTGTTTCTCCTTTTGAAAATACGAGAATATCGTCGAGATATCCAAACGTAAAATCTAGGCCTTGAAGAATTTCGTCTAAAAATCTTTGAAAAGTCTGTGCAGCATTTCTTAGACCGAATGTCATAGCGGTAAATTCAAACAGACCGAAAGGTGTCGTGATTGCGGTTTTATTGATGTCGTCTTCATTAACAGGTATCTGATTAAAGGCTTTAACAAGATCTATTTTAGAAAATATAGTTGAGCCTGACAATTGGTATGCAAAGTCGTGGATGTGTCTCACTGGGTATCTGTCTGGTATTGTTCGCGCATTTAGTCGTCTGTAGTCGCCACACGGCCTCCAGCCATCGTCTTTTTTAGGTACGAGATGTAGCGGAGACGACCATGGACTTTCAGAGCGACGAGCTGTTCCGTTTCGCAACATTTGTTCGAATTCTTGTTTTGCTATCTTTAAACGGTCAGGTGCCAAACGACGCGGTCGTGATGTTACCGGCGGGCCAGGAGTAACACGAATATGGTGCTTGGTATTGTGAATGGGTTTTTGTTGTGAACCAGCTGGTCTTGTTATCTCAGGGTACCTGCGTAGTAGGTCTAGGTAAGGCGAATTACCTGTAAAGGTTTTTAACGACAATAATTCGTGCGTTATTTCATTAGTTGAAGGCGCGCCAACTGTCAGGTTTGTAATCGAGTCTATCAATTTTTGTTGTCGGCAGTCGACTAATAAATTATAATAACTTAAAAAATCGACGCCAATGATGGGTCTCGACACGTCTGCTATTATGAACTTCCAAATAAAATCACGGCGTAATCCTAGGTTGAGTGACAGTTGGTATGTACCATAAGTACGTATTGGAGTACCATTCGCTGCGACAAGCTCATAACTGCTCTGTTTACCATACGACAGCTGATTTTTCAAATACGACCTAGGGTAGGCACACACGTCGGAACCCGTGTCTATTAAAAATTGTACGCCGGTGCGTTTATCAGAAATAAATAGGCGGCCTTTACACGTAGAGCAGTCATCCGCCGCCATTACTGACTGCTTTGGAAGTTTTCCGTTTTAAAATCACATGGCTGGTTACATTTTGTGGCCTTATCACCGAATTTATAATGATACCAACACGTAGGGTGCACGTTGGTCCTTGATTGAGATCGGCGGTGTCGAGAAGATGTACGATTCCGACTTCTAGATCGCTCTGGTCGAGAAAATTCATTGACCTTCCGAGTTAGCACTTCTACGTGTTTCATGAGTTCAGCCATTTGTGTACATAAGGTAGGTATATCACTTACTTGTGTATTGGACGATGTCGCCGCAATTTGACCTTTAGGTACGACATCGTGGATCCTGTCGGCAAGATCTGCTAGTACCTCAAGAGGCGATGACGATTGCGACGCTATTATTGACTGGATGTTAGTAGGTAGACGACTCGACCATATCGTGCGTAGAAACTCGTCGGGAACTTTCGGGCCGGCGAGGTGCTGCAGGTGCCTGAGAAACTGCGACGGTTTTCTATCCCCTAACTCCTCGTGGGTCAGGAGTTGGTGCACCTTCTTCTCCCTCGACTCGGAAAGCCGCTTGATCAGCTCCGTTTTTAGTCGATCGTATTTTTCGGTCGCTGGTGGGTTCACGATTATATCTTCCACCTCCGTCGCATATCGTGGATCGAGGTGGCTGACGACGTAATAGAATTTAGTACTGTCCGCAGTAATATTTGAAATCGCGAACTGTCCTTCTATTTGCGCGAACCAAATCGCGGGCTTCTCGGGCCAAAATGGCGGAACGCGCACGCCGACACGGAAAATGTCTTTTGAATCCGTTGAAACGGTTTTCGAATTATTCTCGGACTCGCACATTTTAGAAATCACGTATAGCACTGTTATATTGTCACTGAGTCACTTGTTACTAAGTTTATTAAGTTCACTGCACAGTAGGTAGCACTAGCACTTGTTAGGTACGTGTTTAGTTCGGGGTCACCAATGTAGTGTCTATTAGGTTTATCGAGATAAATAAAACTAATGCACTAACGTTATAAAGTCTATGTATTAAAATAAGAAATAAGTATACAATAATGAGATCAAATAAAGTTAGAGTTATACAAAACGAGAAGAGAATAATAATTTCGATGCGCGCGCGATCGCTAGCCGTGGCGGACTGTCTGGGCGAGCGAGGGGGCGCGTGCGGGTCGAGCGCGGGGAGGCGACGGCGACGACAGCGCTCGGTGTGTCGATCGGGTGGCTCCACGAACACGCGAGGCGTCCGAGTCCATCAACGCGGGCCGGGGCTCCGCTAGCGGCCAGGCCGTGTGTAGGTATAGCTAAGGGTGTGTACAAGCGTGCGGAAGCATAAGGCCGTATACAAATGTTGTAAAGTTTTAAGTGTTATAGTATGAATGTGGGTGTATGTGTGTGTATGTATGTATGTATGTTTTATGTAGGTATTTATTATGTATATTACAATCTTGTACCTTAGCTATATCCTACAAATTAAATGGTATTGAGTTTAGCTTTATATTCCGTACTCTGAATACTACTGTAACAGCTACGATAGGATAGTATCAACACCTATGTTTTGACATAGAAAAACTATTAAGATTTTATTGGATTGGAATTGCATTGACATTGTGATTGGATTCGAAAGTTCAACCTGGCTGCTTTGAAAACAATAGGATATTTTAGATATTGTACATTTTATCCGCAAATACAAAACTTTTACAATGTGGAATAGGTTACCAAATTCGAGATAACTCCATCTTTTTATTTCGTTGGTGTTCAAAAGTGCCTTATATTGGTCTAATTGAAATAAATGATTCGCCTTTGGCATATAAATAATGTAAGGTTATTTTGTTAGAACGATTTGTTTTATTTGAATGACCTAGACCATGGGTTAGTCCTATGATATAAATAAATCATTTCGGCAATTAAAAAATTTCTAATAATAATCTGTTTCCTTGATTTTCAATTCATTTGTCAAAATTTCATCCATAATTCATGTTTATTTATTGTGTAAAATAATACACTAGTATCAATATTACTCAAGTCACGCTTTGGGGTTGCTATATGAACGGCTGTGGCGCCCTCATTCATTTTCATGATTAAATATACAAGCTGTACGATACCAGCTACTTTAATTATATTTTTTGCCTTTTACATTGACGAAAATATGTGGTAGAATCTAAACTACTAGTTCCACTATTTTTTCGTGTTTTGTAGTTATTTCATAATCCGAGTTGGCAACACCGTACTTGGGTTAGTTACTTTTGTTGTGTTGGTAGTTACGGAGCGGTCATTATTTAAAATTAAAATGGCGGTCGGTGCCATTCGCATCGTAACCCTATTCGCGCATCGTCGTCCCGTTGATTGACTACTCCTATTCATTTCCTAATAATCTTGACGGTTAAGAGAACTTATTCATTAGTGTAATTATTTTAATTCGTTTTAAGGTGATATTAACATAGATGATTATAGTGAATTGTGTTTGTGAACTGTGTAAGTGAAAACACGAACATAAATTATTTTATCCAACTCTGAACTATTTGTCATGTTCGATATAGTTTTGGAAAACTGAAATGTCTGTGCATTACAAGTTCAAAAGTGCGTTGGATTACGACACTGTTACCTTTGATGGATTACACATATCTGTAGGGGACTTAAAATCTGCTATATCTCAACAAAAACGGATTGGGAAAACTTCAGATTTTGATCTACAAATCACCAATGCGCAAACAAAAGAAGGTTAGTATCTGATAAATTGTGGTATTTTTACTATAGCGTGGTAATTATGTTGTGGGTAATAATGGTTAAAACTTATCCACAATAAATTCGAAGCCCTGTGTTGGTATAGTTTTTCCCCGTATAATAATATAGATAGATACTGTTAGAACATATTGTAATATCCTAAGCACAAAGTGTTTTCACTAGATTTAACTATGTTCTAATGCCTTGTTTATCTTAATAAACTTCTCAACTTGGTAACGCTTAAAGTACGTACAATACAATGCACTATGTATGTTATTCCTATAAACCGTTATATTTTTGCCATCTTGTGGTAATTGTCGTGGTATTTTTCTATAGCATGATAATTTTATGATTGTTTGTAGCCAATCCACATGGAATTAAAAGCTCAGGCTTGATAATATAGTTCTTTATCCTTATCATAAAAGTAAATCTGATTTCATCTTGTTAGATTAATATACTTGGTCAGTGGTACAGTCCTTAGGACTGTTCTTGATATTCTAAAGAACCTAACAATTTCATTAGTGTCAACTGGTTTATACATAGATCACATCTATTGCCTTATTTTGTTATCACCATAGCCACAAGGTGTTCACTGTTGAAAATAGGCCTCAATGATTCCAAGATCTGGCTCTTATTTGAAATGTTTTAAATGTCTCACCTCAATACAATTAAGTATAGTACAGTAGTAATGATCATCTAAATTGTGATATTCTAAATTAATTGGGTTTGGTATCATAACATATTACCATTGTCATAGTGTGAGAGTATATTATTTATTGTAGAATAGAGAGATATTAGAGGAGTACAAAATCACACTAATATTATTGAAATCTTATGTTATTTATGTTTTAGATATATCTAACAAATTGATTTACCTAATGAGTTACATAATTTATTAGTGAAAGTACACTTAGCAAATTGCCTATTGTATTTTTACTAATTACCTATTATCAACTGTTACTTTTTTACTTATTACCAAATCCCTGATACCAACTATTACTTTTTTACCTATTACCAATTAGTTAACTACCTATTGCCAAATTAACTAAAATATAATTTCCAATTATTATTAATAATTAATTTCCATTTCTAACTATTACTACTAATTATATATGACCGACTTATTAGTTGCAGATTAGTTAGTTATATTACTATTAACACTAATTAATTACCTGTCTCTAACTACATTTGTATTACAATATTTTACTAACAAATTATGAAATTTGTAATACCAAATGCTTGTTGTACAGCACACAATGTAATTTGTATAAACCATTTGTCACATAAGTTTATGGGGTACTTACTTCTATGAAAGAAGTGCTAAATCTAAATTTGAATTTATCTGGATTCTGAAATTTTGTTATCTATATATATACCTTACAACTAAAGGTAGTCTGGTTAATCAATCTCCATATATATATAGTAGTTTGGTTAATCAATCTCATATATATATCAATCCACAAGTTTAAACTTGAGGTTTTGACCACATATTTATTTTTGTTTCAGTTTATGTAGATGACCACACTCTAATACCAAAGAACACATCACTTCTGGTTGCTAGAGTACCACTATCACAACAACCTAAGAAACAGTGGGAAGGATCAAACAGTAACCAGTCATCACTGCATAAAGATGTCGCTCCTAACAAGGGACTGGCTGATCTGTCTCGCATGGAAGGTAGCGAACAGGATAAAATAAATGCTATGATTTCACAATCTACCTTTGACTACGACCCTAGCAAGTAAGATAAAACAGGATTTTTTCTGCAACATTAATTATATTAACTTTGAACTGTATCATTTAAACTTGTCTAAATCATTTTCCTATTAACAACTTCATTTAAATTTCAGTGTATAAATGCTCATCTAAAACATCGCAATTCTCATCATATTGCTGTTGCATTAAATGCTGTTGCCATTTATTTATTTACATGTATTATATTATATTAATTAATTAACTAGAAATTTGAATGAATGCATCTGACTTAATTACATTTTTTATAACAAGAATGTCTGAAAATGACAGAAAAGTTTGATCATTTGACTGGGAAAGCAAGTTAAAAAAATATAAGTTCATAGTTTAAATGGCCTAAAATTACCAAAGAAAGTTTAAGCCATTAAAATCTATGAATTTAACATTATACTTTTGTGTAGACTTACTTCAAATTCTATTTTAGGGATATTTGATGACAATGAAAAACACATTTTCAGAAATTTAAACCATTATTATTATTAATCTAGTAAAATAATAAGTTAGGGCTTAGTAAAGTAGAAAATATGTCTAGACTGTAAGTATTACAATTTCACTATAATATTTATAATTTGACTTCTACATAGAGAGTAATTCAGAAGTATTATTAATATGAATGAATGGAAATTAAGTGATCCTTATTTAGTATTTTTCAATAATATTGCCAGGACAAGGTCTGAGTGATTGAAATTGGCATATTTATTGGGAAAGTCTTAAGAAATAAATGACACAGCTGGAATGATATTATTATCCTGGTGACTGGTAGCTTAGCTTTTATATCTTATGCTAATTTATGCTTAGATATCTAGGTGATAATGATAAGGAGGAAGATAATTAGCAAGTGGCCTCAATGTTAAGTGTAACTATTACTTTTATAGCTGTTAAAGAAAACAATTAAGATTTGTAATCAGTAACTATACAGTATGTTATTAATTAATTAAAATATAATAATACGTTTAGGTTTAGGTAAGATTTATAGACATCACACTCAGTGCAGATTTCAGCTAATTATTGTCTTCCTTATGTTTGTTTGTATATCAATATCAAGACATACTGTCTACTGAAATAATGAAATACTAACTAGATATGTATTTTTTTTTCAGTTATCAAAAAATTAGAGGACAAAATCAAAGAGGTGTTGTTCCTTCCAATTACATCTGCTATAAATGCCAGAAGCGTGGCCATTGGATTAAAGATTGTCCTGCTGCAAATTCGGTATGTATTAGGCGCAAAGACTGTTCGTAGACGCTTTTTGTTTTTGAATATTTTGTTATTTGATTCTATTTCTTTGTTTCCAGAGTGATCCAATAGAGATAAGGCGTAGTACAGGCATTCCTCGTAGTTTTATGGTCCCTGTCGAAGGACCAAAAGCCCCAGGCGCCATGATGACTCCAAGTGGAACTTTTGCTGTACCAGCTGTTGATCGGTAAGATCGTTTTTCTTATTTTGCTACGTTTAGTTTAGGACTCTATGCTGTTGTGGAAAATTTTTGCTATGGAGCACAATACTTAACCAGATTCGGGAATTAAACTTGAAATCTTTTGTTTGGTAGTTGCACTAGTAACTCGTTTTCAATACAAAGTTGTTACTGATGACATTAGTAAACCAGTTACAATATGATCATCACTGAGCTGAATCATTGCAGGTTTTTGTTTTACAAATATTATATAAATGTTTTATTACAGTGAAGCGTACTTGGCTTCCGAGAGCGCTGGTGGAGCAGACACGCCGACTAATGCACCCGCTGCACCTGAACCAAACATACCGGATGAACTAATCTGCAGTCTGTGTCGTGACTTGCTGACCGACGCTGTCATGATACCATGCTGCGGCAACTCGTTTTGTGACGAATGTAAGTGTAATCATTTTTTAATTCTTAGAAAGAAAGAAAGAAAGAAATCATTTATTTGCTAATAATGTAGGTATACATATAAGTTGGAATAAAGTTAATTGACCCAGTACATTTTACCTTTCGGCATGCAAATTAAATTATAATGCGATCTGAATGTCGTCAAATATCTATTTATCTAACTATAAGTTATCTAACTAGGTATACAGTCAAAATTTTAGAATAATTGAAAAAATAAATAAATGCTAAATTGCTACGATCAAATATAAGCTATACAAAAAGAAATAATTAAATATGATGCAATGTCAACGTGGGTACTTAGTCCAAAATATAATGTTACAAAGTTTATGTCAAGAAATGTCAAATGTTACAATTAACAATAAATTAAGTTATGTCGACGATTATCAAATAACGAAATAATATCAAACTAACGAAGTATCTTAATTGAAGTCATAATGTAATGCCATAAAAGTCACTAACGCAATCAATACATAAGTGTTTCAATCTGAGCAAGACATATTACAGTGTTTCCCAAAGTTTTGCTACTTATTATTATTAAAACGTACAATTTTCCTTTAGAGTTCTGTCGTTTAAAAACTCTTTGATTGTGTAGTAACACTTAGTCAGTAGCAATGATGTTAATTGGTTTTTAAATTTATTTAGAGGTATGTCTTTTAAGTTTTCCGGGAGTTTGTTATATACCAGCGGTCCCATGTGAAAGATGCTATTTTTCAGCAAGGCTGTTTTGTGACCACCTGTGCATAATTGGCTTCTATACTGGGTCCTTATTGGTATTATACGTTGTCTCGTGTCAGCCATTGAAGTGAATAAGCATCTGTTTAATTTCACGAATAGAGCCACTTCTAATATGTACAGACAAGGTAGTGTCAAAATTTTCAAGGATTGAAACAAAGGTTGACAACTTTCAGTTTGTGTAAGACCTGTCATTGATCGGAGGCATCGTTTTTGGGCTCGAAATATTCTTTCTTTATCGCTGCAATTACCCCAGAATATGACACCGTATCTTAAGAAAGAAGCAACTAATCCATGGTAGGCTATCACTAATGTACCTATATTAACTTTATTTGAGAGGCTATAAAGTACATATGAGGATTTACTGAGTCTTTGGCACACATTTTCAGCATGATATTTCCAAGTCAATTGGTTGTCGATATGCACTCCTAAGAATTTGGTCACTGATGTTGTGTCGACTTTTTGACTTTTGTATTCAGTAATTATACTTCCTGGTTGTACTCTTTGGTAGAAATGCATGACTTTGGTTTTTTGTAGATTTATGACTAAATTGTTCATATTGAGCCATTCTATTATGGTTTCTAGTGTGTTGTTAATTTTATTTTTGTAATCTTTATCACCAGAACATTCCACTATAGCAGTGCTATCGTCAGCGAATAGTGTCATTGGTTGACAAATTTGACGGGGCAGGTCGTTAATGTATAGCAGAAATAGCAGCGGACCAAGAACACTGCCCTGTGGAACTCCGAATTTAGGAACTCTACAACTGGATAGATATTTCCGTTCAAGCTTAGTTTTTGTACATATTTTCGAGATTTCTGTGTATTGTTTTCTTCCCGTGAGGTATGACTTGATTAAATTTAATACATTTCCTCTTATGCCATAGTCGTTAAGTTTTTTAAGGAGAATGTCATGTTTTACATAGTCGAAAGCCTTTGTCATATCTGTAAATATTGCACATATTGGATTTCTTTTATCCATATTATTCATGATTATTTTTAGGAGATCAAATATAGCCATATTGATATTTTTATTTTTACGGAAACCCTTTTGTTCCTCACATAAAATGTCATTTTTAGTGATGAAAGAGTATATCGACTCATACAAAATTTTTTCGAAAATCTTAGAGTATACTGAAATTAGCGCTACAGGTCTGTAATTTGTCATATCTTCTTTGTCATTCTTTTTATGTATTGGTTTATATGCTTAGGTCTGCTAGTTTCCAAAAAATTTTGTTTTTGCCAATATAACCACTGTTAAAAGGATTTATCTATATGAAAATGTCTTAAGCCATTTGCATTATAAATGTCCATTAATTACGTTGAGTGATTTGTTGAAAAAATGTTACATACTGGTGATTCATAGTAAATTTAACTTTCAGGTATACGTGGAGCCCTTTTGGAATCAGAAGATCATGAATGTCCGGACTGCAGAGAAAAGGAGATCGCTCCAACAACATTAATTCCTAATAGGTATCTATTAATGTTAATATTGAATATTTTGAAACTAAATACAATAATAAAAGTTAAACTAAATACAACATTCCTAGGTAACGAAAACAATTTGTCTTTTATTAACATCTCTTATTTTCTTTAGGTTTTTAAGGAACTCAGTGTCGTCGTTTCGTAACCAAACTGGTTACAGCAGAAGAATGCCCCACCGGCCAGCTGCAGCGCCCGTCCAACAACAACCGCCAGTGATTGGTAATTATTATTTTGAAAATATTTAGTAATTTTTATAGAACGCCACATATTCTTTCGAAAATGTTACTTTTAGGTGAAAATGTGTTTGGTTATCTTTTGCGCGAGGGTGGTAGCGAATGTTTCTGTTGCCATATGGTTAACTCGGGACTGTTATATCATGTAATGGATAATTAACATGAATTTTCATCAGTAAGAGGAAAGTAATTTAATTTTTTTGTAAATAGTGCCGAAATTGTGGAATACGATATATTGCAATAACAAAATTATAATACACTGAATGATGTTTAATAAAAGTAATGTTCAATGGTCTTGCACATTTATTTTACTATTTACTTCAAAATAGCCATCAACATCATATTTTGTCTCATCATATATTACATTGTTTATAGCTCAACTTTCCATTCCATTCTACTCAACATACATGATAAGTGGTAATGAAAAAATAATAGATTTATTACTAAAACATAACGATTTAACTGTAAGTTAAAGCACTGCTATTCTCAAAAGCACATTACATTGTGTATATTTGCAAGATATACCTCTGAATGCTGTAATACTACTCAATTTTAAGTTGTACTAAATAACGAATCAAATATGTTGTACAAAAATATAAATAAACCTTAGGTAAATAAATTGTGGTTGTTTTTAGAACCTGCACCGAATGCACAAGTAGTGCAACCACAGAGTGGTCCCAGTCAACCTAACCCAAGTGGAAGTGGTATGTATATTTTTTGAACCTATTTTGGGGTTTTATTATTGACTTTTACACTAATACTAATTATTGCATGATCTGTTATTTTAAGTGTGAACTTACATGGTTGATTTTTCCTTGCAATTATTTTTTAACCACTTTTTTACCCAAATAATTATGAGGTACAATATCAACAATTCAAATACAATTCATTTAAATTAAAATAATCTTTACAGAATTTGGTAATTCATTTTAGTTTTGATAGATAGACTTGATGTTAAAATTAAGTAATTTGTTTTTTTTTTGCAATCAAAATTATTTTTTTCAACTAAACCATAAACAGGTACTTTTGAATCACTTCTGGAAGCTCATTCTCTTTTAAAAACATTACGTTTCATCCTATTCTGTCTATTTCATTGTTTTTAATTTTCGGAAACTGATTTTATCATGAAACATTTTGATTGGTTATGGAGGACTATAGAGGTTTTAAGTCCTACATTACATTGGTTTTGTAGTACGGAGTATGGACCAGTCGTTCTGATTTAGTGGGTTATGTATTAAAGAGAGTCGGGTCGGGGCGAGTGGGGTCGTCGCAGCAGGGAGTTCGGCTCCATTGGGGGGCGGGGGTCCGGCGGGCGCGGGGGAGGAGTCGGACGGGTCGGCCGACGACAACATCACGCTGACGTTGCCGGCGGCCCGCCGCGCGCCGGCGCCGCAGCCCCACTCCGACCACCACCGCCACCACCCGCGCTACGGTACTATACGTCGTCCGAGCATGTCCTACCACTCTAACCTGCATGTTTCATGTGCTTCTTCCCTGCTAACAACAGCTACTTCTTGTAACTTAATGAATAATTCTATTCGCCTCGACATACGTGCATGATTCGTTTCATTTCGTGATTTTAAAAACAATTCTCAAATAATAATTTAACTGCGATGTTAACTAGATAGGTTTGCATTAACTTTAATTAATGATAATGGTTGTAATTCATTTTAAATTGTTTTTTTAAATTTTGTGGTTCTATTAATACAGCTGCATTAAAACCGGGTAATTTTGCTTTAAGTGTTTGGTTATGTGTATGTATTTGATATAATTGGAAATTATTATAGCTTTACTGTAATAAAGAATGAGTGTAAAAAGAAGACATATTTTTAATGTAAAAATGAATAGCTTTTAAATCACGACAAAATTATATAGTGCATGTTGCTATATTTATTTTTTGTTGTTTCAGGACCACCACCGCCACATGGAATGAAGCCTCCTGGCTTAGAAGTCTCAGCAATTCCCATGAATGTAAGTTTTTTTACCTTGTAATATAAATCTTATTAATTAAGTTTATAATTTCTAACACACGAATCGAAATCTCAATTTATACTCTAGTTGCCGAGAATTGACGAGCAACGCGCCAGTACGCCTACTATAGATGAAAGACGAGATCCAATGTCCTCTCAGGTATGTTAAATTTTGATACTTTGTTTTGGTGGCACTATTGACCATGATCGATAGCACAAAATTATAGATAAATATTTTGGAGAAATAACATGGTCAACATTATAAATAATTTTGTTTCATAATGCATCACGGTGCCCAGTAAATTAAGAGAATCAGTAGTAAAACTTGTTTTGTCTTGCAGGTCGTGTATAATCGTGGACCGCCACCGTTCATCCCAGGTGGACCGCCACCGCCACGACGTTATAAGTAAGAAATTGTATACAATTATGTTAATATAGATTATCGAGTCCGTCGTTCAAGTTCTAAACCACTTGTATTTATCCTACTAGCTCACCATTCGGCAGAAATTTGGGACCAAGTGGACCGCGACCATATAACGACCGATACCCTCCGGAACCTTACCAGCCTCCGCCACCCGGCATCAAGGACTCTCCAACTAACGGGTATAGTATTATTGCGATTGTAACGTTATATTTATGGTACTGGTTATATCTTAATGTAAAATTGAAGATGCCACTTCCTAGTCTTGTCCTTTCTTTATTTTATTGGTCTATTATTTAAATTCACGTCTTGGTCTTTGTTTCGATAATTGAACTACTCCAATCCCATAAAAACCTTCTGTCGAGTAAAAGTTATTTTGATTTTTGTGATTAACGTAACCTGTCGCTCGAACACTTAAGTGTTGTAATCTGTTCAGTTAAGGAGTTCCCATATTTTGTTATCGTAGGCATGGCGAGGACCCTCTCGAGGCTTTCAACCGAATGATTCGGGAGAAGGAAATGCGAGCAAAGCGGCGAGAAGAAGAGCGTAGACGAGCGCAGTCAGGGTCTCGCAGCCCGCGGTCACGCACCCCGAGGTCTCCGCGCTCGCCGCGCTCGCCTCGCTCGGGGCGCTCCCCGCGCTCGCCGCGCCCCGTGCGCTCGCCACGCTCGCCACGCCCCGTGCGCTCCCCGCGCTCGCCGCGCCCGCCACGTTCGCCTCGCTCGCCTCGCTCGCAGCGCTCACTGCGTTCGCCACGTTCGCCACGCTCGCCTCGCCTCCGTCCGCGTAGTCGAGGCTCCAGCCGTCTTCGATACTCTAGGTTCGTTGATTGTCCTCATTTTTGCATGTGTCCATAGATTATGTTTGTTCATTGTCCTTTATTTGCATGTGCCTGCTTATTTCATATATTTTTTGTTGAGCTGTCTGTAGTTCTGTCATTTGCCGCTCTGGCTTTTCAATAATTTTAATAGCATTAATTAATTGACTAGTAATAGTAACATATTTTGTTTAAAAATAGTTATTACATAGATATTGTGTTGGAAGTCTATCTGCAAACCTTATGTTATTGTTTCTTAATTTGCATGAATATTGTTGTATGTTAATCAGTATGTTTGACCACTACTAATAAGACTAATATCGTTTGAACTGGTATTAACTATCATTTTAATTTAAAAGGGTTTATTAAAAAACTTGTGTTGTCAATGCCAAATTGTTTTTTGTGGCCTAGTTACTTAACCATTTGATAAATAAATTGGTTTCATAATATGAAACCGACAACAGATGTTTTAGGTTAGGTTAGGTTTATATCGTATATAAAACATTGTTTTGTTAAAGTTAGGGAAAGTAAATTAGTTAATATAGAAATATTTACTATTTTCTAACTTGCATGAAAATAGGGTATGGGCAAGGACTCAGTGAAATAAATAATTATACATATTTCGCACGAAAGGTTTATAAATATTTAACAAAATAGTTAACCCATGTTTTTAAATTAAAAGCTAAAAAAATTACTTATTTATTGTTTAACTCAAATAAGAGGTACAAGGCTGTATACCCATACAGCCTTGTACCCCAAATAATTTATTGAAGAACGTCTTACCTACTCTTTGAAAAAAAAAACATGTGATGTTTAATATAAACTATGTTTTTTCAGATCACGGTCTATATCGCGCGGTCGGTTGCGACGGTCACCTTGGTCGCCACGACGTCGCCGTACTCGCGAAAGGACATTGTCGCTTACCAGGTTAGTTCCATAACGATAGCAGTTCGTTTTAGGATAAATAATAGATGTGAATGAATGTGTTTTCCCTTGTGAAACTAATTGTGATGTGATAACGTTTGATTGATGAGATTGATAACTTGATATAAGGGTTTATTACAAAAGATTTTGCAGTTTTTGATATATTTTGCGTGAATAGTAATCGAATGAAATATTTTTATTTAGATCGCCATCTCCACGTCGCCGCCACCGCTCCCCGATACGCTACCGGTCCCCGCTGCGGTCCCCGGCCGCGCGGTCCCCGCTGCGGTCGCCGGTGCGGTCGCCGCTGCGGTCGCCGGTGCGATCTCCCCTGCGCTCCCCTCACCGCCCACCTATGCGCTCGCCGCCGCCACGCAGTATGTCTCCTCATCGGTTAGTATTCATCTCATTTCAATTCTTTTGTTAACTACTTATATTAGCTGCAATATTTTTCCATCAATAGATTACAATACTAAATATAGAATTGGATTACCCTAATTCCTGTATTCTTTTGCCAACAGTTATGCTGGTGTTTACGACGAATTGTTGTCGCCGCCCCGTCGTACAGTAGAGCCGCCCTACGGAGCCAGGTACGATTGTCTAAATAGTGTCTACATCCGTCCTTTATCGACATCTAAGAAAATGCGTTTGTACGTTGATGATATGAAATTGCTGAGCGGATTGAACCTGTGTTCGCGTATCAGTGTATAAAAACTAGACTAAAATCGAATCCCTCGCGATATTTCGGATCGTGTTAGAGTAAGGAGTTCAATGGTTGTTACTTTCTTATGTACGACGTTTTCACGGCAATAATCAAGTTGGAACTTGGAACAGCTTGTAAAATATGATTATGTATTGCAATTTGACTGGTGTGGTGTGTAAAAATAACAGTGGTGTGGTAAGTATGAATGATAAGTTAATAACAGATTGTTGTTAACTCTGCCACATGTTATGCTGTCGGAAACTCTTAGCTCTTACCAGAAGGGTTTTTGCTGTCACCTGGTAAAGGAAATAAGTTTATTCTAAACATTGTGAAACATTATTTCAAGCTTTATAATACATTCCTATGTTATATTATTATGTTACATACGATTATAATAATAGGCATGTTTCTAACTTGTCAAATGAATTCTGCTTGATTTGAGAATTTTGTGTTTGATTTATTTTTATTTTTTATTTATTTATTACAGTCACAACGGTTGAGAACAAAAACCAATTAAAGTAACTGGAACTTGATTATAAGTGACTACTATTTAATATCTTAAATTACCTAGAATTATTTTTATTTCATTACAGAAACATGCCTATTTAGATGTACAAAAAATTTAAAACAGTACAAAAGTAAAACATGAATTTTTTTTAAGCTCTGATTCATTTTTTAATTTTTGTACGATTAAAACTCAGAACAAATAGGTTTAGTTAAAAATAGATACATAGAAAAGAGTTGTCACTGATAATAAAGATTCGAGGGTCACCGAAACTCTAACTTAAAGGCGTATCTTTTGAATATCGTGTCACAAAGACATTGCGTTGTGTCATAAGAAATTACCAAAATCGCTTCATGTTTCGATTTTCGTGTAAAAAATTTGTACATCAATGTAGATATTTGAAATTAATGTTATCGTCTTCAAACTACGGATGTTGCAACTGAGATGCAACAAACTGTATTTACATATAAACTTAAAACTGATATATTACATAAAATCAACAGTACAAATAATATTGCGAACTGAAGGCATAGTTTAGTGTTCTGGTGACTCTTTCATCTACCGTGTGTTTGAAAGTATTTGTTAACGGAGCAGTCTGTAAACTGTTGTATCAGAAGCTTTAACTTTAATAAATATTATGAAAATATAATTATTATGCCAGCCTAAAAGGTTTATCATATCTAGGATGTGAGGCGTCATCATATTCGTGACGATGTCGACTCCACGACGGACTGAAAGTATTAGGTATTAATTAATGAATAATAGTATATCCACGAGTATTAGATATAATTTAAATTATTTATTGTATAATATAAGAATTTGATTTTTTTATACATGTAATCCGCATGTATTTTTAACTACAACTACGTAGATCTGTTTTTTTTTTTTTTAGTTTATCAGGTATTTTACTTTTTATTTTGTACGTGATATTACTAAAATTGCAGACAGACTGCATTGACTGATAGATTTGTTATATTAACATTGCCGACAGTCTTCGCTTTAAACTGTGATAATAGAAACTAAGTAATTTTTTATATTATAGTCTATACTACTATAAGTAGTAGTTTAATTTGTTTTTTAAATAAGTGTATTGGAGCTTATTAAGTTATGATATAGAACAACTTATAGTTAAACTCGATAATCTATTTTTATAAAATTTTGTTTAGTAGATTTGGCTGTAAAAGATTTATATTTTAGATAATCTCACAAATGTCAGAACTTTAGTAGCCAAATCTACTGATTGTCTAAATATACTAAAAATAGCGGGTTACTCACGTGAATATATGTACTGAGAAAACGTGAGTAACCCGCGATTTTTAGTTAATTTAGTATGTCTCATGATTGTTGGGCTATTGATAAGTTTTTAGTGACTTAAATCTTTACCATTTAGTGACGTCCAGTGGTTGTGGTCTTTTAAAAGTAATGCGACGGGGATATGACATCAGGACGCCAATAACAGTAACCCCAATTAACCTGTGGTATAGAGCGTAGATCTGCGCGAGACACAATGTATTTCATGTTGTGTCTCCTATAATTTATATTTGGAAATATATAAACCGACAGGGCATACCGTTTTTTTCGGTTAAGTTGTTTACAGCCTTATCGTGCTGCACTAAGATTAGTTCATAAACGTAAAAAAAATGGAATGTGTAAATTACAAATCTTGGTTTCTTGTCTCTGTCGTATATTCCAGTCCATTGGTACATAGTCATTTTATAGTCAGTTTGTATATTTTAGTTTTGAAAATAATAAATGTTTCCTTTTGTGACCCTTATTGATTCATTCTTCTACATGTATCAGTTAGATATCAGTTAGATCATATTATCAGTTAGATAGTTCAATCGGTATTTTTTACACGATTTTGTCACCACCATAATTATATCCAGTGAAAGTTTAATTCTAATATTAAACGTTATTACAAAAACCATCAGATCACAAAACGGCTATAGTGAAATAGGATGTAATTCAGTTAGAGCTTGGGATTTCCAAGATAGTTATTACTTGATGGTATTGATTTAACCTTTTCCATCTGTCAAATAAAATCTTATGTGTTCAAACATAGAAGTTGGATTCAAACTGATAATTTTTAGAGCAAATTTTCAGTAAAAATTACAGAAATAATTTAATTTTATCGCATATTGTACTTCAGAATTACAAATAATAAGTTATTTCGGTGTTATATATTTTGTAATAGAAATTTTAGGAAAGTTTAATAATTTATTTATTTCATGTTTGTATCTCAATAATGAATTCAAAGTACTCATTTACAACGAAATTATAGGGGTTAAATTTAATACGTGAAATGTTTGTTCACGTAATCGCGTGTTGATTTTTTTGTAAAATGACTATAGTGAGGCACTATAAAATAATTAAAATATACTGCTTACTCACGTGAACTATTAGAGAAAACCTCTACTAGTTGTGAGTCACACCGGGATGCATTTTCACGAGAAAGACGCGCCGACCTCGCCACGGTCTCCAATAGTTCAGCTGAGTAAACTGTATATTTCAATATAAAATAGCAGTAATTTGAAATCTTTATCCAAATGACAAGTTCAGTTGGATAAAGATTCTTCAATATACCATAGTGCCAGCATCTAATAGTGTTTGATATAAATATTTTTATCTTATTCTATATATCTTTATAAAATATATTAGAGCACACTTTAAACAGTCATTGTTACAAACTACAGTTTAGTATAATTCATATTAAAATAACAAAGAATCCGTTTCCTATTTCCAATATAATGTAACACTGGTCTATCATTATCTGTGATAAACGAATAAACCTGTATTGAGATTATCGTTGTTTTTTATTTCTTTTTATACTTATAAATATTTACATTGTTTTGTATAATGGTTTAATAAGTAAGTTTTTTAAATAAAATCCGTACCAGAGTTAATGTATTTGCTTAATATTGAATATGACGTGGAATAGGTAAGATGGAATTGTTTAAGTCTTTAGTAATAAAATAGTTCGTAAGAGACTCGTTTAGGATAGGTATTATTTTAAAAATTACCTTTAGTCACTAGTGTGCCTGCTTAATCTTTCTTCTGTATTTCTGAGTAAACAATCTTGTTCTATCTGATTGAAAAATAAATTAATCTAAATACTTAACAAGTGTTTTAGGTGACATATAACATTTATTATTTGATCAGGTTACATTTAATTATCTTTATCAACATCTCAATCACAAGATGTCCACTGCTGAAAATATGTAAGTGCTTTCCCAACGCTTTGGTCATCTTTAAGCACGCGCACAAGGAAAGGGCGTAATGCGCAGTCCGCATTGCGGCAACTTATGCGGGTATTCTACCGATCCTATTATGAAGGAACTATATTCATGTATTCATATTTAGTCATGTTAAACATCTTATATATAAATAACTGAATAGATAGTTGTTTAATTGTAATTTCAAAGTAATAATAGAAGTAATTCATCTAATTACAGTTGGTAATTTTTATTATATACTATTAATGTATTATTTTATTTGTAAATGTTTCATCATTATTTTTATTGTACTTTTTGTAACGTGTAATAACTTTTCACTCTAGATGTTTAGACATAGCTTAAGTAACGGTAGGTATATGTTTAATATGACGTTTAAGTTTAACAGTAATTTCTACAAATACTTTCATTTTCTGTATGGTTAATATGTCTAAGTAATTTATGCTTTTATATTGTATAGCTATGTTATACGTCATGTATTTGTTATTATTAAAAACAATGATAAATTAACTTGTTCAATAATTTTTGTTACGCTTTTTATAAATTGTTAGAACAAACAGTTTAAAAAACACCATGTTTGTTATTTATAAAAAGTTTAATTTTATAGATGCATTTAGTAAGTGGCTTTCTTTAAGATTTGTAAGGAATTAATATTTGAATGATTTTAAGTTCTAGTTAGTATAGTTATGTTTTCGTTCAAATGTATGTACATTATTTCTAAAAATAATTGTATGTTAGGAACTATCATCACAGGTTTCTGTATACAGAATTTGGTCTGAAAATTAATTTATATTCTAGTATTAAGTATCTGTCACCATGTTGCTATATGTTATAGAAAATTGTTGAACAATAACTTTTACTTCATATTTTTCGACTTGTTCGTTAACAAATAGCTATTAACTTAACTTTCAAATTGATTTTCCATAACCGAAATGTAACTTGATTGACATGTAAGTATGATTAAGGATTTGATTTTGTATAAAATGGATTCCTAACTGAATTTTGTTAAAATTGTAATACAATTTGCACTTTTGATGTATGTAAAACTAGTTTGTAAAAGTAATATATGTAAGAATCATAATTATTTATTTCATCTAGTTCAGGACTATTAAATTGTTACTTTGCTATTTTAAGGCAGCTTCATCAGAATGATTTTCTAGTCAAGAAGTGTACTTATCGCTACATGATGCGGACTGAATACGCCTTCGCACCTTGGATGGATGCTACCACACACTGCGGGTAATCATTATCTAAGTATGACTAGGAATGTTGTGTTTTAACTAATATTGCGGGAACTATCATTTCTTTGTAAAGGTAACAGCGTGGAGTATTTCTGACACATCGCAATACAGCTGAACAGCATTGTAACTTTCGTAGAAAAAATGCACGTTAATCTAGTTTCAGATTAGGTGTATAAAAGACTTGGATTTTGCTTGAGTTCATGTTCGTGGATTTTTATCAATTCAGAATTTTCTAAGAAATGATCCCTATGCTATGAGTGAAGATAACATTTTCAGAGTCTAGTATAAATAACATATGGGGTTATGAATGATGAAGTCCAATTGGTAGAATTCAACTGTGATATCTCATTCAATATTTTTTTTCCAAAATCCACGCAATCGTAATCTAAGATTAATTTCAGCAAATATCTTCCAAATCAATACAACTATTGTTAAGTTCAGAGAGGATTCTGTTTTAGTCACATGTATTTAATTTTTAGGAGTTGCAACAACAAGTGCTGCTTTATCAGGTTCGATTCGCGCGGCATAGATTTAACTAGATGTGTTGATACACTATAATTCTAAGTTAATTTCCCGTCTATGTTTGTCATTTTCAATATCATCAAGAGACGCTTTAATTTAGTACGAGTTTCAGTGCTAATAAGGAATAGTACACTTATTATGTGGCTATTTTAAACAAAGAAGACAACATTTTTAAGTTTGTATATTGAACAGCCGACCCGGCAAACTTCGTTCCGCCTAAAATTTACTCTCTCACTTGTTAAACCTTTCCTAAACTTCCATGAACATTTTACGACTAAAATTAGCCAAAGCGGTGCAGCCGTTCTCGAGTTTTAGCGAGACTAATGAACGGAAATTCATTTTTATTTGTATAGATTTACACAGAAGCATTTCAATTATGGATTTACAAATATATGAATTAGATTTTTTGACAATAAATTATTTTTTTAAGGAAGCTCGTTGTTAGTTCATCAGTTTCGTAATAAAAAAATGTTATTATTACCGCGTATTTTATACCCACTCCATCTGAGAATACGTAATTAAAGACCCGATTTTTTCTCTTTAGAATAGGTACCTCTAAATGTCAGTCTGATTTCAAAAATAAGTCGCATAAATAACAGTTAAATTTTTTTGTTATTTCACATACATTTAATGATTATCTACATAAACTACGACTTGTAGGTAAATACTTATACCTATAAGTCCAATATTTTATACTATTCTAGCTGATGGGCCTAATGAAACTTTTTGCGTGTTCTAATGCTGCTACTGAACAAAAAATACAGCCTAAAAGGCAGTCAATTAGTCATGAACTCGTCATACCAATAGTTGTAGGAAGTCGATAGGATCGTTTCGTAAGTAGAAATTAATTTACAAGACTTTATTATAATATATTGACTGGAAATATATACGAAGTGACTTGCCAACAATAATCATATCGTGCAAGCATAATTATTTAATGTTTAATTTGCATGTTTCTAGGTTTGCAATTACACGTACAAATTACCTAACGAACTAAAGAGCTTAGGTATAGAGGTATATATTCAGCGCTAAAACGGTATCAGAGTTATAATATTTACGAATGATGAATTAGGCAGCACAAAATGTCATTATTACATGTATTGATTCCAAGTAGGTCCTTAGGTTTTTTATTATTTTAAATTCTATAATATAGTAACATGAAATGTATTTTGTTGTCAGATATGGACCAAGAAGCAGTGTGCCACCTCCTGGATATCCACCGATGGGGGTGAAGCAGATGCCTCCAATGAGTAACATGAACGTCCCACCTGAACAACCAGGTTATCGTGGTCGTTATGATGCTCCTCCGTTTGAAGAAATTCCACCCGGTGTTGAACCACCCGTTCCTGGATTTGAGCCGTCACCTTTTGAAAAACCACCATTTGGTCCGTCTGGACCAATTGACCGTGAGCGTTTGCCTCCACCGAATTATAGAGATCCTTATCGACCGCCTCCTTACAATGAAGGCCCTACAAGTTACAGGGATATGTCAATACCACCACCTGTACCGAATGAAATTCCAGTTCACGTAGGTGAGCAGCCGCCACGGTATAGAGACAATTATAGACCAGGTCATTACCGTGACCAACCGCCCATGCCATTCAGGGAAGGCCAAACATACCGAGAGCCTGGACCACCTGGGTCATATCGTGACCCTAACTTTAGAGGGGGACCGCCTCCATTCCGTGATGGCACTTACCGAAATGCTCCTTACAGGGAAGGTGGGTTCCGTGATAATCCGCCTCATAATAGTTTTCGTGAGCCAACAGCTCCTTTCAGACCACCTAGTGCAGATCCTCGAGAGCCAGGACCCATTAACTATCATGATCCAAATTATCGCGATAATTTCAGAGAGGAAAACGCTGCTTCTCGAGGCCTTAATCGTCCTGGTTTTAGAAATAATGTTCGGAACAGGGCTGCTCCAAGACGAAATGCTAATGTCGAACATGACAGACACAGAGACCGAGATGTTCGTGATAGAGAAAGATACAATGACAATCGAGAGCCAACAGAAAAAACAGAGAGAACTCGAGATTCTGACAGGAGAGCAGGATACGACAAGCCTCGCGATGCTCGTGAAGATCGAGCTAGAGAATATGAAAGAGTTCGGGATCATGAAAAAGAACGTGAACATGATAAGACAACTCCAGACAAAAAAGTTAGAGTCTCACCAAAGCGGAGTAGGGAAGCACGTGAGAAGAAACGTAGTGAGTCTAGAGGACGTTCTCGTGATCGTGATAGTAGAAGGGAGAAAAAAGAAGAAAGAACTCGAGACAAATCTTCTGCAGATCGAAACAGGGATCACAAAGAAAAAGAAAAGAAACTTAAAGATCGAAAGAAAAAGAAGCGTGAAAAGGAAAAAGATACCGAAAAGAAAAAGAAACGTGATAAAAAAGATAAAAAGGATAAGGATCACGTGAAAAAGGAGGACGATGAACCTGAAAAGGAGGAAGTGAATAAAAAAACTGGCAATGAATTGAATAAAACAGATATTGATAAACCAGCCGATGTTAAAATAGACAATGTGAATGCTGATACAGTTTTAATAAATAGGGAAAAATCTCCTAAAATACAATCTCCGGAGAAACCGGCTGATGATTTATACGGCGATGAAGCTTCAGAAGCTGTTGACAAAGAAATTATAGAAAATTATGTTAAAACTGAAGAAAAAGGGGCACTAGAAGATAGTATAAATAATTCAGATAATGTAAACAATTCTAAAGAAGAACCGTTTGACGGTATCGAGCTTCAAGCCAATGCAGACGAATTAGATTTAAAGGTTGATACTGAAGTATCTAATCCAACAAACAAGGAGATGTTAGCAACATTGCCTGAATTATCCAAGTGGGAAGTAGATGAAGATAACGTAGAAAAGGCTAAAGAACCAGGAGAGATAACTTCTCCAGAAGAAGAAGAAGATGGGAGCAAAGTTACATCTGATGTAATTAAACGCGCTGAAAAAGCTATATTTGCCAAAGCAATAACTTCATTGAGACCTATAGAAATTAAAAAGATCAGTACTGATCGTCTCAAACTTTACGATGACGAAGGACAAAAACCACCAATGAATAATATACAAATTACGGTCCCGGTAACTGATTCCGAACCGAGGTCAATTGAAATTAACGAAAAGAAGAAGAGATACTCAAAAACTCCACCGCCTCGTTTATCCGTTAAAGAACGACTCGGCGGGAAGGTAGAGGAATCCCGAAGGGGTAGAGAAACGCGTATTGTACAAAGTACTGTAGAACGTGTTAAGTCAAGATCCAAAACTCCTAAGCGGGAACAGCCTTATAGACGAGTGACAGTGGAAAGAGAAAGGGGTCGAAAACAGGAGGCTCCTAGAATAGAAATGGTTAAAAACGAAAGGCGGTTGATGTCTGAAGCAGTAAAAACTGAAAAACATCGAGCGCGAAGTCCCAATGAAAAGAAATATTCTAAAGAAGATAAAAAGACAAACATAAATGAAAACAACGTTAATCGCGATCGAGGTCAGGAGAAAAATGTATCCGAAGGGAAACATACCGATCGTGAGAGGAAAAAATCCACTTTGGATGAAGCCCATTTCGAACCAGATTATGACGAAAATGTAGAATCTGACCATGAACAGAAAGAAGAAAATCCCAAAAAACGGGAACGTTCAGCATCACCGGCTGATGTGAGTGAAACTAAAAAAGCTAAACTTGACAATGACACTATAAAATTAGATTTGACCAATGTCAAAAAGAAACATGATTCGGAGAGTGAATCTACTAGCGACTCAGAATATTCATCGTCGTCCTCGTCATCTGATGCTCGCAAACGTAAGAAGAAGAAGAAACGCAGTAAGAAAAAGAAAAAGCGAGCTGCAAGTGAAAGCGAAAGTGAGTCTGAATCCAGTTCCGATGATCACAAGAAAAAGAAAAAAAAGCGTAAGCATAAGAAAAAATCTAGTAAGAAGAAAAAGAAATCTAAACATAAGTAAAGCATACTTTCCCTTGTTTGTATATTGCATACATTATTTTTGTTTATTATTGATGACTTATGTAGATAAGTTGGTAATAAATGTAAATAAGTTTCTGGTGTTTTTGTCAGTTACATATACATTAGTTTGAAACTCTTTTTAGTTAGGGGGTTGAGTCAGATATTTTAATAAACTTACTTATGTAAAATTCTGAGTAATACAAATAAAAGCTTATAGTAATTATATTTTTGTTTTAATTTACGTAAGTACATGTATCTATGTTGAAGGTTAACTTGGCTACATTAAATGGACAGGTGTTATGCTTATAATAATAAGCCAAGATAAAAACGAGATAAACATTGTCCCTTTATGGTTGAAGAAGTGAGTGATCTTTACTTCGACTGTTTTAAACAGTTCTAAAGTATCAAGTTTTTTAAATCTTTGCACTATTAGATTGTTTCATTTACAATTTTACCAGTATCATTTTATGGCAAAGCTCATTCTAAACTAGTGTCATTCTTAGAAGTGGTAGGCAATATTCACTTTTCAAGGTCACTAGTTTTGTTATAAGTCTTATGATCAAATACTCAAACGCCATTCAATTTTAAGTCGCGCTAAGTATAGTTCTGTCACTACAATTTTTTTGTAAAATGACAGAGATTGCACGATATACACGTACAATTCAGAATTGAGCAGCCGTTCAGTTTTCGAGCGTTAGTTATAGTGGGTGTGCGTATGAGTACATACACAAGTAATTGGACGGGATCCAGGATCTAATACTGAGAATTTTTTGGAAAATCAAAATTACCTACTTTGCTTTACATCGGAAGTGAATCTCGGGCCTCTTGCTTGACAATTGCATTTGCTACCACTCGATTAACAACGCAGGCATCATGAGTCAAGTGAGTCAAGACGTGTCAAGTACTTATCTATCATAGTAGGTACAACCAGGATTAAAAAAAAGACCTAATTACCTTTTAATGTTTATTTTAAAAAGATACAACACATTTATAAGAAAAATAATAAGATTCCGTGCTACTACTGAGAATTCCGAAATCAAAAACGTATTAATTAACTTGTCCTGGTTGAACACAACCAGGTTATAGACTTACACCAACTTTGGTTATGCAAGAACCACTTTCTTGTTAGTTACATAACGTCGTCACGCAGTTAAATGCCCGAAGGGTTGCACAAGTTGCACATTTTCACAATGTGACATCGACTTTTCATTACCTAGTTGTTTCCAAGTCCCATGTCATGTAATAGAGAGTTCGCCTATTGCCATAGACCGGACACAATTCCAGACTGGTATTACTGAGAAATTTAAAAAACCCCAACAACACTACCCGACCGGGAATTGAGTCCCCTTCTCGGCAGTCCATTGTGACTACTCGACAAATGAAGCAGTCTTGAACAATATTTAATATAGGTAATATTATTGATGTTAAAGCGAATAAATTATTATAATACAGAGATATTACATTCAAGATAATAAGATCTATTTACGGCCTCGACGATAGCCTCCTATTAAGCTTAGGCCTATGTGGTGGTACCAATTCTTGCGTATGAGATTACGCTCATATTTAGCATTACGGCGGAATTCACGCCACTCTTCCTTCTTTCGGGGAATGCTGGGACCATACGTTTTCTTAGCCCTGAACGATGATTTGACAGTCTGTAAATTAAATATGAAAAAACAATGATTACTTATTCGGTAGATTGAAGACAAATATCTATCTACTTACATATTATTTACCTAGTATTACAACTTAGTCTTGTTTTATAGCGTTGAGTAAGAATGATGCTTTACTATTAGTGCGTAATGGGAGAGGTACTATTCTATACTTGTTACTTACCTCAACGAAGGTGCTAGTTCTGTATTTCCATAGTGTAGCTGCCATGAATATGGGCACCAAAGCTATGCCAAAGTACTGAAGCATCGAGCCAGCAACTGCAAAAATATTATTATTATAAGTATCGAAAACTTTGGTGCTCTTGTAACTAAACTACCAATACCCGCAAACAAAAAATTAACAATACGTACTGTAAGCACCATCCGGATAAATGTAGTCATTGAAAGTCAACTGATCCGTTGTTACCAAAGCGTAGAAGAATACGGTCATCATCATAAGTGGTGTCACAATACCCCAACAGATACGCCAGTAGAACGAAGTCTTCAAGCCCAACATAAACTCAATATCCAGACACATGTTCTCCAAACCTGAAATGTAAATATGACTTTAGTTAGGCATCTTCATATATTTGACAAACTTGTGATCCATATGTAATGTACCTAATGTATAAGGTAATAAAAGTATGTAGGTATAGCCAACTAGTCGCCAGTTACACTTAGATTGCAGTCACTTAAAATAAGGTCCAGTTACTATAGGTAAAATTATTTTAACATTTGTTTTTTCTTACCATAAATCCAAAAGACACCAATAATCTCAACAATCGCAGCAAACAGTCTCATGAAAGTTCCACCGTAGTGATCAACCAGTTCTAGAATGTACTGACCGCCCTGTAAAGTTTAATAATAGTCTGATTAGAGAGTTAGGTACATAATTAATACAATAACCTTTGAATATTTCGCTATAAGTTTAATATTGTATTCCAAGGAGTATAGATACAAGTTGCAAGTTGTTACTATTTAAAACTAATATCCAATCTTTGAGGAAAAGCTTCTAAAAGTTCCACTCGCTTACTGTTGTGGTAACCCTTATTTCAATAATTTTAGGTCGGTGTAATATCTACACTTCATGAGAAAATCAAAACAAAAAAACAAAAAACCACTTACTGGAGTAACATAAACAAGTCCAACTAAAAAGCATGCTGAGCATATGATAGCCGACATCACAATTGTGGGGACTTTAGGGAAAGCATCGAGGAAGATTGTGTTTACAGTCGAAAACAAGGCAACTCCTGAACCAACGCCAAGTACAGCCATCATTATGAAGAACAGGGCAGAGAAGAGCTGAAAAATTAAGATAACATTTTACATTAATACAACAAAATAAAATCATAAAATAGAAATACATAGAACCAATATAATTAATGTAAATACATATTATTGATATAAATAAATGTAACAAACATAAACAAATATATATTACAATAAATGTAGGCAAATGAGCAAATGTATCGAATAATCAGTTTAACTCAAAAATGTAATTTATTTCTCGTATCCAATATTTTAAATTTTAGAAAAGTGCTCCTCTATAAAATACTACTTTTGCTGTGCCCGACAGGGTCCATAATTGTTTCTGTACCTTGTAACAATGCCAACTGTTGTAAAATACATTATGGAATAATAAAGTATTGAGTATTGGGAGAACCTATGTGTATGTATGTACATACATACACACGTTCATACACGTACATACATACACACTTACACACGTATAAATAATATGTGAGTTCCAATTTTCACTAATTATCTTATGTAGCAGGGGTCAAGCCCATCGTCGTAAACCGGTCACAGTTTAACGACTTCGTGGTAATATCAAAGAAGCCCAATAATATTTTATCCAACGTAAGATAATCGCTACGCTACCGAGAGTGTTTGCTCGGCAGTCATAATAGCTGGCACTCGATCGACGAGGCAGTTAAGGCAGTGAATATTACACGTTCTTAGCTTGAAACATAAGTGAAGTGATACTAATTAATATTTTAATAATTTCTTACTTGTGGGACAAATGGAGATTGTGCAATAGCATCTGGGTAGGACACAAAGGCCAAGCTAGAACCTCCAGATGTGATGATTTTGCTGATGTCGTCCTCACCCGTTTGGAAAGCGAGGTTCCCCAGAATACCGAAGATGGTGATACCAGATATTAAACTAGTGAACGTGTCCAGCGTGGTCACAATCATTGAGTCTCTGGAAAATGGACATAAATACAAATTGGTAGGTACTGTTTTTCAACTTAATGATTTTTGTTTGGTCAAGTTGGTTACGTACTTATAATGTATTCTTTATCTTTTTAAGCAGTATTACCTAACAATTAATTGTTGATCAAGGTTAACGTTACATGGTACTTGAGAATAAATCTTATTTACCTGTATACGTTCTGTGTAAACTTGTTGAATGAGGAGAACATGATCAAAGCACCGGAACATGTGGAGAGAGAAAAGAAGACCTGAGTTGTAGCTGCATACCACACCTAGAACAAGTTAACAACTAAATAAAAGAAACAAAAGTAATACAAGTTTAATTTCTTTTAATTGAATTTTTCTTTACCCTCAATTCCAAGATTTTTGACCACTGTGGTGTAATGAAGAATAATATTCCTTTATCAGCGCCGGGTAATGTGACAGCCCTGAAATTTTAATTAATTAATGTGAACCTTTATTTTATTCTAAATATGAAACTTAAGTCAACCTCTCGCTAAAGTAACTTAACAAGAACGAATTCCCATTCTAATTTGACGGTAGCAGTTCTCGTGTAGGCCCGTAGCGCGTGCTACACACTATGACGATAGACGTAGCACTTGTGCTACGACTCTACTACGACCGTAGCTAACGTGCTACGAAAGTGGCTACGATGCCACTTTGGCTCAGTAGTGGATAGAAAATAATAAATTATTATGTAATGGTTTTGTAAATACTCTTGTTATTTATAAATGAATATCAAATTAATTATTATTTTTATTTACCTGATAAGCAATATCAGCATGACGACATATGGGAATAAAGCGAGGAAGTAGGCAGCTTTTCCAGAACTTTTGATACCTCTTGCGACGATTATGAAGATAATTAACCAGGATACAAATAAACTTAGAGTTAGGTCCCAGATTGGTGTACCTACAAACAAAAAGGTATTTGATAATTTAAATAAAAAAACACTTTATTCTTGCAAAGATAAATTATATTACAACTTTCCTTGCTATAAAAATGGAATATAAATATGAAGTTGAACATTTTTGTAATAAAATAATACTTCTTGTGTATCACTTTAGTTATTCGTTAAGGGGTTATAATCGTTAATGGTTTGTTATATCTGTAATAATGTGTATTTTTATATTACATTACAAATAATCGTATTACATGTTATCTACTTACCAATGCCATCATGGATACCATCAGATTGACGCAGAACAGTTTTCCTGTTAACAAGAAATCAAAGTTTTAGTTAAATAATGAATATTGAAAACGCCATGTTTGTTTACAAAATATACATAAAATGGCTTTAGCATGTAAATTCCACACGCAAATAAATATTTAAATAAATAGTTAAATTACACAGTTTTGCTTAAAGCTTTACCAATATATCCCATTTTCTAGTGTCAACTTTTTTAAACCTTTAATTGCCGACAAAAACTATTAAAGGCTAATCCTCCGCTAGCGTCGGACATCATTGTCCGACACGGCAGCTAATGTGGCCTTATTATAACTATTTTATTAAAATTCTCTCAAGGTTCAACTAGACAAAAGGGGCCTGTAGTGGCAGCGTTACATGAATATTCGATTTGTTTCGTTTATGCATTGCACTAGGTACCAAAACAAAAACTTTATATAGGTACCTAATGTAAGTAATTTTTTATTTTGATCGATTGATATTTGATGTGGTAGTAATTAGCATTTTATGTATTTTTGTTATCATGAAATTAGCATTTTTAACTTATTACATCTATATTTGGGAGTCCCCGATATGCAGCTCTTATACAAGATAAGAATGATTCAGATCTGATCACGTTTCAATGATGTTTCGAGGGTGGGTTGAGAGGCCCTATTTACCTTGCGCCTCAACATTATACATACGTATATATTTCCAAGTAGATAGAGATGATGTAGATTTTCCACATAATGTTAGCGGTGTACCCAATACTTAGTTTATACTACGGAACGCAGGTTCCATAGTTCAACCCCATAATCCCGATAAATTATAAGTAGGTAGGTTCTTCTATTTCGATAAAAATACAATTGCAATAATTCCACAAACAGCAAGCGCCAATGTTAAGTACATTTTCACATTATTTATTTTTATTCGGTGCAAGTAAAGTGCCACGTGACACTTATTTACGGGGGATTGTGACACCTCCACCGTTATCTAGGCTTGTCTTATCACCTTGTTAATAATTCAAAATAATCAATGTATATCTACCTAAATACGCAGCATTTATATTATCAGGTCATGTTTTATCAGTTATTGAGTGATAAATGAACATATACGTTACATTTTATTGATAAACCGATTAAATACGAAATATCTGCATATTTTAATGGCACGTGGTAAATATTTGCTTTGTATGCAAAGCTTTATGTTTTAAGCAGTCATGTTGATTAAAGTGAAGGTCTATTAGGTTTTTTCATGAACCGAGTGGTGTAAGCAGCCGTGGCTTTTTTTTTTAAGAGTCAGCTAAATTCAAAATAGGTACTTATAGGTATAATTATCTGCTACTTGATTCTAAGGATATGTGTTATTGCTATCACTGATAATAGTTGATAAGCTTTTCAGAATTAAATGGCGTGAAATAATAACTCTAAAAAGAATTTTAATAATGTTGACCAACAACGCGTATTTTATTTATTAATATTATATTATTTGAAGTTTTGTTGTTTAACGAGATCGTAACTTAAATTAAGTAACTGAAGGGGCGTAGCTAGCGCCGTATCTGCCGTATCAATTATCGCCAACCTCCCGGGCTGGGGTGGCCCCCAATGTGCGTATACAAAAATTAATAATAACTTCCCAATTTTTATTTTATTATACCAACAACAAAAGTCAAAATAAATTCTTTTTCCCTGCGTAAAACATACGTTCAAAGGTTGGCAGAAACTAGAAAAACTAAAGTAGGTACTCAATAAAGTCATAAAGTCTGATAATTTGGGTAGAGGGAGTTGCTATGAAAAGTTTCCAACACAAATTGTTAGTAGGTATTTCATGCAAAAAAAATCTTTTGTGAGAAATGTTTACTTTTCATAAGGTCCCAAACAAATTTTTATACGAGGCCCGCCACGACACGCTACACCACTGGTAAGTAAATAACTATACATAAATGGAGACAAATCGAAAAAATAAAATTTTCTCTTTACGGTCTTGACACGACATAAAATGTACAGAGTTACTAGTAAATTAATAATAATAGCATAGTTAAATAAACTTACTGGAAATATAATTGAGCACTGGTTATGGGTTTGTCTATTATTGTCGCATTATCGGCTACCTCTCCAGAGGGAACGCAGTCCACCCAGTCTGGTTGGCACACAGACCACGGAAGAACACTTTGGAAGCTCATTACCAGATAGTACAGACAAAGTCCGACGATTGACATGTAGTAAGAGACGATGTACAAAGCGCTGAGAGCTTGAGCGTAACCCGTTCCTAAAAATTAAATTTAAATAATAAACATTTGAAACTTAAGTTTGATTATTGTTTAGGTATTTATTTATGAATTGAATTTTTTAACCTTTAAATTTTTAACTTTATTAATCAAAAGAAAATTATTTGATAAAACAACGGACCTTTCATAGCTGGTGATAAAGCCCATACTTTAACACAATTACTGCTACTGAATTGACCAAGAGCAGTTTCTAAATAGTACATGGGTTTTCCTATGAGTATAAGCACGATGATGTAAGGAATAAGGAAGGCGCCGCCTCCATTCTGATACGCGATGAAGGGGAATCGCCACACGTTGCCGAGACCGACCGAAGTGGCGATACAGGACATGAGGAACTGATATTGATTGTCCCATGTTGGCCTTTCAACTTCTGGAGTAGCTCCATCCTGGAAAAGAAATCATAACAAAATTACTTATAAGTAGATAGTACTTATATTGTAAAGTTTAAATTATCACATTAAATTCATAACAGAACACAACACCTTTTATTCCCAGAAATATTTCGTAATTTTTAGTTATTTATTTGTTTCCGCTGGTGTCGTTCGTTATCTTTTTAAATGCGTCTTTGTGAGGTAATATTTAATAAGGATTTTATAGCATGCAATCATAAAAATTCAAATTATTAGTACAATAAACATTTTATTTTCCAATCATCTGATTCATAAATTATTTTGTACCTGCATATTAAGTATTTAGCAAAAAACATAATCTGATAACTGTAAAGATATTAATTATCTAATCTCGTGACAATGTCCTGAATAAAAATTGGCCAATGTTATCCATTCAGAAATACCTACCAAATAAACAAATAAATGACCTAGGTACCCCGTTTATAGCTTCATGATTTCATATTTCAGTCATTTTGTATTTAACATTAAACTGACCGGCTGTTCTAAAACGCAATATTTTTTGTTGACTGTCATATAATGTGAAAATCCTTGTGATTACATACATATTATGTGCCTATACATTTCTATATGACAATACGATCGACCAGCAGACTAATCACGCGATGATAAACAATTGGTAATAACAGAGGAGTAACAAATACTTTAGCGATTAGGGATTTGGGGATTGAGGATAGGGGAGGGACAGTATTCGTTTTTTTTATAACCTCACTCGCATGGTGAAACACAACTCAAGTGTTGGTTCAAGCTGGTTTTCTGTGAGGCCGTGGTATCCGGTCGAGTCGGCCACATTCGTGCCGAAGGCTGTCTTCCACGTGAAGACGAAGTATGTACATCTTGCATTTTCGATGCATGTTATGACTACAGACTTAAGACAAGTGATTTTTAACAGATAACCGGATGAAGTTTCATTGGTGTGCCTGAAGCAGATTAAGTATTTTTTATGTTCAACAATTTTATTTAATTATTAATTTTAATATAAAAAAAGAGATGCAAGTGGTATTTCTCACTCCATGGACATTCTAATAGGTTTAATGAGTGTATAAAAATATAAAATTAAGTAGGTTTTAGGATCTAGTTCTAATAATTAATTAAGCCACCTAGTGATAGATATCGCATAGTTACTTAACTTTTATCTATGACGTTAAAGCAAATAAAACACGATTTAGATATAGGTGTGCGTTGATGTTATGTAAATAAATAGATAGGAATTTCCTTAAGTTATAAATTGTACGTTTCAAATAATGTGCGTGGTGGGTAATGAACGAATGAAACCATTCCATTATTTTCCGGTTCTTTATAATCTCGTAAGGTGGTTATGACAAAATATTAATTTTAAGTAGGTGAATATAATTTTTGCTTGTGTAATTTTATCTTAATTTCGAAAAATAAGTCATTGAATGTTCAAGATTATCCCAAATGATAAATAATTTATTTCTGCAAATAGAATACAAAATAGCACTTTTAATTATAGGGCAGTATTTTAAAATTAAGCTGGATCAGCTTTTCCTATTTGACTACTCTGAGAAGAAACACCAAAACAATCTCACAGGCATAGTTACCACCAAACAAGTTCATTCCGTAATGATTTTTCTTAATTGTTTTTCTACATAGTGTTGGAAATTTCCGTTTGAGTTATAGATTTTATCTAGTTTAGTGTTCACAATTTTATATCTATTATGTATAAAAAGTCTGATAAAATACGTGTTAAGAACTACCGTATTTTAAGTAACCGCTGATACGCTATACGAATGTATGCGTAATATGTGAATGTGTCTGCATTAAATATTACATTATTTCAATAGTTTAAACAGAAACAAAGCATAAAAGCATCTTCTTATTATAGCTATTCTATTTGAGAATGACGACGAATGTTTGAGGAACTACAACATTAATTTACTAGCTCGTACACAAAACTACGATGCGACGTCGCATCGCAAAAATGTGCGAGCTCCCTCTACGCATCGCAACAACTTGCGAATTGATTTGCATCGTACATCAAAATCTTATCTTCCCAAAATCTTCTTTGTTTTTTTTGTATCTCCTAATAACAAAAGAGCACACTTCTTTTTACGATCCATGTCACGACCTAGTTTTTAATTTAAAATACAAATTCAAATTCAAATAGTTTAAAACTACGTTTAGTACGTTTATACGTAAATAAGTTTAGTACAGTTGACGGTCGTCGAAGAAATGTAACACCTACATTTCACTATTTATGTTATGAGTCCCATGTAATAGGGGGTGAGCCTATTGCTATATACCGGGCACAATTCTAGACTTTGTCCTACCACTGAGAATTTTTTACACCCAGTAGTACTTTGCCCGACCCGGGCATCGAACCCGAGACCCCTTGCCTAACAGTCGCACTTGCGATTACTCGGCCAACGAGGCAGTTGAATTTTTACGAATCGAAATAAACGATTTTATGTCTAAAATAAGGATTGTTGCACTTTTATTTACACATTCGCACATTTATTTATAGGTTAGTACGTACTGGATTTTATTTGGTTGGTATCTGTGGCGCCCTCACTGATTTGCATTAATAAATGGACAAACTGTATATTAACAATTTTGTTTTATTTTCCTTATATTTTCGACTATTAGGCTAAATAAATTAAGTATGTACTAAATGTTTCTTGTAAACATTAAATTAAACATACCGGTAATTCGAGGGGTATTCACCTCATTCCCGTATCAATTCACCCCGTTTTAGCAAACCTATGGTTTATTTATAAATCGTAACTATCGAACTGGTTACTCAATCGTTTAGATATCTGCGTATGTTTGTTGAAGTTTCAACAGGCATTCGTCCTAAATTCCATTGCGTACAATCATTGTTTAATCAGTTGTGAAACGCCGGTATAGTCCCGATAATTACTAATTAATTAAAGCAACGTAAACAAGTGTTGTTTACATATTTACTTAGTTCTTAAGTCCGCTATTAGTATAAAGGATGAGACGAAGATGGCCTTATATTCCGAAGCTTTATGTTATTTCATACAGGGTGCAAACGGTACGCTACCGAAAAATGTTGACGTAAATAAATAGTTATTACAATTGTAATCGTTTTACGTGCTATTTATGCAACATCAGCCTTGAGCGGTTGATTACAACTATTATTGTATAAAATAAACATTTAATTCCTTATTTTTATGATAATAGAACTTGTTTTTTACCATCACTTGTCGGCGTATTTCGATAGTGTCCCGTTTACACCCTGTATTACTATTGTCTATCCAGGGCAAACCAACTAAAATTCAGTATCATATAAACAGTTAGTGATCGACAATTAGCAGATAGCTTTATCAGTGGTCTGGTACCTAATGATCTCATTTGTGCAACCTTGTTCATAAAACTATAGCGCCATTGCACATTGTTAGATAATTTAAAAAATAATCACTTGCACAAATTGGAAAAAAGAATAACAAAAATGACATTAATACGCACAGTGAATACTTTAAAGGTTAGTACGATTTTTTATGTAAGCAATTCGGACGAATGAAAAAGTGTCTCTTACGGAGTTTTTATAAGAAATGTGATCGGTTTTTGAGTACTCAATTACTCAATACATATTAAGTATTAGGTAGATGTTGAATATCCTATTTAGCAATACACCATAATCACACATTGAACACCTTTCATCGGATGTATGTGTATATATTGTACATAGTTTTTAGTTTTGCCACTAATTTTCTTTTATTTATGTAATTATCAACAACTTTAAACCTTAAGGAAATGAATAACATTTTTTGTTGAATACCGAAAAACTACCGATTATTATTAATTTCATTCTTTAAGCACTAGGTACCTACCTACTAATTTTATCGATATATTTTTTTAAATAAATTTTTACCACCTTGCGCCCGCACCCCGCAAACCCGCAGTCAATATGCAAAGAAATCAATTGAGAAGATTTATCACTTACTACAATTTTTTCCGGATAGTCGGAAGGCAGATCCTTTTCTGTACCGTTGAACTCTGGTGGGGGTTTCTTGGACCTGTCATCATACTCCGGCGGAGAATCAAATCCTGCATTCTCATGACTTCCATTCGCAACCACATTCACCACGTTGTCTGAATCCTATTAAAAAAAAACAATGACTTAAATAATATTTATACTTATTTGAGAGCAGTTCAACATCAATATTTATGACGAATTTTTTTTTAATATTTTTTTATTTACCATTTTACGATATATGTATGTGGTGTCCTTAGAAAACTGACCACCACAGCATTCGTGGTTGGAATGTCCTTTGAATAATTGCTATTCGATATATTACTTACAGATAAGTTTAATGTGATAAAGTAATCGTAATATCCATCTATAGATTAAGTTTTTATCTAAATCTCATAATAGTTTTATTAATGATGTTTAAGTACTTCGTGCATAATTATGTGAATATTTTTTTTTTAAATTTCACATGGCTTCGCTTCTCTACTTTCTGTCATAGCACAAGATCTTTTTGCAAAACAGTTTGTCTACATCAGACCTAGAAATTATATCAAAATTAGAATCATTATTAATATTTAATTTAGATATTCTAACACATAGTTCGTCAACAAAACTGTCGGTTAATTAATGTGTTCAATTTGGTAAATCAGTATATCAATAACACAAGGATTTGTTAAACGAAGTTCGAAGTTAAGCTAACCGTTAGCTTTAGATCAAAGTGTTGAAGCTTTGTTTGAAACAATATAGTATGGTTAATTTTAAAGTTATCTTTTTGCTGAAGTTTTAACCTAGTTTAAAACAAGAGGCACGTCTCCTAGTCTTACCAAGATAGCAGTGTTTCATACGTCATAAGATAATGGAATCGAAGTGCAGAAAATATAAAATAATTTATATTCAGCGAGAACAAGTGTAATTTAAATATTAACTTGTCGAGTACCGTCATTATAGACACAATTATAGAACAATAGGTTGCGGTCACCGGTGACCGCTTGGTGTTTGACAGTTTAAATTAATTAATTAACCTTCTTGCAATTACCCCCAAAAACTTGAGTTGCAAAACTTTGGAGCAACCTGTATACAGACTCTAGGTAAGTACCTACATAATTATGTTTTGGTAATATAACACGGGCACGTTTTAGTTTACGTCATCATCTATTGAGTGACACTCAGTTTTATTGCCACGATCAAGGACAGTTGCAATTAATGTTTCATTTCATTCAAGGTCATGAAATTGACGAGTAGGTACATAAAAGTAGATATTGGAAAAACCAATCTTTGCGATATCTTCGGCCTTTTATTTATCTGTTCGGAGATTCGTGTTGAATCCATATCTAGGTGTGACTCCTTCTAATATTTCTACTTTACCTTAATTAACGGTATTTTTTGTTAAAAGCTGTATTTAATTAATTAAATGCCCATTGTTTTGAATTCTCACGCATGATACAGGGATAGTTCTGTAATTGTGTCACAGAAAATTGACGTGAAACAACTCTTGCGTTTCGTCGTGTGAGTGAGGTTACCCGTGGCCCATCACCCCCTTTCCTAATCTTCCCACTCCCTGAATCCCCAAAAATCTTCAAATTCCTGATCCCAAAAGGCCGGTAACGCACTTGTAACGCCTCCTGTGGTCGAAGTGTCCATGGGCGACGCCAATTGCTTACTATCAGGGAGTCTATATATTAGATTAACATTTAATTTTAATTTCATGGATATCTTAATTAAAAATATCAAGAAAGTGACATCTATCAGATGTTGGAAGAACTAAGTAGAGAATTTGTACACACATTGTTGTTATCTTGTTTGTTTTAGTAGCATATTAAAAAAGTAATTCACTAACAAACGCATAATGGGTTACCGGGGCTCCGGCTCGACGTGCAGAAGAAGGAACGGGGCTGGTTTTTAGTCAGTAAGAGTCTGACACTCCCTCCCGCCTCACCCAGGCGGGAGCAGTCATTCGATGATTTTCCCCCCTTAAAAAAACTATGTAATAATAATAATAAGTAAAACCTCATTTTTGAATAGGTATTATATAGCTTTTAGGTAGGTAGTAGGCACCTACAAAAAAAAGAAGATTTGATCAATGGAACTCTAATCATTTAATGAAATATGTACATAAAAAAATGAATCTCCATATTTATTCTACCATTATTATTTTCAAGTAGTTACCTATCAGCCTGAAGAATTATTATCATAAACACCTTGAACGTATTTCTTTCAAATGCATGAAGGAAATTTCACAGTTCCTGGACTACTACTATTGGGTAAACAAAAATATTTGATAACCTAATGTTTCAAATGTTTGTTTCATAATTTTTTGTTTTGTCAAAGGACAATGTCCGAGCTGGCCCTGTGTAATAAAGATATCAGAATATAAGATAATTAATCCCCTATTTTATTATGTACATAAGTTGCAAATACTTCTGTATCACGAACTAGCTGTATTTCAAAATGTACTTTTAATAGAATTTGGGATTTAGATCGCCATCATCGACTAATGTCAAATGCCTTCGCATAATGTCATGAATATTATTCGTCGTAATAAATAGGTAGTAACTACTAATATATAAACTAATATAAACTAATAATATTATACAGTAATCAAAACTTGTTTACTTCTATACAATCATTCAAACATTCAACATTCTTTCAAATATTCATTGTTATGTAGAATTGTAACTTCAAAATCTGATACTTTTTTTTAAATATATCTTTTCTGCAGCTAGTCCGCTATAAAAACAAGATCTTCTAGGAGTCTAAAAATGATCGGGAATACAATACATAAATTTTATCCGATACTCTTGGTTCCAGGGCCAACAATGTATGGACGCAGAGCAACGTCCTTTCTAATAATGAGATCGATTGCTCAGACCTCCTGCATAAGCTGTTATTTAATGTTCCGAAAAAATCGGTTCGATTTAACCCACCAATGGCTGTCCCAACTGTTTCCTTAAATTATACACAGAATTCCTATCAAGTGAACAGGGATTTTAATAAATTGTTAATAAATTTTAACAAAGATTTAGGATTTGACCCATGTACAAGCAGTTTCATATAGAATTCAAGCAGAATAAATATCCTTATTTTTCTACTTTCTTTCATGTGCATTGCATTCACAAACCCTATGTAGGTAAGTTTAGGAGTGGGAGGTCGTTACGTCATAACGTGCTACAAAATGTGGCACGCTGTGATGTCACACGATATCTCAAATTAATATATCGTCGAAAGTATTTACTTTAGTTTTAAATTAATGTACCAGACGGACATTAAAATATAATTTAGGAAATTACCCTATGGCTGTTGGTTACTCAAATCAAAATAATAAAATTAATTATTAAGTTTACAGAGGTGTGTAAATTTCAGTAAACTCGGTCAAAATGAGTACCATAACAAATATGATGGATCTATAAACGCAGTAATCCCGGTTATGACCGAAAAGCACAGCTAGTAAGGGTTGGGCAGACACCTACTATGACAAAGCCTTTTTGATAGTATACCTGCCATTTTTTAAAAGTGTATACATATTATTCAGGTAGGTATTCCGGCTGATGTTATCTATTAAAATGTGTTTAACTCGTCGAGTACCGGTTTTATAGACACAATGAAAGAACAATAGGTCGCGGTCACCGGTGACCGCTTGGTGCTTGACAGTTTAATAGTTGAGCGCCATATGATCAAAAGTAAGTATACTTATTTATTTTTTACATATTTCTGTATTATTTTTTTTAATCAGAAACGATTTGTACGTACCTACATTATTTATAACTACTTATACATAACAATAAACCAAAATACTCGTCAAATCAACTAAAAAAGAACTGATATTAAAAAAAGCTTTTTAAAGTGATCATTAATCCGCTGAATATTTTTTCTATCATTACTGATTAATCTTCTGAAACTTAAATCAAAATTAGTGCAGGTATTCTAAATTTTATTGTTTTTATTCTCAAAAATATCGCCTCGTGCAAAAAACACAGGTAAGTCTACGGCTGCGCGTACATATAAAGTACATACAATCTACATAGTATCAATCAATGCCTGATTGCACAACAATAGTAATGATCCAAAACGATTTGAATGTTGAAGGAAGTTTTCATTTATTTTTCCTCGTCAAACAGTCGAAATTAACACGGAATATAGAATACGATCTATATTCCGTGGAAATTAACCATACATAACAATTTCAATCCATCTTAGGCCTAAGATCAATTTTAGACATAGATAATGTAACGGGATGTGTCCTGGGACCCCAGGGCCAATTTATTACATGTAGTTGGCGTTCGAGAGATTATAGATAGAAACCGTAGACATGACATGGCTGACAGATTTTCTATAACAGTATACCAGAAATAAGAAGTGGCTACTTACGTATATTTTATTAAACACCTTCATAAAGATAAAAAGCTATGCAAAATATTAAGTACCTAGACTTTAGTATAGTATGTTAAGTATTTTGATTCTTCTTGATTCCTTGGTATCTATCTATTCTTGCCTTTGCTGAATAATGAAATAATAAAAGTAAAACTAATATTTTATCATCGAATTTTTCGGGGAACTGTTTAATAGATTTTACGTGCACTACTAAAGGTTAGTCATTCAAGCAGCCTGTAATTGTTTATTTATTTATGATTTATGCACAAAGTGTAGGCACTTACATGGTGGACATAATGCCACAGGCTTTTATTATTATTGTATAATCATTCTCAAATGAATTTATTGTAACGACATTGTGCATCTCATGCATCAGCTACCTGATTCTGCGAGTTTTAATAAGATTAGCCTGTTCTGTGTATTAGTGCATTAATGCTAAAACTAATAATTCATCATAATTATGACAAAATGAACTAAAGCTCATTATTTTATCATTTCGACTCACGTGTTTGTCTGTAGAAAATGTAATGTAATTAACATACTGCGTCAAACCAGTGCTAGAATATTAGCCGTCATCTGTCATAAATTATTATCAGTAAATTATTTATTTGACATACCTACTAGGCAATATTAATTAACGATGAATAGGTAGTAGACGTTAATACTGCGCGTAAGGGATTATGTTTATCTATTCTTATCGACATCGATTACACATAATTGAAGCTGTTCCGATTATAAAAAATATTATGCTAGGTTGACACGTGCTTATCTTCGTCCAAATTCCACGCTTTCACTATGAAAATGGTGGGCTTTCCAGACAAAGATTTACATAGTCATCATAGTCATCGTCGCTTAGCCTTGATCGATGTATTTTTTTAGATTTATCTCCATTATCTGCTAATTACCATTGGATTTTGGCACTGATAACCGAAATATGCAGACAGTCGAGATTATTATGGTATATAAGAATCTGCAATGACAGTGCTGGAAATTCAAATATATAGGACTAAAAGTCTAGAGAAGTCATTAATCTATCTTATTGCACAGAGAAATGTCCCACAAATATGTAAGTCTTGCATTTTAAATTTAAGGAATATTGTAACATATTAAAATTAAGCAATAAGTATATCTTTCATAAAAAATATATTTTTTCATATAATACAAAAGGTTTACAACATTAACTTAATAAATACCCTGACATTAAGATAAGTATTTAATAATTTAATAAAAATATAAATAAGTATTTTGGCAATTGTTGGTAAACTAAGTCGATGACAGCGTCATCACATAGGTGTAAGGTACATGGTAAGTCACTATTACTACATTACATCTATAGTTAGTTCTAGAGCTAAAGTTTGGAGGTTGGTAATAATAATTATCTTCTGTAGCCGCCGAAGAGACTGTATCGGATATGTTGGAACCAAGACGTTCTTATCTGAGCTCTCGCAGCTTCTGCTTCTTTTCTGAACTCGATCCAGTTGAGGCGTTCGAATTCCTCACGAGGTCCCCATGATTCCTTGGGGCGGAAGGACCGCTTGGCCGTCTGGAAAAAGATATAAATAAAATAAATGATTTGTCTTCCTTTACATCAAAAACCTTTATTTTTGTTTAGTATTAGTTTTGTCTTTTTACTTTTTTTAATTTGATTTTGGTTTTTGTATGTTAATTAAATGTGTAGGTACACGAAATAACGATATTGAGATATTGGTATATCTGACTCCTATTACAGCTATGGAGCTATAATGTCAAAGGTTTTCTGTAAGAGATCGCCTAGTGCGATAAGGTCGCCCATTGTTCACTATATTTATTTTTTTGTTGTTTTATCTATATGTTTATGTGGAGTACAATAAAGTATATATAAATATAAATAAATAATTAAATGTAAATGAAATTAAAGTACCTCCACGCAGTTTCCAGTTCTGTATTTGTACATGGTCAGGCCGATTGAGATCGGCACGAATGCTACACCGACGAACAGCATCATGTATCCGGCCACTGGAAAAATAATTACGTATTACTTACAGTTACAGTTATATTTTACAGAAATATATATCTTCTCAAGTTTTTATTTCTTCAGACAACTAAAGTATTATTATTGTAAAAACCTTATTACAAAATTAGGGTAAACCTAAAACCTAATTACTAAATTAGAGTTTTTACAATAATCTATATATATAAAATTCAAAGGTGATTGACTGACTGACTGACTGACATAGTGATCTATCAACGCACAGCCCAAACCGCTGGACAGATTGGGCTAAAATTTGGCATACACATAGATGTTATGACGTAGGCATCCGCTAAGAAAGGATTTTGATAATTTCCACCCCCAAGGGGGTAAAAAAGGGGATGAAAGTTTGTATGAAACTTTGTCAGTTTTTAACTGATCGGGTTGAAATTTGGCATGCAGATAGATGTTATGACGTAAGCATCCGCTGTGAAAGGATTTTGATAATTTCCACCCCCAAGGGGGTAAAATAGGGGATGAAAGTTTGTATGAGACTTTGTCAGTTTTAAACCGATCGGGTTGTAATTTGGCATGCAGATAGATGTTATGACGTAAGCATCCGCTTTGAAAGGATTTTGATAATTTCACCCCCAAGGGGGTAAAATAGGGGATGAAAGTTTGTATGAGACATTGTCAGTTTTAAATCGATCGGGTTGAAATTTGGCATGCAGATAGATGTTATGACGTAGCATCCGCTGTGAAAGGATTTTGATAATTTCCACCCCCAAGTGGGTAAAATAGGGGATGAAAGTTTGTATGAGACATTGTCAGTTTTAAATCGATCGGGTTGAAATTTGGCATGCAGATAGATGTTATGACGTAGGCATCCGCTGTGAAAGGATTTTGATAATTTCCACCCCCAAGTGGGTAAAATAGGGGATGAAAGTTTATATGAGCCTTTGTCAGTTTTTAACCGATCAGGTTGAAATTTGGCATGCAGATAGATGTTATGACGTAAGCATCCGCTTTGAAAGGATTTTGATAATTTCCACCCCCAAGGGTAAAATAGGGGATGAATGTTTATATGAGACATTGTCAGTTTTAAATCGATCGGATTGAAATTGGTTATGACGTAAGCATCCGCTTTGAAAGGATTTTAATAATTTCCACCCCCAAGGGATAAAATAGGGGATGAAAGTTTGTATGAGACTTTGTCAGTTTAAAATCGATCGGATTGAAATTTGACATGCAGATAGATGTTATCACATAGGCATCCGCTAAGAAAGGATTTTGATAATTTTCACCCCTAAGGGGGTAAAATAGGGGATGAACGTTTGTATGAAGCTTTGTCAGTTTTACACCGATCGGGTTGAAATTTGGCGTGCAGATGGATATTATGACGTAAACGTCCCTTTAGAAAGGTTTTTGAACATTCTCACCCCAAAGTGGGTAAAATAGGGGGTGAAAGTTTGTATGATACTTTGCCAGTTTTAAATTGATTTGGCTGAGACTTTGCATGCATAAAGTTACTATGACATAGGTATCTCTTTAGAAAGGATTTTGATAAATTCCACCCCTAAGGGGATAAAATAGGGAATGAGAGTTTGTATAAATCTTCTTAGCCGTTGAATTTAGAATCATTGAATCTTTTTGAATTACATTCGGTAAAACGATGATTTAGGACCTGGGTAACGTATGATAGTTTTTTCACAGATGTCTCACGAGAACGGGAACTATGCGTCAATGCCCCAGGACTCTCTAACTCTTAACCACTGAACTTATTTTAGAGAGATTCGGTACAACAATAGTCGATAGAATAGTTTTTATTACTCAAACCTTACGTGATCGGGCACTGTACTGGTAAGATCCCTGCGGGATTATTTATTTATTGAAACTACGATAAATCATTTCAAAATAGGTAAATCTTACTTGGGCACTGAATTGATTCTGGTTAATTCTGTCAGAAGTCATTAATCTACGCGGACGAAGTCGCGGGCAACAGCTAGTGTTTTATAAGAATTGCATTGAAGAAGTAGCTTTACAATTTCCCACGTAGGTAATTATTAATACGTACACGTATGTAAGTAATTGAATAATACAAATCGAATGAAATTAGTGAATATATAATTTGTTTTTGCTATATAAATTAAAGTACTATTGAAATTAAAAAAAATACTCACCATATCCAGCCGTTGGGTAGTAATAGTCTTCACCGAATTTAAGAGTTTCAGAAGTAGCCAACGCGTATACGAACACGACTATCATCATGGCAGGCATAATAACACCCCAACATAATCTCCAGTAGAATGAAGTTTTAGCACCCAACATGTACTCAATATCCAGGCATAGGTTCTCCAAACCTATAGAATACAAACAATGTGTTAATATAATCATGTAAAAAACATCACATACAATAGGTATGTATATACTTATGTGATATTAAAAAGGACAAATGTAATTAATTATAAAGAAGAGTATCATACCGTAAATCCAGAACACTCCAATAATTTCGGAAATAGCACAGAAGAGAATAAGGAAGGTTCCACCGAAGTGATCCACCAATTCAAGGATGTACTGGCCACCCTGTAATGTGAAAAGAACCATTTATTATCATTAGTGAGTTTAGATGATTGAGGTTGCTCATATTTCTTAAGAAAATCCGATGGCATTTCTGTTATTGCATGTAAAATACTGAAATGAATTCGGTTCAATAATTCTGTTTATGATGGGGAGAGTCAGGAACGATGACATAGTGAACTAATAAAGTACAACAAAATAGCGTTAAACTTACAGGTGTAACATAAATGAGACCGATGCCAAATCCAATAGTGCAACAGAAGGCAGACATGTAGACAGTCTTGATGCGAGGGAACGCGTCCAACATCACAGTGTTGATGGTGGAAAGTAAGGCTACTGCTGACCCGATACCCAGAACCGTCATCATCAAGAAGAACAGCACTGCGAATAACTGAAAAAAAAACATCATTGAAATACAATAAAATGCACATGAATATATAATAATATGTATGTGTGTAAAGTTGAAACTTGCAATTAAATGTATTAGAGAATTCTTTATAATGAGCTTTATAATGAAGTATCGATACTATTATCAAAGATATACCTGTGGCTGGAAAGTTTTGGAGATCGCGTCAGGGTAAGAAATGAAGGCAAGTCCAGTTCCTGCAGAACCAGTGACATTTGCGACTTCGGTGTTCAACTCGTGCGCCAAGTTACCCAGGATACCGAAGATCGTAAAACCGGACAGTAAACTAGTGAAAGTGTCCAAAGTCGTGACAATCATTGCGTCTCTGCAATCATGGAAAAATAACAATATTAAAATTTAAAACGATGAAGTATTCAGACATTGATTGTATGAGTTACGAGACATTACGAGTCACTCCCGTAAATTTACTGAGAAAAGCTCTACTAGTTTTGAGTCATAGTGAGACAGCCGCGCGCAGCCTACGGGAATCGCCGCGACGATCCCAATAGGCTGTTCATGAAAAAGGGTCCCTCTGTGACTCGAAACTAGTAGAGCTTTTCTTTTCAGTATATTTACGTGAGTAACTCGTAGTTTTTAATTAATTCCGCATCTCTCACGACAGTTATTACAAAAACATAGACATTGTATTGTAGGCATTGTCAATTTCGTTGGCAGGCTGTATTGTACGTTCTGTTAGTTATTTATTCTATTGTGTGCGGTATAGCTTACCATTAGAGTACGTTTAGGAAAAAAACTATATTTAATTAGAAAAGTTTTTATATGTAATTGATCGTATCTTATTTGAAATATAGGTTAATAAATACATTTACATTTTAATAGTTAACACATATTTGAAAATGAGCTTAAAATTTTTATAGCTTAAAATATAAGCCGAGAATGTTGTGTGTAAAAATAACTATACCTGTAAACGTTTTGTCTGAAGCCATTGTAAGAAGAGAACATAATGATGGCACCGGTGCACACTGACAAGGAGAAGAACACTTGGGTCACGGCAGCGTACCACACCTGAAATAAAAAAACACGTTTGGTGTAAGTATAAAAACAAAAATAGTTAACAACCTAACATAACATCACCCCTTTTATCCCCGAAGGGGTAGGCACAGGTGTACATTATGCCACTGTACAATGTAACACCCACTTTTCACTATTTATGTTATGACTCCCATGTAATAGGGGGTGAGCCTATTGTCATATACTGGGCACAATTCCAGACTCTGTGCTACTATAGAATTTTTAAAAAAACCAGCATTACTTTGCCCGACCCGAGACCCCTTGCCCGGCAGTCGCACTAGCGATCACTCGGCCAACGATGCAACGAATTTGACAATTATATATAACTATGATTAAAGTATGGCCAATTACTTTTTAGTTTTAGTTACGTGTACTTACAATGTAAAAATAAATAAATAAATAAAAATTATACTTACATCAAGCTCTATAAGTTTGTCCCACTGTGGCGTCAGGAAGAAAAGAATACCAGTACCGGCTCCGGGCAGAGTAGAGGTGCTGAAATGGGAAATGTTACATAAATATTACAAATTGTAGTTTCATTAAAATGACATAATCAGCACATAATATATTTTCCTGATAGACCTGCGGTGAGTAACGTGTCGCGGGTTTTTTTTTAAGGGGGGAAAATCATCGAATGACTGCTCCCGCCTGGGTGAGGCGGGAGGGAGTGTCAGACTCTTACTGACTAAAAACCACCCCGTTCCTTCTCCTGCACGCCGAACCGGAGCCCCGGTTACCCGTTAGGTTCTCCGCGACAACGTGTCGCGGGTTAGAATTACTTTAACTTTCGTTTCGGGTCTATGCGTAAAATTTATGTTCTATGAGTTATAAAATAAGTTCCATTTAATTGTTACCATATTATTGTCATATTCTGGGAATAATTCCAGCCTCTATGCTTTTTTGAAAACCGGAAGTTTGATGTGGGATTTGAATTCAAAAGCTTGCTGGGCTGTCACTGGCCAACGAGCTACCTCGTTGAGTTACTACTAAAACTATTCATACTTATATATCATTTAATAAATGACATGAATGTTTAAAAATATTGGGCAAACTTACGTTATAAGCAAAATGAGCATCACAACGTAGGGGAAGAGAGCCAAGAAGTATGCAGCTTTACCGGAACTCTTTACACCTCGGGACACAATCACGAAGATGATAAACCAAGAACCGAACAGACACACCGTCAGGTACCAGATAGGGAGACCTGGAAACAAAATAATAACTTATTAATTATGTGATTCTATTTTAATAATTTTAAATTTATTCGAAAAATTTATTTTAATAATTTTAAATTTATTTGAAAAAAATATTTTAATAATTTTAAATTTATTTGAAAATTGCGTTTGAAATAGGACTTACCGAGTCCACCTTCAATGCCATCTTTTTGCTGCAGCACGGTCTTACTGTAAATATAAATAATGATATGTAATATAAATAATATTAAATTTTATTGTAACTTCATTTACACTTCAAATTTTATAGGTTCAATAAAACGTTGCTCAAGCTTGTCATTGAGTTCTGTTCAATTAAAACATCAAAAATTAGGTACAATATGTTGACATTGCATTACTACAAAATCAATTAAGTTGTGAATGTAAAATAAGATATTATATCGTATTAGATACAAGATTGATTACTGCTGAACATTGTATAATGAGTAAGCTTCTTCCAATAATGACTTCTAGATTGGCTACTTGGAAATGACCTGGCTCTATTGGCACCCTGTGACCTTTATTAGATTTACGTATTAACGTCCTGCTTTCGTTGACCGGTACGTGGTCGCCATTAGAGAACCTGTTGCGCTTCGGTCCTATCCAAAGCTAATTACTTAATATTTAATAGGGTTTAAAACTACGTACATAAAGTATAACTCAGCGCTACTTGAAGCGTCTTCCGTAAGGTTTCCCACAGGTTGGTCTGGATCTGAGGGCAGGCAGTCGTCCCAGTCATCCTGACAAACACTCCATGGTAGAGTCGGTAGGAAGCTCATGGCCAAGTAGTATAGACAAAGTGCCACAATGGACACGTAGTACGACAGAATGTATCCACAACCCAAAGCTGTGGCGTAACCAGCACCTGGAATTGTTAAATAATAATATTAATTCTGATTTAATTAGCTATTTGTAAGAGAGGATCGTGAGGCAAAGTTAGATATTAATGCAAATGTGCTGAACATTTTAGAACAAAAAATAGTAGAGCAGATTACTTTACAATTTGAGTGCAGTATGTAGAGATAAAAAAAATGTTAAATACCTACTAAAATATTTATAATTAAGTATTAGTTGAACGCACCTTTCATAGCTGGTGAGAGTGACCAGACGGTGACTGAGTTCTTTGAGCTAAATTGTCCCAAGACACACTCCAAGTAGTACATAGGTTTTCCTATGAGTAAAAGTACGATGATGTAAGGAATAAGGAAGGCGCCGCCTCCATTCTGATACGCGATGAAGGGGAATCGCCACACGTTGCCGAGACCGACCGAGGTGGCGATACAGGACATGAGGAACTCAATTTGATTCCCCCATACTGCTCGCTCTGGTTCACCCTTTTTATCAGGCTGAAAATTAAATACAATATTCTATTAATTTTATGCATCAATAATATCTTAACGATAACTCAGTTGGATACTATTACGACATATTTATTACATGGAGATTTTGAAATCGATTTTAGACTGTATAGCCATTAACTGTTTTTTTACTATCTCTTAAACCTACCTACAAGGCCACATGCCTTCGAGTTATGTTTTTAGATCTCAAAATTGTAATTATACGGTGTCTGCAATAGTGTTAGATTACCGCTTAGTGCTTACGACAGGAGCCTACTTAGATAGAGAGTACATGTTATACAGTGGGTCGTGAATACGTATTGAATATAATCAAATGAGGATAATGTACTTTACGGAAAGATAATTCTATTCTGTTTTCAACAAAAACACGTTTGCAATTAGTATACAATGTTTGTAATGGGTGTATTTGGATAAGTCAGTAAGTAAAGTAAGGCGTTTCACCTGACTATTGGTCATTCTTAAGAATGCTAAAGAGATTGTACTATCTTATCTTGAAACATATATAGAGGGAAGTACTTAAAAAATAGTAATAAACCAATCTTAATATACCATTATAAGAAATAATAAGCAATAAAATTTAATAACACATCTTTATATAAATGTAATTAAATCGTTATTGTTAATGCATAAAAAATATGCTTGAATGTATCTAGGTACAGATTTTGTATAGATTTTTAATAAGAGAGGCCTGGCACTATTTTATAATTTATGAGTAACGTAATGGTATACAGCAGCTGGACCCGTGCTTCGCGTGATAAACTATGCGTATAAATTGAATTTAAATTTTATTATAAAATATAGGATTGCATAATTACATTTTTGTCCTCCGCTTCATTGACAAGGGACTTGTCGTTGAGAGTCGCCACCTTCCCATCTTCCGGTGATGCGTCAAACGCGTTATTATTTTCACCGCTCTGAAATGATTAAATAACAAGTTAATCACGTGGTTTTAAAATGGTAGTATAAAGATAATATTAATAAAATGTCCCCCAAAATATAAACTGCGTATTAACTTAATAAATGCAATTTGATAAGCCTTTTCTTTGCACCTTACGAAGGTAACATGTTGCATAATTCTTTCAAGCTATTTATCATTGGGCAATATTCAATGGAGAGGATTATTTTAGTAATGGTACAATGTCGTATCCTTAGGTACCACTAAATAAATAGCTTTTGTAAATTGAGTTTCCGAAATATGAGCCTAAATGAGTGTGGAAACTGATACAAGACAACAAATGAAAAATATAATTGATCTTACAATTCTGATTTTACATCTTATGTTATTAATTGTATAATAAGGTTTGCATGATAATGGTGAATAATCGTCACACTATCATCTTTTGTTCATTAGCATTGCTTGAAGCGAAACAAAGAAGACATTACTCTCAATAAAGGTGCCTTTCATGTATTTATACCTAAGGTAAAGAACGGTCACCCTTAGCGTCAATCGTGAATGGTCATAACGTACCTACTATGAATTTTCTCATTTCACACTTTGGAAAACATGATACTTTTATGCTCGTAAGATTTAACCAAATCTCGTATTACCTCAAGGTTGTGGAAGGTAAATTTTAATGTCTGTATCGAACTACTATACAAACTAAATAAATTTGTGACATTTCTTGACTTGCACTTAAATGCCTCGACTTGACTTGACTTGTCCTCGTGCGATATTGATCCTAATCTAATTAGGAAAAACCCACGTGAAAATTTAAATTTAATATTTTGATAATGACTCATTCGTAATGGTGTGATGAGCTTTATTTATTACAGTCACGTATTTATTCTTTTAATTACGTGTCTTTAATCTTTAAGTAATTGTGAGTGCCTACCTGTAATTAATCTTCTTACATAGGTATATTTCATACGAAAGGTTAGATATGAGAAAACGATCAGGGCAATGACATAGAGATACAATATTCGATAATTATTCAAATAGCGTCCTTAATCTTACACGTTTTCATAAGCGCACGTGGCAATTTCTATTATCACATACATATTCATTTGCGTAGGTTAGTAACATGTAAATTTTCCAAGACATTTCTTAGATAAAACGTATCGAAGTAATTAATAAATCGATTTCAGCTGTCTAATCGTTTCGAACGATGATTTTTTCCTAGTAAATAGTAGAAATTTAATTAACCTAGATCAATGTAAAATACTTGCTTAGTAAACAAGTCGTTATTGACACGATCTTACTGATTTTATTCAGTATCTGTTTTAATTTGTTGAAACTCCTTGAATAACATGAATAATTTTCATGTTTTTTTATCTAGGTGGCTACCTAATAGATCTGATAACAATGGCCTCGATTGTTTAAATGTGAGCGAGTACTGAGTCAGTATTCTACGTCAATGTATAATGTACAACAATGTACATAGATATGTAGGTACGGATACATGTTTATTATGATTTTGAAACATTTGAAAAAATGATGTATTTTAAATCTTTCTTTGTTTTGGGCTGGATTCTTATTGCTTTCTCCTGTTTTCCACCTTCTATTGCACACATCCACCCCCAGGGTGAAAATATCAAACAAATTTGATAATATTTTTATCCAAATTGTGATTTCTTAAGGTATTAACTACGAGTCAAATTAGATCGAGTCAAAAGAGTCCAAATATATTTTAAAATAAACTATAAAAGGGTACTGTGAGCTTTTAGAACTATCTGATTCCAGAGCAGTACAAAATCAAATGTGTTCATTTTAGTCTTCTTTAAATGATCGAAACTTAATGAACTTATGAATTCTAAACAGTATCAAGAATACTTTTTAGCACAGTAATGCTTATACGCATTAAATCTGGTCAGCAACATTTATAGCAGGCATATCGGCAGGATGTAATTGCATTTTAGTTTTGATTAGCTAATTATGATCACGTGTCCAGTGGTCATATAATATCATATCTCGTTGTACATAAAAACATTGCCGAAGATTCCATATCTATGTTAACGATACACTATCTAATCCTTCTTCATTATTTATGGTATTAAGATTACATCAAAGAGGGTTATAAAAATTAACAAGTACAATATGGATTAAGCATCGTTTCAAACGGTTTTTTGTCAAAGTTATTTAATTAATTTATTGCCCGTCAATCTATCGTTGATATGTCATAAATAACGTTTCAATTAAAACTGGAATTTAAAAGCTCTTTTAGACTTGACAATTTAAGGCTTATCAGATTTGGTCATAATTTAACACGCGTCAAATGGATGCACATTTAAAACAAAATTAAAGTTTTGACCTTAAAGTTTGCAACAATATTATTATCTACTTATCTATGTAGATATTTTTAATTAATAATAATTTAATGCAATTTGCATGTTATTGGCTTTAACAATTTATAAATAAAACAATGTGAAAGTTAAGAGATTAAATCGAACTAAATTCATTTCTATAATGTCTTGGTCACCGGGAATTTACCTGATTATGTCCATTAAACAGCTCTAGTTCTTTCAAAGTTAAGGTTATATTAAGTCATCCTGTCTGATATCGACTTATCACAACACGTTACCGAATATTTTATAAATTGTCATTAAAACCAAAGAACAGACGTTGTTACTAGTAAATTGACATGTTTAGGAATGTTATTACAATAGATAATCATAAAATAATTAAGTAATCGTGATATTGTATCGATATCTACAGGAAAAAAACCGCTAGGTATATGCAAGAAGCTCGTAAAGAAAACAGGCATAAATTTTTCCTTAAGTTAGGCACGCGAGATATCGAAATATCGATTAATTGTCGCATCCTGAATGTACTATAATATTTCCGTTGATAAAAACAATTTAGTGTTAGTATATTATGCGTGTAATACGATAAAAACTAGATCAGAAATCAATATCTAGCCAACAATTAGAAGATACGATATTATTTTATTGTTATTACAGCCTTGTCGGTCATTTAGGCAAATATTTTTATTATTTCTAAGTTCTCGCTATCCAAAGTATGGAATTATGATGTTCGATAATGATATATTAACAAACTGGTATAACAGAAAATATATGTACTAAAAGCTTAAAGTGGATGCTCTACAAGTACCTACCTACCCCATTGTCTATCCATTCGTGAAATGAATGTTATTATACATATACAAGTAAATAAAGTCGTAATATTTAGTGCCATAGTCCAGGCGTTCAAAAAGTTTTGTTTAGGCAACATTACTATCATGTAACCTATGTAAATCGATATCAAAATAACCGATAACTTGCGATAAATAAAGCCTCATCATTTAATTTTAGGGGTAATTAAGATCGATAAATCTTAATCAACTGATTAAAGTTCAGTCAAGGATGTAAGTATTTTGAGTAAACCAGTAAATATTTACCCTATCTAAAGGATCGATAAGTGTTTTTGTCGCGTGCTAGTGCTAATTTCATTTATTTGTATTGACTTTAATGTCATGAGGTTGTATAGAATTTACGAAAGTTATAAAGTTCTTATAAAAACATTTTTGAGGTAAAAGAATACTATTAAAGAAAATATTATCCAGACTATTAAATTAATGATTGATATCAAATTTATCTGTACAAAATAATAATTTAAATGACTAAGTAGATATACTTATAATATTATTGTGAGATTATTGAAATAAGTAATTTATTACGTATGTATGTATATTGTATACACGTATAATAGAATGTATTTATCAGTGTTGGCTATGCTCATGAGTTTGAATCCGGGAAAAATATTAATCGATAAGAGACATCAGTAAATAGATACAGGTACAACGTTGTACGGTCATCTATATTGTATATCTATCATTCAAAGTTCAACTTTATTAGCCTTGGAAATGATTTGAAATTGTTAATCAAATAATCTACTGATGTGTCAATAAAATAAGAATGAACAATTTGTTTTCAAGTGGAAATCTATGTTAACATTGTAGTACAACTTTATATGGAACTATGTATTCGTTTGCTTTATTTTGTACTTAAGTACATAGAGCCTTATTCAATATAACAAAATCAAGGATACTATTTAAAAAATGTAAAGATTTCTTTCAGATCTTCATTTCGATTTTTATTTACTTGAATACAAAGTCGCTTTTGATTAATTTTCGCACATTGTTCTTGTTATTGTCCGTGTGTTTCGGCTTTGTATGCAATTGTAACAACGTGTAATGTGCGCGACGCGGGCAGTTGCACACGACCGTGGTAATGACTTGCCCGTCATTACCAAGGTTCTTTCGGTTTATGAATAGCTAACATACATATGTACCTACATAATTAGCTAACAATTCACTTTCCCATATACGAAAGGGACTTAGAAAATCTAATAGCTCTCTATTATTAGCTTTTTAATTTATGTTGAAGGAGAATTTTTGTTTTCATTTCACTATCACTATCAGACAAAATATTTTATCTACAATAGGTATGTTATGTTTCACTCTTTATAATATCGGGTGAATAATGTTATACAGTGATGTTTTTGGACACGTTCCCGTTCATATAACCTGTTGTTTGTTTGTGTTTGCAAACAAAATCTAAATATTCACGTAGGTAATTACACCGATTTGCTACACAAAATGTAAGTAAGTATTTATATTATACTTAACTAAAAAGTTTTCAATAAAAATTACGGATCATAATTGTATCAATCGTTTTTTTTTTTTGGACGCGATAGTAAATATTAATAGGTTGATTGATTCAATTTATTAAGTTAAGTTAAGACTTAAGTTTTCTTTAATAAAATTTTGATTGCACTTTCAATTATTTACGTTATATTCAAAAAAGCTCACAAAATATTAAAGTGGTACCTCATGAACCGTTGAACTGGATCTTCCGAGGGCTGTTAACAACATAGAAATAAATAAAAAACCTTCTCACCATTTTCACAGTTTTCACTTGATTTGTTTACGAAACAATCAGCTGATCGGTAATGAGACAGGCAGTGGACTAGTTTAGTAGCCGGCTAGGCAACGCACACCTGCCGCACACGAGTGAGACGTAGTGACATTTTCATTCGCCATTCGCCATTTTTATATACAAATACGTATCAAGCGTCGCTTGTCCTCGATGACAGATTTCTTCTGTAATCTCTATACCTAATTAAAAAACCGACACATGTCTGTATTTTGGCTATATACAAAATACAAAGTTTTCGGAATGTCGCAAATTGACTGCACCAGTTAACCCGACGCAACCTTGCTAACTGATCCAACTTTGTTAGTTGAACGTCCGATTTGTTTTAGACTTTTACCTTGAAATAACTTGAGCTCAGCATAACTTTAAGGCCAACCTTTCTACGTCTAGTAACTTATGCATTTTTGATGTGATTATGTGCCCATTCATATTTTTTAAGGTCACAAAAATTAGACGTACTAAATTGGTTGTTACATTATTATTAATTACAGTCATTTAAATTTTACTCTAAATTAGTTAAAATGTCATTTATGTCGATTTCTGTAATTTAAATTTAGCATTTTATGTAATTCTCATAATTTATGATCTCGACTCATCTCTAAATACATAAATTTAAATTTGAATAAATATATGGACGGGTTACCTGACACTGACCCACTAAAGGCTGACAAATCGTCAAAATCGCACAACTCGTGTTACTTGCCAGTACTTAAATTCGTGTCACGAACGTTTGGTTAGGGACTTGTAAGTTATATTTGGTTTACTTTACCCTTTTCCGACTTCTTAATTAATTGAGGAAGATACACAGCACAGGCATAATTTTAAAAGTCAGTACATAGGTATTCACCTTTACTTAAATTTCCAAATACCAAAATTTTTGTAAACATAAAATGTTATCGTGTTTTTTTTTAATAAAATTACTCTTAGTACCCGGTGTCTGTTAATTCGGCAGCTTTTTATTCTCTCGACTCAAGAAACACGTATGGCTATGGGGTGATCGCTAAGGTCTGAACAGGACTGCCGTGTTCTATCACATCACGAGACATCAATATACTTGAATGAAATATTTCTTCTCAGTTAGTAAGTTTAGTAAAAATAGTAATTCAAACTTATTATTATTTTTTATTAAACTTAACACCTTTAGCACTTATCAAGTTAGTAGACTTGAACTCTAAATGTCATCGTTTCATTTGAAATCGTTTTGCTATGGCGTGCCATTGAGAATGACAGTGAATCGTGGAGAAGAACAATATTGCATAGAGTCAGACAATGTGTTGAACGGTACTTAGTTTGTGTGTTATAATATGTCATGCTATATACACATTTATGCATTGTGTATTCGTAAATCGTGCATCAAATGTTGGTAGAAGGTACGTACTTGTTTGTACATGTTTTTAACGTTACTTTGTGAGTAATCTTTATATTATTTCAAATATATTTTTTTTTTAAGGTGGGAAAATCATCGAATGACTGCTCCCGCCTGGATTATTTCAAATATTAATATAGTATTTTGCACCTAAGTAGGTACGTCTTCAAGATGAAAGGGTTTCTTTAATTTCAATGTATGTGTATAATGTAATGTGTTTTCTATACCTTATAAAGGACAATTTTCTTTGGATTATCTATTTCGCTATTGCAGCTTAAAGATAGAACTGTTTTGATCTTACTCGTAATTGTTAGCCCCCAAATATAGTAAAAATGCATATGTAACGTGAAACTAGTATATAAAGAAGGTACGAAGGTTCTTCCGGCTGACATTTCCTTGCGCAGCAGGTAAATAGTGGAAAATACTACAATTATACCGGTCGCGACTCTTGTGATGATTTACATAACTTACTATACATAAACGGGCTTCTAAACGAGCGATGTTTTTACATTATATGGTTACACTATCATCAATCCAGCTCTATTTGACATAATCTGTCTGTGTTTATATCGTTTAAGTGTGGGAGAGCCATGTTTCGGCTCGAACGTAGTGATACCACGGTCTCACAGAACACCGACGTGAAACAACGCTTGCGTTGTGTTTCGTCGTGTGAGTGAGGTTACCGGAGGTCCAATTACTCTCCCTCTCTACCTCCCCAATTTCCCCAATCCCGGAATCTCCAACAATCCTCAAATTCAGAATCCCTAAAAGGCTGGTAACGCATTTGTAATATCCCTTGTGTTCCGGGTGTCCATGAGTGACGCCGATTGCTTACCATCAGGTGATCCGCCTGCTAGTTTACCGGCTTATCCCATAAAAAATCTCCATCCTCAGTAGGCGGTTCCAAGATGGCTGTTAAAAGGTTCTTGTTTATCAGGGAGCGCATTTACTTAGATTCAATTAAAAGTGTAGTAAGGGGAAGAAGGAGTGGGGATGATAACAATGTATTCAACATTTAGTAATTAATGGTGCAGCCATATTGACCATTTTGGATACAGAACTGCCATGTTACATCATCTGGTTGATATGTTTACAATGTTGCCGGCCACTATGTTGCAGGTTACAACCACATATCGCCCGTTTAGAAGAACCTTTAATATGTGTCGTTAGCATAGCAACTTATTCTATGTGTAGCATTGAAATAATTGATAATATTATCACTCCATTGGCGCTAGTTTTACTAGTAAAAAAACCGTTCATGATAAAGATCTTAGATAAAATACTGTTAGATATTAGAATGATATGGTATTTACAGAGTTTGGCTACCTGATATTATTAGATAGAGGCTTCTAGTAAACGTTATAACTAATTGTTAATTATTTAACTTTATGATAGGTACTAAAGTACATACAACTACCTATGTTATGTACATTTATGCCTCTTTGGATTTTAGGTATTAACTACGGACATTTTTGAGCAAGGAGGTTTCTATTTGGGTTCCAATTTGCTAAAAGTTTGACATACTATTATTATTAGACATCCTAGTTTTCGAAATTCTTAAGGATATAGCACAGAGAGTGAATATGTTTGTTCTTTGTATCATAGGATCAATAACCCTCCATGCTTAGATTGCTAGGCTTCTTGCCTTAGAGCTAGTGGCCATAGAGTTTCAACGACGGATTTCTCAATTAAGTTTCCAGGTCCATCGAGTTCAATAAAATATATGCGTATAGCTATAGAATATTTTGTGTTTTACAATTTCAGTATTTATTACTAAAAGCTCTCCAAGTTCAGGGAATGCATTTTGGCCATATTTATTTAAATAAAATACGCCCCTTACTACCTACCTACACCTCAAACTGAACCAGCTTTCAGTTTAATACATAATTCGGATTTGAAACAATCAGTGTCTCTATATGAAATATCAAGAAATCAAAAATTCAATTATTAAATGTTTTAATTCGATTAATACGTGTTAATTTTAATTAATACATGTTTAATACCAGTTTCATAAATTTAAGTATTGCAAAAGCCTATTGCGTTGTGTTGTAAATGCATTAGTATACAATTGTCTTATCTTTCTTTGTAAAACCAACAAAAAGTATAGGGATTACCTCACTTTTCGAATGGATGCCATTGTTGTAGCAACAATCTAATCTAACATAACATAAAATAAAATTTTGAAAACCTCATTCGTTTTTCGATATTTTTGATAACGGAGTGTTAACTTGCACTTAGCAATTGGTAGCTTAACTAGTTCGACTTTAATAAGTTAGTGAAAAAATTTGATTATTCTTTCAGATAATATTAGTCGTGTCGTCATGTTATAATGTAATAAGTAATAGTTATAAAAGAGGATGAATGTAGGATTTGTTCCTAGAAGTGGGCTTTTAGAGAACCTGAGGAAAACTGCAAGGTATGTGGCTCTTCAAACTCAAAAACCATATCAGATCGTATGTCACGTTAATCACTGATAATACGCGTAGCCGTTAGCTACAGTCCCACGAATAATGTCCATAGTTGGAATAATTATGATAAACAAAAGATTTAGATTACGTAGCTAACACTCACACGATGACACAACACCGTCGCTGATATCAATCGTCATTTAAATATGTTATCGTAATTATGGGACAGTGGTTGGAAGGTCAGCTGTTATGCTCCGTGTTCTGGGTTGAATTCCAAAGAAATACGTAAGTACATGTGGTACTCTACCCATTTGTTTTGGTCTACATATTGTAGAACATCAGGTGTGAGCATTGAAGATATAGAATTATATTTCTACACTAATTTAAATAAGTACGACAAGTTATTAATATATATGTCGTTTATAGAGATTGCAAGAGATCAAAATCTAATCTACATTATACACATAAGTAATAGAAAATAATGCATTGTTGCGATTTGGTTGCTTGTAAATACATATTTACTAAGTGCGGTACCCAAATTGCTAGAGCGCACCAATGTCTTTTAAAGATGATCAAAGCTTGCTCCATATTTTTATACTTTTTTAAGTTTCGAATAAAAATATTCCCTGACTCACTTATGGCAAATAAGGAATTTGTAGGTAATACCTAGTGTTGTGTTAATAGATAATTATCAATTGCATGGACAACCTTGTGACAACAAACATATATTTATCTCTTAACTTGATGTCTAGACGTTTACGTAAAATATTTAAAGCCTCGGCGATCGTTTGTGAATGTTTTCGGATTAGCTGATATAGGGTGTCCTAAAAACTTAATTGCAAATTGGCACTATGGATTTGTTGCGTTTTACGAATTTTAGATGTATGTTGTCAGACAACTTATATCTTTTACAGTTTCTTCATTATACTACATAACTTGTCATGTAAATTGTATTTAATTCCTAAACAAGACCTTTTATTTTTAATGTAACATAATATAGGTACTAAAAGTAATAGTTAATTAAGTTTTAAAGGATAAGTTTTGAAATAATCTGAATGGCATTATTAAGAGAATTCTTTTTCTCAAAAAGAAACGAATGACCGAATGATTCTTTTCTCTTTAAATTAAGTGTGGCCATTTACAAGACGCTTAACCTCAGTTAGTTTTTTTAACGAATAAAATGCCTCGTTGGCCGAGTGGTGGCAAGTGCGACTGCCGGGCAAGGGGTCTCGGGTTCGATTCCCGGGTCGGGCAAAGTATTACAGGAGTTTTTCAAAAACTTTCAGCGGTAGTACGGACTACGAAATTGCGCCCGGTATATGGCAATAGGATCACCCCCTATTACTTGGGACTCATAATATAAATAGTGAAAAGTGGTTGTTATGT